TCGTGTTAGTGTCTTTAAAATGACGGGTAAGTTTATTTTGAAGCTGATCATCTCTGTAAATCACCAAAATATTGTATTACCTGCCTTCTTTGTAGTAGGTAGTGTCTTATTCTTACTTAAATTTAGTAAATAATATATAGGTAGGTATATAATATCTTGTTCATATTTTACATACTCGTAGATACTTTTATAATATTATGTTATTGTTGATGGCAAAATCTGTTACTTTGATTTTAATCATCTTTGAAAAAAACTTTAAACAATGCACCACCTGAAAAATCAATTTAAAACTTGAAATAAGGTTTTGAGACGTTACTGAATTTGAGAGGCTGCTAGAAATTTAAAAAAATGCTGTGTAACAACAACAACAGCTTTATGCTTAAATTTGTTGTATATGAAAAATTTGTTAGCTAAGGAAAATTTTCCAGAATTACGGATACAAAATAGTATTTTTATTACACTGTCTAAAAATTAATAGTAAAAACAATTTTTGTAAATATAATATATAGTTAAGAAATTCACATAACTCACTGAAATACATATAATTATGCATTATTTATATTATGATAATGTAGTCCATTACCTCTGTAACCTTATGTGCATAACATTACCATTAGCAATTGAACATTAGTAAAGCAATATACCAATATTTTTTAAGGCTTAAAATTTATATGTGTTGATATTATTATTACATATTTAATCAAAGAAAAAAATGCAACTTAACACACTAACGCAAATTTCTGAGCCTGTACTGACTACAGTACGTACTCTTCAGAACTTTTCATTGACCTATGTAATGTTGGTCAATGCACACGTTGAGAGAGTCCTAAAGTCCTATATTCAGAAGTAGGCTATAATTGACTGATCAATTGAAGTAATAAGACTTTCCTTCAATGAAAGGCACTAGAATTTGTTATAACTAGATTTTGTATCTACACTTACAGAGGCTCATCATGGCAGTGTTCTAACGTAACGGCCAATTACTTTAGAATTGCTAATTAGTATTTATCAGTTTACGAGTATTGGTATTGGTTGTGGGCTCCGATTGCCGCATTTAGACTCGAGAGTGGCCCTTTATGCGTCTAGAAGACTTTGGCAAGGTGAGCCTACCAAGCTCCTTCCAGAAGAGCAGAAGTCTCCTACGGCATTCACAGGCTTCTAGGAGCGATTTTGTACCAGTACCATACCGGGCAAATACCATACACTTGCCCATTGTGTGACTACTCCCTCGCATTCCAGGATTACGGGGGCGGCCGTTTCTTCTGCTTTCAAGCATCCTCTGCAAAGAGAACTGTCTGTTGTATTAATGATGAATAGTTGTCAGTTCAGTTATAGGTGTCCTGTAATGGTTCCTGCAACTATTCGGATATCTAGTCTGCTAAGACGGAACAGTCTGCAAGTAAGTCGTGGTGAGAGAACACCCCAGGAGGCTTCTGCGCTTCTGGAAAGAGCTTGGTTGGCTCACCTAGCCAACCTGTCCTCGATGCATAAAGGACCATTCTTGAGTCTAAATGTGGAAACCGGCGCCCACAACCAATACCAATACATGTCTACGAGTAAAAACAATAGTGTGTTAAAAAGTGATAGGTCAATTATTTAAAATAACATGATGCTACTAAATTTTAACCAAAGTTTAACCTAATGTTGTTTTGATATATTTGATCACTTAATGTTAGTTATTTACTAATACCTACTCATTGTATCATATATTATTGTTTACTGTACTAGTTTACCTCGTATTGGTCTTAGACGACAAAAATCGGTCTTTGTACTGTCTAATATGTCGAGTTGTCTTTAGCTAAGAGAGCTTCAAGCAGATTAAATACCTAAAAGATAATACAGTAACAGATTTTAATTACTATTATTTTTTGTGTTGATTTTTTGCCAAATACTATAAATTGGTTACCAAATTTTGGTAACCAATTTATAGTATTATATCTCTCTTGATCAGGTTAATTCAAACTCAAGGTCATTTAATGGAAATATTGTAAACTTAGGTTTTGTTTTATTAGCAGAAGTAATAGAATTATTAATGATGATTTAATGCATTAAAGCAAACAAGATCGTCTTACGCAACATCATCATATTTTTTCTTGTTTGTAGAGACAAAAGTATCAACCAATAAAACTACATGTATCAAATCGAATGTTTTTCTAATTTAATACTAGGCATGCCTTTTAAGTTTTGTCGTTTCCATATTTCCCGGCAATTTTGAATTTGGAACTGTTCTATATGTACTGTTTTGAGATTCAAAATTTAAACACATTCGATGTGTTTAAATTTTGAATCTCAAAACAGTTAAAAGTATTAGGATTAATGCTATTGTTTAGTCACAGCGTCGATTGGAATCTGTCAGGTTACGTATGAAAATGAATATTTCTGAGGAACATGTTCGGGCAATAATTTTCTACAACTTTAGAAGAGGCCTGACACGGCTTTAATGTTTTGAAGAGCTAACATCTGTGTTCATGAAGCCCCATGTCTGCGGACTGTCGAACGCTGGTATTTAGAATTCCATGGACATACTAGTGTTAGTGACAAATCTCGCGAAGAACGCCCAAAATCAGCCTTCACTGAAGATACCATCATTACTGTGAGACAACTAATTCTCGAAGATCGTCATGTGACGTATCGAGAAATAGAGACTATTAGGCATCTCAGGGACAACCATTCAGAAGATTTTGCATGAAGCGCTTGGTGTGAGAAAGCTAGTTTGCCGTTGGATACCGCATCTGCTTTCCGACGATCACAAGGCGCCCCGCGTCAGATGATGATGATCCTGATTCCAAACAACAATCTACAATCTGGGTCTTTCAAGACGAGCCAAAGCCGACTAAAGTTGTTCGTTCTCGAAGCACTTCAAAGAAGATGGTGGCCACGTTCGTTGGAAAAAAACGGTCATGTTGCGACTATTGCACTTGAAGATCATAGAACGGTTAACGCAGAGTGGTATACCACAGTTTGTTTACCACAAGTCATCGCCGAACTTAGAAAATCTAACTCAAAGCGACGCATCATCCTGCACCACGACAACGCAAGCTCACACAGCGCTCGTCAAACGATTGAGTATTTGAAGCAGGAAAAAGTAGAAATTCTTGACCATCCTCCATACAGGCCTGACCTAAGCCCTATTTCTTTACATTTCTTAAATTTAAGAAAATTCTTCGTGGTCAAATGTTCCAGTCCGGTGAAGAAGCAGTCGACGCTTTCAAGTCAGCCATTTTGAACACCTCCACGTTAGAGTGGAATAAATGTTATAATAACTGGTTTGACGAATGGAAAAGTGTATTAAGCTACGTGGTAAATACTTTGAAAAACAAAAAAAAAAGTACTAAAAGGTTTTAGTTGTGCTATTTCTTCAAACGACAAAACTTAAAAGGCATGCACGAGGCATGCCTTTTAATCACTTTTTTTTCCTTTCCGTAAGTTATTGCAAAACTTTCTGGGTTTCATTTTCTTTCATGAATAGTCTCGCACTTCTGAGGAAATAGTTTGTAATCGTTAAACCTTGCAAAATTTAATCAAAATTTGGTATCTGTAAAGTAAAAAGCGATGAACTTTTATAACATGTGTTACAAATAATATATTTTAGCAGTTACAACTCAATCTGGGCATATATTAATGGTTTTTCTCCACCACACACACTCGAAAAAATATCACTATCATTTATTGCTATATACTGACAAATGACGGAACATTGTAAAATTTCATCAGGATGAATCTGAAAAGCGGTTGCCACATGTCAAAAATCAAATTTTTTTTTGTCAAATATTTGAAATTCAAGCAAATTTTAGACATTACATAATATGTGTCAAAATTTTTAACAGCAGCAGTATGAATTTAATTCCATGCCGTATTACATTTTGCTAAATTAATCATAATTACTTTCCAAAGCAGCGGTGCAGGTATAAAGTCCACATTACTATAAATGAAGCAAAATAGTATGTTTATTAAACAACTTTCTTTGCTATGAGTTGCAAGTTTACAACAAGGAAAAACTTGATAGAAACCGTTGCTATTTATTATTCCAATTAGAGTTACCTTGGTATTCATGTCACGTTATAGAATGCTTGAATTATCACATTGAATTTTTAATATTTCATCACAATCTTCGACTACCTATCTGCCTTTGATTATTTAATAATTATTTAGGTAACTAGTAACAATGTGATTGTTATTGGACGTACCCACAGAGGCAGCAATCTTATCTATATATAGATAATTTATTATTAACAGTGAAAGTCCAAAGTTACAACTTTAATTAAGATAGGATCTCCTTTAAGGATTAAATTGCAAAATCAAAATGGAATTTGTTCGTTAAAGTTTTTACGTCACGAATAAATGTTGTTTTATTACTTTAACGCAAATTTAATTTAATTTTGCCTAATCAACTTCGTCTACTTCTCTCAGAGGCGTCTCTCGTCTTGGCAACATTTTTCATTGATGATCAGCTCCTATTGATCGTAGCGTGATGTTATATAGCCTTATAGCTTTCCTCGATAAAGTGCTATCCAACAGAAAGATTTTTTCAATTCGAACCAGTAGTTCCTGAGATTAGCGCATTCAAAGACCAGCATTAAATTTTCATTCTCATAAAAATGTTTGGTGCAAGGTAAAATGTTCAACCATTCAATTTTATTACAGTTAAATACGTTTCGTAGTTAGATAATTACACCATAAACATCATCTTGTTCTTCTTTACATATTTTCTGAGGAAAATATTCTGCCTCACATATCTTGCGTAAATTCACGACGAGTCCATTGACCTTACTATTTATTACATCACGTTGATGTATTACTATTACATAGGATCTTTGTTATGTATATATGCATACATAACATTATCTGTGCAGTCAGTGGAAAATCAAAATAAAAAACAATCAGTTCTGTTATTATGTTTTACGTTAAAAATCGCTTACAATTTCTCATTATCAAGATTTTTTAAGTATTTTTCTGTTAATGAATTTCTATTTTGAGTTTTAATTATTTTTTTGTTACAGGTATTACAAAACCAAATTCCAAGTCGAGTAACATAGTGGAGGTAAGTTAAATCCATTATACCTTCACCAAACACCCGAATTATTTAAATCTTCACCATTATCAACAGCCGGAATGTATGCAAAATATGACTTCTATATTAAAATATCATAATTACAAAAAGCTTGATGTTTTTTAAATATAACTTTTTTTACTAACCTGTACCTAAAGCGACTTTATTTTATACTATGTTAAAGATATTACTAGCCAAATTTCGTAGTTCTAGGTGAATGGGCAGTACCCCATGAATTTTGATTTATTTGAGAGTGTCGAAATCTGCATTTTTTGCGGCAATAAAGTAAGGGTTCCGTTTTTCCTTTTGAGGTACGAAATTCTAAAAAGAAATTAAAATATTTTTTTGGAACAAAGTAAAGAGAATAAAAATAGATGCGCATTACAACACAGATGTATATATAGGATATTCAATTGCAATACAATGCAATTCACCGACCTCCTCGTCACACTGGTAACGTGTATATACTTATAGGTATCTTAATAACCTGGCTATCATTGAAATTAAACGAACATACCGCATTCGATGATGTACAATTTTAAACTTTGTATGCCTACTTATCGTCACTGAAGTTCTAACATTGAGTAAGTCATTTGTTTGCGATTTTAACGTTTTAATAAGGAAAGATCACGCGCATACTATTTGACCAATCAAAAATAAGTAACTTGTGAGATCCACAAATTGTTGTTCTGAGTCTGGAAGTTCTTTGTAAAATCCTACGCGACGCAAGATGTATTCCTAGTACGGGAGTTGTATTTCATTAAAGAAAATAATAAACTAAAACGCCACATTTTTTATTAAAACAGTATACTTCAAACATTTGATTGCAAAATGACACGAATGTTTCTAAACATTTTCAGCTGTGAAGAATTACGTTCATACTATTGAAAGAAAGAACTACTACAACATTTTGCTTTCAATGAAACAGTTATTTAGTTCTCCTGTAATAGTACTTCACTTAGGTTATCTAGAATATTAATCAGCCGTCAAATATTCAAAGACTCGATCAGCAGATGCTCGAACAAGCCAAACATGTCTGCACAGTCCGTGTAAACATTTGATCGTACAGGCATTGCTTTTTACGTGCGTGTGTATTGATGAGAACATCTTTCATACCACATAATTTTATGCAAATAATTTTCTTGTTATTGCTTTAGTCATGTTTAAAGTGTCGCATTGTTGCATTTAATAATTTTGCTTTATTCTTATTCAAAAGGCAGCAACTTACTACAAGTACGTTTAGAAGTCTAGTCTTGATTTGCAAGTATCAATGAGTGGCGTTACCACATGCCAATGGATAATTACTTACCATCATTTGGTTAATTTATTAAAAAAAAGATGCCGATGAATTGAAAATCTCTTCCTTTTTTAAATCGGTTAAAAAAACAATGCTTATCTGATCTTTTAATCATTTTCAACTTCGTTTATACGTAAACAGAAAAGACCAAAAACCGAAGTCAAGTGGCACATGAATGATAAGAACCTTGTTCGTGAGGCCATTGCCCGTATTCTAATGAATACTGTAATAACAACATTTAAAACAAGTAGCACCGCTTGAATATGTTTAAATTAGATAATGCTATCCCCTTTTACAATGTTGTCGAAACGTTTTTCATTCAAACACTTTATTTTATTCAAATGATTTACATTATGACATCTGAGAGCCTTTTTTTTTCCTTGACGAGGTGCAAAATACCTACAGATCTCGCGCTCCTCAGGGACGCAAGAGCCAGGAATACTTATATGGTATTTCCACTAAAAACCACCTCAACGCACGGCCGGCTTCTGAGCGCCCTACTCTGTGTAGGACCCGGACCCTGTGAGTTCAGGTCCAATCGCCACGACTAACTACGCCCTATCCCGGGGGAAACTGAATACTTCCCCAGTGTGACTTTATTTCACATCAACTCGCTCTCGATGGCAAGCGCATTCGGCGTTGCCATTGGTGGAGAGTTCGAATTGAACGCGATCACCGTGACCATCAAGTTGATGTAAAATAAACTCACACTAAGCCCGCTGACCTACCATCTGACGGTAACTCGCGCGCTTCCCCGGTTCTCTGTTACACACTTTCGTCCTTTTTCAAGCAATCGCTCCTACGCTCGCATGGAAGTCAGAGAAAAGAAGTTACAAATCAAAATTCAGTATCACTGGCTTCATATTACTAGACCTACAAAAGTTCCATTATTGATTGTATTGTAACCTCCTTTCTAAAGAGAGGTCTATGTTCAGCAGTGGACCTTTAAAGGCTGTTTATGATAATGAGTGATTGATTGTATTTCAAATTTTAAGCATTTATAAGCCTTTGCTTGTAATATCATTATCTCTAATGACTCCTACCACAGTAATCTGTGATGTTAAAAACAACCTTTGTATTGGAGTTTTGACGCGTGTTTATTGTTTTCCCTGTATTTACTTGCGGCTTCGATTGCGCTTAAATAGACTTAGTCAATCCTTTCCTCCAGGATGAAAGCCTATGTACTATTCTACCAATTCAGATTTGTTGAAGTACCAAACATCCATTTAATCAAACTCACATTTGCAATAAAAATAAGATAAGATTCTTAAATCGTGTAAAACAAAAAGTAAATAATACATTTTTAGTCTCTAGTTTCATTATTTCTGGTCACATGATTAGACACGTGTAAGTCTTATTTGGTCGGACTGCTAAGTTTATCTTCTTAATGTTTTTTTAATCATTTCCAATATACCTACTGAGGATTTATTGAGGCGGATATATTAATTAAATTGTCGTTAAATGGTACCTATGTTCACTACTAAAAGTTATATTGCTTAAATTCTGTTAATTCTGACATTGTTTAAAGTATTTAAAGTTTTATATCACTACAGTCATTCCGATAATTGACTATAGTAACGTGAGACATGACCTGAAGGTCCATTCTCGTAATCAAAATCCGTTCAAAATTCAGTTCCAAACTACTTTCGATCCCACCAATGTCAAGTATTCTTGGAGTAATAAAGTATTAATTCAAATCGTTTAACGTCTGCGGTGTTTCCGGACTGATACGACCTTCAAGTAAAGAGCGTACTCCTTCCTAAACGGCCGGCAACGCGTTTGTGACTCCTTTTTTTTCCCCGTTCGGATATCCCTTCGGATACCACCTATCGGTGGCATGTCGGACCCGAACCGACTAAAACCGCACGCCGTCTCGGGTACTAATAGCCGGGGCACCAGGTATACCCTAAAAAGGAAGTCCCTGGTGGCGTTTGTGACTCCTGAGTTGCATCCTGCTCGTCTGCACCCTCTAACATAAAAAAAAAACATTCCACGTTGGCTGTGATACGATTAAATATCGTATTGTGACCGAAAGTTGAATCGGTATTCTGCTAGTGTTGATATAATAGAATAGATTGAAACTGAACTGACTGAATTTTTATTACGAGAATTGATCTTCTGTTGAGTTCTCTTCAATAGGCCTTTCATTTTCACTCTTCGTTAGTTCATTCATAGTAGCAGTTTGATAGCAGCATTTAATAACGTAGAGTGCATTTGCACTTTATCTTATTAAATTATAACAGAATAAAATACTCTTAGTTGTACACCATATACAAAGGACTTTAATCTTAATAGTAGTACTAAGGTTATCGTGCAATGGGAAGTCGGCGGTAAACTAACATTAAACGAATTTAAAAGACACTTTATTTTTTATTAACCCTCATACTTAGGTGTTTCATAAAGTAATCTACAATACCTACCGTCGTTTTCAAAAGAATTACCACGGACTTTGTTCTACTTAACTGCTTTATTCAATTACAGCGATCTCCACTAGACAACATTAGAATAGATTTAGTGATTGGAGTTGTTCGTGGCTGTGTAATTTATCTATAATATGTATGTATTTGATTCACTGAATAAAGGATAATTTGAAACAAACCCTAGACCAATTCGTCTGGTCAGCGTGATAAAGTAAGCTAAAACCTACTTTTTAAGGAGAGGCCTATGCCCAGCAGTGGACTATTAAAGACTGTTGATGATGATGATGAAGAATGTTTATCGGCAGTCTGGTTACCATAGTACAGATTCTAGTTCTAGTTTAGACAGACAGCCGGGTGTGAGATGTGTGACGTTATTATTATTATTACTTACATACATACATACATAGTCATAGTCATTTATTCGTCAACAAATTACATTGTATTTGAAATATAATAATGAATAAAATAATAGTAATAGTTTAAAAAATATATAAAAAAATATTTTTATTTAAATAAATATTTTATTCACAGTACACATCTGCATTCATGCTTAGTGGGTAAAAAATTCAATTCCCGAGAGGCAGTACAAAATGCCTTTGAAGAGTTTGTTGCCGCCCGTCCAGCTGATTTTTACAAGGGCATCAATAAACTGCCAATGCGTTGGCAAAGATGCGTCGATTGCATGGGTGATTACTTCGAATAACAGAAATAAAAAAGTTTGAAAAAATAAGTACTTTCACTTATTGCATACAAAACGGCAATTTCATAGGTAAAGACCTAATATAATGTCACTGGTTTTCATATCCTTATTTTTATAACTTAATTCAGATGAATTCACTCTCTTGTTACAATTCATCAACAGTAAAAGGCATCTGTCCAAAAGGAAAGCTTTTTATTTTATTTTAAAGAAACCTGCATATAACGCTCTCTTTATATCCTCAGGCAACATATTATACAGTTTTACCGCTTGATATCTAGCGTTATGTTTTACCACATTTAATTGGGGAATAATATTCGTTTTAAATTCTTTTCTACATGTATCATCCCTAGCTTTTTCTTTCTATGCTATTTTCAAAACTACCTAAATGTTTTGCAAAATTACTTAATACCACTAGAATATAGAGGCTAGGAACTGTAAGAATTCCTAGGTTTGTGAAATATGGTCGACAACTCTCTCTTTGTGCGAATAGCTCGTTTTTGTAAAATGAAAGCATAACATTGGACGCTTTATCTTAATTTTGATTCCACAAGCGCATAGTACACCATTTTTAGTGTTTCTATAGGTATCTAGTTCGTCCCTAAGGGATACCTTAGTAGTAATATAATTATCATACTATGCGAAGATATTAAATCAGTCAATGTTCAGCAGATAAATATTACAATAACAATAGCGTCAGCCTACCTACAGTAACAGCTGATGGAATTTAAACTGTAAGTATTAGCTACTTAGGTACCATTGCTTTGAAAGCATTTATTATTTAAACTTTTCTTTTTTTTTCATAAATGCGTTTCACAACCTAGTTGCAAAAATTGAAAAAGATTTGTCGAGAAACGATATGGAATGCGAAGCCATTATTTATTTCAAGGTTTTCTGATGATCTTTAGACTCTCATGTATACCTGACACTCGAAGTCATCCTTAAAATAGTAAGGTGAAGAAGGGTTAAACTATACATATATTATACAACAAAGAAAATACATTAGCATTCCGACTATGAAAATTCTAATCACTTGAGAAATTCTAAGTCGCGATTGGTGCTGATGTTTGCATAATCAAGTAATGGGTAGCTTGTAAATTAGACACGTATTCATCTCAACTTTCTTATTCTCAACCTCACCTACAAAGTAAACTTCCTACTTCTTGTTGCGCAAATCATGACAAAAAAGTCTACGATCAACAAATAATCAACACTTTGTGTTCAAAGTTCAATCACAAACCGTGAATGTGTACGAATGAATGTATACTATACACACCTCTTTAAATACCATGTTTGTATCAATGTGTGTTCATTTAATGTATAAAAGACGTATATTATTTATCTATAATGTATGTAAGGACTTATCAGTGTGTATTCTATTTACGTTATGTATATCAAGTTTGTCTTTATCAATTTCACCAATACGTTACTAACAATAATTTCGAATCGATGAAATAACAGTTCAAAACACCACCACACGTACACACACACACACAAACTTTAAACAAATATATTTACTTAGTCGGAACAGCATATCAGGATAGTAATTTTAATTAGTACCTATACAGGTTTTTTAAGAAGTACGAGACGGAATTAAGAACGAATAAAATCTTTATTAACATGCCTGGCTGTGGGTGTTTAATGGTATTATTGGTCGAAGGTCACAATAGACACCTACCAACTGCCAAAACATACGAGTACTTTAAGGTTTGCGCAGGCAGCGGATGTGATGTATAGCGATACACAGCGCCGAACGCGATTGCTTTGTAAACTTCTTAAATGTTAAGTGTTAACTAGTACAATATTACAAATTACAACCCCGCACTGCATCATCATCCGGTCCCGTTCGCTGTCTGCCTTAACCATTAAACTTGGATCCACTGATGAAGGGAAATGTGTAATCCACCAGTACATTGTTTAAGTGTCGATTTTGCGTTAATTTGTTGGATACGATATACCCAATTTTTTGATAATTTATTGAACTTGCATATTTGTTTAGATAAGTAAATTAATGTTGAGACTTGAGCGCTGGTGATGATGATTGATGATGCTCAGGTGTTTCAGTCAGAAATACGCTGTACCTACCATCGTTTTAAAAAGATTTTGACAGACCTCTTTCTACTAAAATGCTCCACTTGTCATGCAGAAATCTTATAAACGCCATTTATAATCACAGAACTTAGAAATAACGGTGTATATATTCTAAAGTTATGTATTGTGTTTTATCCTTTTGTACGCTATATCGGTTTCAAAGCTAATACAAAAAATATTTCTTCGGGTTAAAAATATAGAATGTCACCACCCCTATTCATCCTGTGAGTGTCGTAAGAGCCGACTAAGGAAACAAACTACACAGAACAACAGCACTGCAAAAAGAAAGAAAACTTGACACAAACCCTTTACCAACCCGTCTGGCCAGCGTGGTATAGTAGGCCGAAACTTCCTTTCTAACGAGAGGCCTATGTCCAGCAGTAGACTATTAAAGGCTGTTGATGACAATGAAAGGACTTTTTAATTCGATTAAGTAGTTTTTGAGTGTGACCATTGCAATCACACAAAACTTTTCTCTTAAGAATATTAGTTAAGATGACACTTGAAAATTTACAGTTAGTTTAAATGAATACTTTCATAGTCCAAGAAATATTCTGTCATTAGTTCTATCTATTTTCATTCATTGTTTTTAAAGTATCGTATCGTTGTACAGGCTGTGCAGACTGCTCGGGATGCCTTCAACCGTGGAGTCACCCGTCCTATAGAATGGCGTCGGAAGCAGTTGAACAGCTTGCTTCGTATGTACGAAGAAAACCGCAACGCGATGATAGAAGCTCTGCACAAGGATCTCAGGAGAAGCAAGATGGAAGCTGTACTCCTTGAAGTGGACTACCTTATCAATGACTTGAAAAACACCATACACTATCTGGATGAATGGAGTGCACCCGAGAAGGTCAGTTTTTTTAATGTTTCTATTTATCTAGTCCCAACAATGAATGCTAATAGTTTCTCCATGATCGCTTTTCTCTCTATCTGTCCGTGCGTCTGCTACTTAACTTAGAGACCTGTAGTACTGAAAAACTATATTTTTTTATAGATAAGAAAGCAAAAATAGGGTACGTCCCCTACATGGTGATGATCTTTTTAATCCTAATTTAAATTTAATATAAAGGTTGTGCTTATAAAGGTTGTAAAATTCCGTATAGATGTTGTCTGTAGGAGACCAGACCGCCTATTGTTATACCGAAATGTATACAATACCTGTACAAATAATACTGCAGTGATCTACAATAAAGAGATAAATAAAATAAAATTAAATAAAAAATAGTAAGTATATAGCCCCGGTGACATGTGACTCTAAGTTTTTAAGTTTTTCACACCATTGAAATGAACAGTCAAATCGAGTAAAATTCGACGAGGGCGACTTCATGATACGCACAATGACTTTAACAGTAGACTATATTCCTAGGTTTAAAATAAATTATCGCCGCCGCTGCCATTCGGAACGGATGTACAGCCCGATGGCCCGACGCGACGACGGCTGCTTTGCCTCCGCATTTTATATTTCTGATATCTACTAAAATATTCATTTTAATGCCTAACTACCTCGGTAGCGCAGTGGTAGCGTATGCGACTGCTTTTCTGAGGTATCGGGTTTGATTCCCGGGTCGGACCAAATGTTTGTATGCTCTGCAAATATTTGTTTCATTTATTTACAAAAAAAAAGTAGATAATAAGCTCTGCTTAGTTTGAAACTAGATGGTGTGTCAGATGTCCGAAAATATGATATTATCATATTATATAATAATATGCTGTAAAAGGCAATTTTGATCAACATTAAATGCACAATTTCTCTAACGTAACGTATTGTTCAAAACAGCTTCGTAAATTACCTTTTTTTTGTAATATTTAAAAGCTAAAATGGTTACTGTGGGTTATCGTTAGGAGATATACAATGCCGTAGTACATTATTTATTTTGATCTATCTCGTAAGGTTAAGGCAGCGTTTGCAATGTAAGCGCACATATTTTTTACGACTTCACATTATAAAACTTTGTAATTTTCAGATTTCCTTTACTATAATATGCATGTATTATACATATAAACCCGCCTCTTGAATCACTCGCTCCATTGTTGAAAATCGCATTAAATCCGTCCGTTGCGTAGCTTGAAAGAACAAAAAGCGACTTCATTTTATACTATGTAATGATTTGACAACAGCTAGGTATGACGTCACGCCATAGTATTCGTAACAAAAATGTACTGCGTCTATCGTATCCGCCGAGCCGGTAGCCTGTGTTGCTCTATGTTTTGACGTTTAATAAAAAGATTCCGATTGGACTTGACAGTCAATGATGTTGTAAGTATATACAATTTAGCTTCCAAATAATCTTGGGGCTCTGAACAATCGGTTGTCGTTATATGCTTAAATGTAAATTCAATGATTTCACCTTGATAGAGTAGACAGTTCGTCATCAATCAAATATAAATGTGGAAAAGTACTCGATTAACACGCTCTTACATACGTCAATGCTATTTGTCCTTTTTTTTTGGCTACAATACTAGACATTAAAAGAAAATGTTAATGTAATACCAATCAGTCATACGTAGTATTGTGGTCGTATATCTATAAATCCCACCAAAAAATAAATAATTTTGTTGATTTAATAATTAATTTTAATAGGCAATATCAAAATTAATTATTAAATGTTCGCCTTTTTACCCAAACTAGGTTGGGGCCTTAAGTCTACTAAGTACGATACGTCTGAACTTCGATTTTCGGAGCGACCGCCATCATACCTTTACAACCCAAGTACTAGGCGATAGCGAAGTCTGCAGAAACACTTTTGTCGGACTTTTTAGGATTTCAAATACCCTTAATTGTTGCCACAGATTTTTATTTGTTCGTATGGCAAACGGAGCCGACTGTTTAACGTGCTCTCCGAGGCAAATATAAAATTTATTGAGAAATTTTATTTTAGCACCACCAAAGCGCACAAAACAGTCGTCCTTAATTTATTATTATACTAACTTTTCCCGAGGCTCGGCCCGGGTGTATGTCGGTTATCGCGGTAAAATGTACCGTATGGTACTCGGTGATAATGTAGCTTTCCATTGGTGAAAGAATCTTTAAAATCAGTTAAGTGGTTTAAGCGTAAAAGCGTCACAAACAAAAAACTCACTTTGACATTTATAAGCATGGAAATCACTTTATTGCATTTCCATTTTATTTTTGTCCACTAACCTTAACCTTATGCTATATGTTTAGCATATTGTATTGTGTTAACATATAATAATGGATTCAATTTAATTAGTCATTTGTGTAATTTGATCATATCAACAGAAAATAGCAAAGTAAAATTGTTGTAGTGAACAGTCGCGTGGTCAAGTCATTAAAACCGTTTTCTCTTTGCAATCCTAGTGCAACAAATTTTGAAGTATTACTATTTAATTAATATAGGGTGTACTACAAGGACACCGGGGGCTCGCAATTTTAACTTTTGCATTTTCCGACGATAACTAATATGTAATAAAAAAAGCAAAAAAATATATAAATTAGTCATGAACATAAAATACCATTATTAATTCCGTATCATACAAATATTTTGTGGTACAAATACTAACGTTTTTACTATACAACTATAACAACCATGAGGTTGTAACTGAATATAAATAGTTATTTAGTGCAATCTACAGTAAGCTATTTGAACAATGCTGATTTTAAGGCACAAATCGTACAATTGTTCGGTCGTATTGATCTCGTATGGATTTTTTTTCCAAATATGTAGTTGCATTGCCCGAGCCTAATGAAAGCCACGCAATACTTACCAAAATATCTAGATAGTCGCTATTTTTCGAAGAGTATCGTTTTTTTTAGGTAGGTTGTAGATGGGTTCTTATCTTTAGAACCAACCTTTATTAACAAACTCAACCAACAATTTGTAAAATAATAAATTATCATGCTTCTAATATTTTTCTTACAGCCACCAAAAGGTATCGTCAACATATTAGACAAAGTTGTCATCTACAACGATCCCTACGGCGTGGTCCTGGTCGTGGGTGCATGGAACTACCCTCTGCAGCTGCTACTGCTGCCCATGTCAGGAGCTATAGCAGCTGGCAACACGGTTATCGTCAAGCCAAGCGAATTGTCGGTTGCTTGCGCTCAGTTTGTTGCAGAAACCATACCCAAATATTTGGATAACGTAAGTGAATCACGGGATAAAAGCCCGACCTAAGACAATAAGATTTGGTCAATGCGATGTTTAACTGTAGACAATAAAGTTAAATATGTCCTAAAATAATAAGCCAAACAGTTGAAACTAATGACATAAGTTTATATTAAGGACCTAATTGTTTTCATTTCTCAGACGACAAATGTAAAGAATAGGTAAAATAAAAGGATAGGTATGTCAAAATATTAATTTGTAAATATTGAATACCTCACAATTACCCTTGACATATTAGACATTTGAATACTCTAAACAGTACTTTTATAATATTAAATGATGATCCCAATAAATTATTTCGAGTCGGCAGTTGCATAAACAAATACATCATTTTATTATTTTACTTCAGGAGGCTGTAATCGTAGTTGAAGGTGGCCCACAAGAGACCACAGAGCTTCTGAAGCAAAAGTTCGACTATATCTTTTTCACCGGAGGCACGAACATTGGCAAGATCGTTTATGAAGCTGCTACTAAGAATCTGACTCCAGTTACATTGGAATTGGGAGGGAAAAGGTAAGATTCTAATAGTTTTTAAAAGTCTGAAGAGGACAGTGAAGGTTTTAGTGACCTGTACTCCACAGAAGACCGTAGTTAACTAGCAGTGCTGGCAATGCTATCAGCATTAGTAGTTCTTTCTGTAGGTTCAACATTTTATTTAGCAAGATATGGTTTTTTCTGCATACATTTTACATATAACAAATAGGCAAGAGAAAAAAAAAATCTAGTTGGGATTAAAGTGCTATAACTGAAACTAGTTGGCTTCATAATTAACCATATTTGATATCATCGCAGCCACAATGCATGTGTTGCCATGCACACGCCAATTTAATTTGCTTTGATAGGAGGAGAGAATCTTGTTTTTAACAAACAAGATTCCGATGAATTAAGAACCTTCTCCTTTTTTGAAGTCGGTTAAAAATAGATGACTATGAACTTTCGAACTATTGATAAAATAAAACGATAAAACGTTTTTAGTAACAAACGTAAGACTGTTTGTAGTTTAAATTATGAAAAAAGTAATAGGCATTTGCACATTTTTATATCCGCAATCCAGATCCTTGTTTGAAGATATTTTGATTGTTAGTTTATTTCCAGGAACACAAACACTTTGTCGCATAATAATTAAATACGCGTAAAGTTTTGATATAGTACATAAAGTAATAATAAAAAAAGAAATGTCAGCTGATGTTATTGTTACGAGCCATTATTTATGTTATAAGCACCCACAAAGAAAGGATTTTTGAAAATGTCACTCTTAATGGGGAAAAATAAGAAATGAACGGTTGTATTTGTTACTTTCAAAGTTAGGAACACGAAATAAGACATAATCACATAAAGCCAATAATGACTGACTTTAATACTTTTTTTTATCTATTCTAACAGAATAGTAATCAGTCAAGGTCGTAGGGGCTCCATTATCCTAACGTGCCCAGGGCCACCAACAGGCTAAACATTGCTCTGCTATATTTTAAAACTTACTCTCCACAGCCCTGTGTATATTGACAATACGGTAGACATCTTCGTGACAGCGAAACGTATTCTTTGGGGCAAGTTTATCAATGTTGGTCAGACCTGCATCGCCCCTGACTACGTTCTTTGCACAAAAGAGGTCCAGGACAAATTCATTGAAGCCGCCAAAAAAGTGCTGAAGGAGTGGTATGGTGATGAGCCACAGAAATCACCAGATTTGTGCAGAATTATCAATAGCAGACATTTCAGGTAAGAAGTTAAATGTCTCATTTAGAATAAAGTAACCAATTTGTCACACTACACAAGATTATTATATTTTTTGTTTTTTTGAAAAAACAATCGTATGACGTATCACATGACGTACGTTTTACAAAAAATGAGATCCACAGACACAACTACATATTTTGAATATAGTTAATTCTCATCATTTTTTTTCTAATTTAATCTAAATTACTCAATCTAAATTACTTATCAAGTGTATTCCTATTTTAATGAGTATTGCTTCCTGCTTTACGAAATCCTTTAAAAATCGAATAAAACATTTTTTTTATAATTTGATTTGCAGATTAGAAATAAAATTAAAAAAAACCTCAATTTTTTCAGCCGTCTCCAAGCCCTAGTTGACGCCAGCAGGGATAAGATAGCCATCGGCGGTACATACGATGCTAATGACAGGTTTATTGAGCCCACTGTTCTTTCAAATGTAACAGGCACAGATAAAATAATGCAAGACGAAATATTCGGCCCCATTCTACCAATTGTAACGATCGAGAACGCATACGAGGCGATTAAGTTTATCAACGAAAGGTAAGACGCTATTGTTTGACTTTGAACTAATACATACATTTTTTTAAGTTTGAGTGTTCTATTTTGTGATATACTACGTAATATTTATATTGTAAAATGTATTTTTTCTTACTTGTCATACTTTACTTACTTACAATCCCGACATCCGAACCGATCGATATTTGGGTAACACATGCGATTATTTGTTCAATTATATATTGTATGTTATTAATCATATGTTGAGAAAAATAGCTTAGAGAAATTGTAAAGAAGACACAAAAAAAGATGATCTTTAAGATTAATAGGTGCTGCATCAGATGCAGCGTTATATGTGTTATGTTTCCGAGTTAAAGGTTATTATTTCTTTCAATGTAATTATTAAAACTGATCCTGTAAAGTTATTCCTTCTAAAATATCTCTGGTCACCAAGTACGCCATGTGTTTTAAAAAAGATAAGAACAAGTAAGAAAAAGTACACATTTATGTATAATGCCTTATGTTCAAGTGTTGTGAAATAAATATTGAAATGGGCGTGATTGTGCGGGTCTTCGTTACGATTGTGTTCGATTTGTGTGTAAGGGCTACAACACTGTAGTGTAAATGTCGTGGCTTAAGGGCTTAGTATAAGTTTATTTCAAATCCACTCGCCCGCAAACCTACCAATCGCGACGCCAAACACGCTTGCCGCCAAATAAACTCACACTAAGGCTGTTGAAATTGGTCTATTCATAATGTGTCCAGCCATCTCATACAATATACGTTTATTAAATATATCATGAGTGATGCCACAGAAGCTAAATTCAAACATTAGTATTCTTATCTGAGGCCCTAGTGTAAGTTCTACTCGATCGTCACGGAGACCGCGTTCAGCGTTGTGCCCGCACCGAAATCTTCACCTATTGCAACGCTAAACACGCACGCCCTCGAGAGTTGATCGCGAGTTGATGTGAAATAAACTTACACTAGGCCCTCAGCTTATTTATTTTTTCTAAGAGGCTTCTAGGTTGCAGAAGGTCATTTTGATATAAAAGCGAACTAAAATCTGCAAACAAAGTAAAAATTGTTGTAAAATATAATTACGACAAGTTACGAAGCAATATATGTTCTTTGTTGATTTAATAACTTTATTTAACCCGTTATATTATTGATATCCTATGTTAATGATATGGCCGAAAGTGAATTGAAAAATGATAAAACGTTGACGTTTGAAGTTAAGTATTAGCTCATGAAATGTGACCAGTTTACAAAATGGTCGGACACAAAATAAAGACCAACGATAACTTCTGGCCACGACATATAAGTTTTCATTGAATAGAATCATGAAAGCTGCCAATTAAAGGCTGCGAATTTTGTGGAGCATCATAATGCACAAGTTTTTTTCATTTGATTATGAAGTACACGCATTAAATGAAAGTTTTCACATTGACATGGTAATAGATCCATAAACAAGACAGTTGCTACATCCAGAAGCATAACAATTTTATAATTACATCGATCATAATAAATTTCATGCCCATGTTCATCACGATGGATTACATCTTATCGATTCATTACTAAGCACCCGCTCACATCGATTTTACATTGAGTTTTCTTCATTGAATGGAACTGGTATTTATTATCTACATCAACAACCCTGGATCATTTGAATACGGAATACCAATTTAAAATGAAGGATATCTTAATCGAACATCGTCCATTAAAACACTGCTGGCAATACAGAGCCAGAGAATGTAACATCAACAATTTTCAGGGAACATCCGTTAGTGCTTTACGTGTTCAGCACACAAAACAACATACAAAAGTTGTTCACTGAACAAACTCGTTCGGGCAGTATCAATATGAACGACACAATCATGTTTTATGGCGGTAAGGAGATGACATTACCATCGACTATTTGTAAAAACATACTAAATGACTAATTTGAACTAGATCGAAATATAATATAGAACTTTAAATTCTTATATAACTAAACATTCGTCGATACTGCACAGCATATTGAACAGTATCATTTTAAAAAAAAATAGTTCAAAGAAACTAAAAAACACGCTTTTTATAGAAATCTAAACTAAAAAATAGAAAATAAATTTCACTAAATTTGAACAAAAGCGTGGGGTGCTTTTTAGTATTGACAACAGGCAGGCATTTATTTTTTAAATTAGTGTATTGTCATCGGTCCTCGACATATCTACAAAGTTTGAACGAATTCTGACCGTTTAAAGTCAGTCAAAATCGCGCCGAAAGGAGTCAAACAAACATACAAGTGAAGCTAATATAAAGCGTGTAAAAATCACTGCTTTGTAGCAATGGTGTTTCACAAATGCAATGGTGTGATTTTTTGAAGTTAACGAGAAACTTCTCAAGATTTTAAGTACATCTTTTATCTGACTGAACGAGTGCACTGACGAAATAAAATAGTTCTCTATATTATTAGTTAGTTTTATAATTAGCACAAAGCACAAACTAGATTTAAATTTCACAGTTATAAAATAACACGAAATATTTCACCGAATAAAACACGTAGGTTGTTTGTAAAGACGAATGTTTAGTTATATTTTGAGATTTTTCTGTGTTAATATTTAAATATTTGGTATGTTATTACAAATGTTGTTTCGAGGTGGTGGTACATTGTTCTCCTACTTAGAAATACATGGACACGGTGAACGCATGTTTTTTTTCAGTACAGGTATACCAAGGAGGTTTTTTCGTTGTGTGTAAAAATAGCCTTTGGTGATGGCCGGCGGTGGCGGATGGTGGTGGTTACATATCATAAGAATGTACTGTTTCGTGTTATTCTAAACTTTCAAATAAACTGCACGAATTGACTGTATGTAATGTATCTAATAGTGTATCTATATGATAACAGTCAGCTGTATTATAGCTACCTATACTTAATTTTTAAGTTTTTCAGCCACTCACTGTTGCCCTCGACCTTTATTTGTATCTATAATTATTTATGATTTAGTGTTATACGCACAATATGTACAGATGCGAATTTCAATAACACCGGCATTTTCTACCAGTCTATCTTAGGTTGATGTAAAAATTATACAAATGGGAATACGCTTATTCTTACAAAAGAAGAATAAAGAAAATTGTAACAAATGTTTAATTGTGATTAATGTCAAAAGTCAGGCATTCCCGAAATACATACGTAAAGAAAACCATATATATTCATGATAATTGTTAATATAACTATTGATAGAACCTTAAGAGAGACACTCGTAAATGGTACTGATAAGTAAAAACATACCAATAGTGTTTAATTCGTGACTGACCATACTCATTTGTATACTCATTGTAAAAGAATTCTAAAAAAATATGTCCTCCCTTTCTATTCTAAGTGTGTATAACTCGCCAAAATCTATATCTTACAGATAAAATGGTAATTAATGCTAAAAAATACTTTCAATTTCTTCTAAGTGATTAATTCACTATGGTGGTGGTTCTGTCTAATGTTAATCTGTTATATATAGAGAGAAGCCGCTAGTGCTCTACGTGTTCAGCACGAATGATAAGGTGGTGTCAAGTTTGGTTGACAACACAAGTAGCGGAGGAATGTGTGTTAACGATACCGTCATGCATATGGGAGGTTTGGATTTTTTTATTACCTTATACCAGAATACTGAACTTTAGATGAAAATTTAAATCGATTAATAATTTTGTAATAAAAATCGACCAAACAGAATTTATAGAAATAAAAAAATATCCCAAACAGAAGCTGTCACGTTTGAAAGAAAACACAGCATTAACAATTTTATACGACAATGACGAACGTTTTGATGCCTCATCAAAGCGTCTGCTTACCGTGGTATTAATGTCTTTTTAGAAACTTATTTTTAAACAACTACACCAAATCCGCAGAGCAGTTCCGAAAATGTGTCAACATCTTTATCGTTCAAACTAAACACAGTACACATAATAAATCTCGTCGGAATTGCCTGCCTCGGTGGCGTAGTGGTATGCTAGATCTCGGGTTCGATTCCCGGGTCGGACCAAATGTTTGTATGATCTGCAAATATTTGTTTCGCAGTTTGGGTGTTTTCTATGTATAATATGTATGTATTTACTAAAAATTATATAAGTATTCTATCAGTCAGTCTAGGTTTCATAGTACAAGCTCTGCTTAGTTTGAAATTATATGGCGTTGTGTGTATCTGATGTCCAAAAATATTATTATGATTGATGTACCTACCTGAATGAAGTGTGTATCTGTCGGCAGAATGTTTCCATGAACAAACAGATGCTTGCCTAAGTAATCAATGCAGTACAGCTTTCGAATATTTGGCATATGCTTGAATTTTGTGTAGTTATTAATAGTATTTTCTATGGGTTTTCGAGTTCTCCATAACTGATCGTAATAATAATGGTTTTCTTCAAAATATTAAAACTGCCGTAATGACTAGGTATCGTCTCTTAATCGCATGTAGCATGTCGTAGAAAATTAAGGCATTAAAATATTATTACTATAAGTTGTAGTAAACGGTATTGTACTAGTGAGAATTTCAAAGATTGTTTTTGATTACAACATTTCATCTTCCTATTAGTAGGTACCGCAATTCTTATAAAAACTATTAATAAAGTCTACAAATTATTTATGTATAATACCTGTCTTTGAACGTCTTTTCGAGTAATTGCGTACGGGTGAATGTTGAATTTCGAATAATTAATTTAAATATAGAAGTGCAATTGTTTCTATCTGTGTGATATTTATGTATCCGGAACGGGCCAGTTACAGAACAATATTAAAAAAGTAATTACGAGTATAACATTTAAAAATGGAACTCTTTGGCTAAAGAACTCTTTTTCATGTAGCTGTCATTTGTTTATCCTATGTGAAAATTGTGTGTCTATATCACTATGGATTTCTCGTGAAAATTTTCATGCCATGATTTATTACGATTTTTGGCGAGGGCTAACTCAAAAACAGTGCTACAATCAACTCACCTCGTCTTTTGGTGACGAAGCAACAAACACTGTGTATCACTGGTTTAGTGAGTTTAATCGAGGGCGGTCTGTGCTCACGGACTTGTTGTACCTCAAAATATTGATGCCGTGTGGGAAATAATAATGCAAGATCGTCATGTTACACATCGTGAGATCTAGGAATAAATAGTATATATAAAATATTATACGAACATTTAGCTTTAAAAAAAAAATTCACGTTGGATACCGCACACCGTGAGAATTGACCAAAAACGGGCTCGTGTCGATTGTTGTAAAAAATGTTACAAAAGTACAATCAGGGTAAGTCAAAAGACTTGGCCCCCAACGACTTCGATTCATTCCAGACAGTTAAGAATAAATTACGTGGTCAACGTTTTTTCGAGCCGTGAAGAGGCTGTTGATGCGTTCAAAATGCACGTTTTGGAGATACCACAATCAAAACGGAAAAGTGCTACGAAAATTAGTTCCATGCAAAAGTGCATCGATCATCACGTCGAATATTTTGAAAAGCAATAAAACTGTAATAAATGCTATATGTTTGGTGCACTTTGTTATTCCGGATACATAAATAGCAGCCCTCGTATAATGTAGTTTTACACTCAAAACGAGCACAAAAATCAGGCTACTGGAACCGTGTAGAGTTGTATATTGTAGCATTTATGTTGTATCATGGTACGAAAAGTCTATACAATGACAGTCCAAGTTATACTGATCTATAACTGAGCAACGATATCATCACACATCACTTCACCGCCTATAACAATCCACTGCTGGACATAGGAAAGGAGATTTTGGCTTTTCGTTCTTTGCTCCCTTAGTCGGCTCTTACGACACCCACGGGATGGATAGGGTTGGTTTTCATTCTTAATCTGTCACCACACGGCAATCCTTAATCAACTATATAATATAAAACATTTAAATCTTGCGAGCTCGAAATTCGACCACCAAATTTGAATCCACAAATACTACTAACTCCAAATCCTACATCCTTTTATAAATTATTCACATCCTATCTAATATTACAAAATATAATATTAAAATTACCTATAGCAAGAATTCATTTTAGCTTTGAAGATCTCAGTGGTACCTGAGCAGCTACTAATCAATTTTTGGTTATATTATCATACTAATAAGTTCTATAATCACAGTGGAAACTTTGCCTTTCGGCGGCGTTGGTTCGAGTGGCATAGGTGCCTACCACGGTAAGGCAACCTTTGACACGTTCACACACAAGAAGAGTTGCCTCATTAAGAACTTCGCAGCGATTGGGGAGAAACTGGCTTCGTAAGTATTTGTTTGAAGCTGATCAATTATAAACATAAATATCTGTTAAAAATTAATTATTTAACATAACTCTGGTAAGTAAATGTACATCAATTTGATGTCATCATACGTGACATCATATGTGTGATACATCAATGTTCCAATGTTTGTTGGAACACAAGTAGTGATGAAAGAACTTGAGGCTTATAAACCTTTATAATTAAGACTAGCCTCAATTTTGAAGACTTGACTCCAAAATTACGACACATCACATTTGTAACAAGCCTTAAAGCTTTTTACTAATGTGAAAGAACTCGAGTCATTGAAAAACTCGACAAACTTAAGAAACTCCAACAAAGTTCACCAGGTAGTCTGTAATAAATATGTAATGATCATAAACTGAAGTTTAACTAATTAAAGTCTCATATTAAACGACTCGCTTTGTTAAAAGATTCGAGTTCTTTACTTAAAAGACTCGCGCCTAAGCCTTGAACCTCTCAGTAAAAAACTCGAGTCGTTTTATTGATTCGATTATTTTCTAATGACTCGAGTTCTTTCACATTAGTAACAAGCCTCAATTCGTAATTTAAGAGTAGAGTCTTCAAAATCGATCACTAAACACAACCGTGGGAGATTTTTGCTTTGGCACAAATGAGCCGGTTCGACCGTAGTGATATAACGGCCACACAAAAAAACCCGCTAAGCAATTGTGAGTGGCGTCACTGGAGAATTTGTGACTCTAGAATTGTAGGTGTCTACAGGTGGCGGTAGTTGCATACCACCTGGGCGTCAATTCTGCTATTTTGTGTTAACGTACAAGCCACTGTTATTCCATTGACAAACTATTCAGATGCCATTAACATCAGGCGAAATATCAGTATTCTACTAACATAAATTCACAGTGTCAAATTGAAGTATCTGGAAAATTAAATATATAATTTCCTAATAAATTTAAAATTTACCGTTTAGAAAGCTATTACAGACATCGACGATATTTGTATCAGCGGCAGTTCAGTGACAAGTCATCGGAAGGCCATTGGTCTTACATAGTTAGTAGAATACGAAAGTGCAAAACTATCCCGACGACATTCTATCTATAGTCTATTGATAAAATAGCAGAATTGAGGCCCAGGTCACCCGTTTACGATAATATTTTACATAATCTACAGTTTAATATTATGAAATTTCAGGGGTCGCTACCCGCCATACTCGGAAAGCAACCTTAATTTCCTCAGTACGTTGATGCGGAAGCGCTTCGGCCCATCGCTGAAGTTCGTACCTTACGTACTCGCGTTCGCACTTGGCGCTGGATTGTCGTACGGAATTTTCACTTGGCAGAAGGTAAAGAAGTAATATGAATGAAAATTATTACGTTTGAAGAAGTCAAATGTCAAAGAATTACTTTAAGATTCCACTAAACAAGAGAACCATATTGTCAAGAGCTTTTGCGTATTGGTATTTGGCGAACAATAAAACATACTGAAATAACGGGTAGGGTAAAAAAAACATGAATACCAACGAGTAACATTGATTCTTTCAAAACATTAGCGTAAAATTTTAGATTTCTAGCAAAAAAAAACAACCAAAGACGTTCAGTCAACATTAATCCGCTAAATCCGACCCAGTGGCAAAATCCGTTCTTAACTGGCTTTCATAATAAACTACTTCGCTGTCAAATTTCATCTGAACAAAATGGCCGCTCACTCAAAGCCTACAACTAAATTGTTAGGTTAGTTAAGAATATTGGTATTTGTTATTTTAAATGTCTGGTATCGATCATATTACCAACAAAGAAATCATTTATTGTCCATGATAGATGTGAAACATAATTATATATTGTTTTTCATGCAAAAAGTATAAACAGGACGAACTGAATTTTCAAGATAGGGATTTTTGCAATAAACTTTAATCCAAAATGAATTCGTAGCTGTAGGTATTTACGACTCATTTTGTAATAATATGCATTAGTTTTTCATTGATCGTATCATATCAATATCGTATGATATTGATTAACTCCTTTCTTACATTAGGTACATCAGTTTTGACTTCTTGCCTACTTATGTAAATAAAAATTAGGTAGATACAAGTTCACAAGAAAAAAAACATATTTTGACATGATACTTGACAAAGTGAATAAACACTATTTAGTCTCATCTTTAAGTCATTTTTATAATTAAATCCTTAATTATTTTATAGCGACTTCAAGGTTGTAATGATATAAAACTAATATTATCTATTTTAATATAACCGCTATATGTTAAGTACATTTGTTTAAATATGACATGCACATTGTAGTCTGTTAGTTTTATACGGAAATGTAAAATGTCTCATATCCAAATAATAATTCAAATTTAAAAACTTGTTTTATTTAACACAACTATTCAATTAAATTCCTAAAGTTTACCTTGTCTATTTTTACAATAGATATTATTTTATAAAAAAAAAAACCAAATGAAAAGGTTTTTACCTTAGTTAAATAATCAATTGAATATAAGAATCATAAAATCTCAGCATAAACTTAAGAAATATATATTTACACATGACTGAAGTCTGATAAAGACAGAGCAGATACCATTTATCTTATATATAAAATTCTCGTGTCACAATGTTCGTTCCCGTACTCCTCCGAAACGGCTTGACCGATTCTCATGAAATTTCAACATCAACATCAATTTTTCATACCCCTAAATGGTAAGGGTGACCCATCCCTAATTTTTTTGTTTTGCAATACACGTTTGCCGGGTCAAGTTTATTCATATAGACACGATAATAAGAAGTTCTTAAATAATTGCTAACGAAAGAGAAAATTAAGTACAATTATAAATGGAATGAACATAATAATAATTACTAGACACATCTCGTACACGGTCGTCTGACCTCAAGTCTGACACGGTTGTCATGACCTAATAATTATAGATAATGGCAGCGTTAAGACCTTTATCGTATTTAATGAAGTAAAATAATAACAGGCGTCCCACGATCTCTGACTTGAATAAGCTGGGGTGCGGGATGAGATGCGAGTTTGGGTGAGGCAGCCAGTTAATTTAGTAGGTCTGAAATAAGAAAATTAAAAAAAAAACAAAAGGAGCCGCTAAAACTCTGGGCCGTGTCCCCGGAACTTCCTTCCTTGGGTTCCAATTCTCTTACAATAGACCCATTTTTTATCGGTTCGATTCCGATATCTTCAACGAGGTGATTATAAGGTTAGAAGTCGCGATAAAAAAGTAAACTTAGAAAAGACACCAAATACAAAGGATGTTTAAATAATTCAGCCGGCGGGCAGATTTCTATGCGGGTATAATTTTCATCATCATCAACAGCTTTTAACAGTCCACTGCTGGACATAGGCCTCTCCTTGGAAAAGAGGTTTTGGCCTACTATACCACGCTGGCCAGACGGGTTGTGTCAAGTTTTCCTTCTCTTTGCAGTGTTGTTGTCCTGCGTATTTTGCTCCCTTAGTCGGTTCTTACGACACCCACGGGATGAATAGGGGTGGTGACACTCTGTATTCTTAATCCGTCACCACACGGAATGTTAGACCTTGTGCTGTAAGACCTTGCTTTTAACCAAAATTAACAATTCTAGGTCAACCGGAAGTACCCTATAGGTTTTGGGTCGAAAAGCTATATGGTAGTTCCCATTAACCTAGAATCACGAAATTTGGCAAAAAGAAACGTCTTACAGCACAAATAGGAGTAATTAAAAAAAAATAAAAAAGTTGAAAATTAAGATAAATTTTGGTACTTACAAATTTTCGCGAAAATCTACGTAAAATCTCTGTAGGTACGGAACCCTCGGCGCACGAGTTCGACTCGTACCTAACCGGTTTTTTTTAAGCAGAATGATTCCAGAGTTATCTTCGACGCGTTTGAGGCCAAGTATTTATGTCGTCATGACCATAAATATCTACAGCATTTCGCAGCTGTCTTTATATAATGTGTGTTATAAAGAAACAAAGGCATCTGACGATAAAATGACATTGTGTGTGTACTCAGATTATGAAATTTAAATCTTGTCTTTTAATGTTAATTAGAACTTGACTAGTAAATGTTTAACTAGGAAGGTAGAATCAGTTTATATGCAATTGTAAGTCATATTACACGATCAGCTACGAAATCTTCTTGATAAATTTAATAAAAATAATGATTTTTAATTTTTTCAGATGACATCAGAAGACTTGTAAGGAGGTTGTAGATGGCAGATTAATTATTGTGATAATGTTCTAAATTCCTACAGGCAAAGATTTACAAAATCCTTGTAAAATCAACATATCTTACCGGTAATTACTTGCAACTTTAAAAAAAATACCATCGATTTCAATGCTCCAAAAACAATTAATTTATGATTTCATCAACCTTGATTTCGTCAACCTGTTATTTTCCATTCTCAGGGAATTGAAAAGCTTTGTTAAAATTAAAATGGGACACAAAAAATAATCAACAAAAGGAAGCTTAATATTAAACTCAGTTAAAAAAATTGTGGGAGTTGTCAATGGAATTGTAAATTTTTGTCTGTGGACCTAAAAGTGCCTTTAGGTAATCCTAATATCAATGCACTTTGTGATTTAAACAGAACAAGATTAGGTTTACTTTTATTTGTTTCGACTGATGAAAGCTGTTTTTATTATCTGTTTTGGACAATTTATTCTTTTTTAATTTAAATTTGTAAAAAGTTCGTTAATTGAATTCAGATAATAGTTTATTTCTGACCATAGTACCATTGTATCAACAGCTAATAAAACACTTCTGATTTAGTAAATATTCTTAATATTTTATACGTACGTAAAAATGCCATGACTTATTATTTAATCATAATCATTATATACTTTGTTTTCTTTATTAGATATATAAAAGAGAACAAGCATTTATTTTTCTGCTAATAGTTGTTTATTGTGAATATATTCTAGACAAACGAGACGTATAATGTCGGTATATCATTTTATCCTTTTTATTCATTTCTGTTTAACGGATTTGTCTGTGATTATAAAAATGGCACATACATATTTTTGCGATGCTTTAATATATTTTTCCAATGCATTTATTGAACAAAAAGTTAACCTATAAGATATAAGAAGTCGTACAACGTTTAAAACCCATTTCTAAACTATCAATCTATCTTTTTTTGTAAAGAAAGAGAATTAAAATTCATATAACCATATTAAATTCATATATGTGGGGACCTCTAAGCAAATCGTAGATCATGCATTTTATCGTTTTTTTTTAATGCTCCGGTTCGTGAGCTATGCACAGATTGCACAGGTACAGTCAACAACATTCGATTGCCAAAAGATTATTGTACTGTAACAAATTAACAAACAATTTATCTTTAAGGAACATTAGGATAGTGATCTTTAGGATGAAATCAATTATTGTTTAGTCTATTTAATATTTCAAAAAAGGTTTTAATGTGTGGACATTTGTTTCGACTGTATCCCTTTATATTTTTTGCATGTTTGAATTGGAGGTATTTATGAATTGTTCTTATACGAGTAATTGTTATTATTGTATACTATATTCGTTATCTTCAGATTGTTTAATGCAATAATACGTATTGTTTTTGCTATAAGCACTGTTAAAAGGTTATTGGATAATTTTAATGTAAATATACGGGAACTTCTGGATAATTTAAAATCGTTGTTTTTTTAATCCTATTCTATTCTAGTATGTACTTCACGTTAGACTACAAAAAGGAGATTCATAATGTAATGTGAAAAGTGTTGCTAGCCATTAGGTTGGCAACATCTTTATGAAATTTGTCTGCGTTTGTGAGTAATTAAATGTATAGACAAGTATCCTCTTTCTATTTTTCCGATAGGATGTGATAAGCTTTATTTCCTCTACGATACTACTGATGTAAAGTTGACGTAACAACTTCTTTAATCGCTTATGAAAAGTCACTAGTCGCTACTTTCACACACCTTAAATTATCACGTCTTATTCCTGATCTGTTACTTTTGAGGACCCTAATGGCTAGTGATTCTGACTGCTTAGCCAGAGGTCGTGGGTTCGAGTCCCACCCAGGACAAATGTAGCGTCATGAGCACGATCATTTGTACTGTATCTGTCTTATATTGCCATAGAAACCGAAGGTTAGTAACCAGTTGAGGAGGAGGAAAAAATGATCTTTGTACGAAACCAGTTTCGAACTAGGATTATTTCTTCCTACGACAAATAATAAATATAAATAATAAATAAATATGTATGTTCATCAGCAGTCTGGTTACCATAGCACAGAGGGACCGACTGTGAGATATGTGAAGTTATTATTGTTATATTAGTATCAATAAGCAAAGTGCAGTGAAGGACGTCCATCAGAGTTGACAAATTACCTCGTGAAGATCGCAGATTGTCGGTAAACGTAGGTCACAGGTCGTGGGTTCGATTCCCACCCATGACAAATATTGTGTGACACTATCATTTGTTCTGCGTCTGGGTGTAATTTATCTATAATATATATCTATTTAAAAATATATAAATATGTTTATCAGCAGTCTGGTTACCATAGTACAGGCTCTACCTAGTTTGGGAGCAGACGGCCGTGTGTGAGAAGTGTAAAAAAAATGGAATAGGTTTTATAACGCATTTCCTTTAGAATCTCGTGCCATAAGACTGCATAACTATGGTCCAGTCATGGTAAATTATCCTTCAGCTCATTAATTACTAAGAGTACATCAATGATTACAAAGTATGTTTAAACGTTATACACTAGAAAGGTAAAACAAAAAGGTTATTAGGTCCTAGTGCATAAGCACTAGGATCTAATAACCTTTTTTTTTACCTAATAATAATATACATACATACAATAACTTAACCTTATTTTTTCGTTTATATCTTCTGAATGGTATGGTTTTCTTTAAATCCGTTTTTACAAACAATATAAACAAATTCAAAACGTATGAACAAATTTACTGCTCTAGAAAATCGTTTTATATGAAATCTAGCAAATGGCCAAACGTTGTCGCAGCGGAAACTTGAATATCTTGGCAGTTTCACTTCCTCACGTCATACACTAATTTTTGATACCATTTTTTTTCTTCTACGTCCATAGGATAAAAAAGTGCCGTTGGAACAACGTTGTCAAAGCGAAAACAGTTTTTGTGAATAACTCCCCAATGGTTGAAAGCACAAATTTTTACTTACCATACACAATTACACTATGTCATACACTAAATTTCTGTTAAACTCAAATAATGAAATTCCAACTTTTTCCGCTGGAGCAACGCACACTGTATCGCTATATGAAAAGTGCTCTCCCCGATAAGAATGTACAATAACTTCTTAACATCAACCGTTGGTCCGCGGTCCGATAGGCATAATCACCTTGCCTATTCGGATTATCCTCCCTTTATGTTGGAGGGACATAAAACTCTTTCCTTCAACAGCCTTCAAGGAAGCAGATCAGGAGCAGTAGCAGCATCGCCACAGGTAATTCGTAACAGATTATATTTCAATTTAAAGTTATAGGTATCTGGGTACCTACTGCTTTATTTATTACTAGCTGAGACGAGCGGTGTTACCCACGTTTGTTGTTATAACCGCGGGCAACGCCGCGGGGCGAAGCTAATCTAAAAAAAGTAGCCCAAGTTACTCCTTATGTCGTCAGCTATCTGCCAGTGAAAGTCCCGTCGAAATCGGTCCAGCCGTTCCAGAGATTACCCGAACAAACAGACAGACGGACAGACAAAAATTGTAAAAATGTTATTTTGGCATATGTACCGTGTAAAAATACATATGCATTTAGTAAGAAGCGGTTATTTTAATATTACAAATAGACACTCCAATTTTATTTATTTGTATAGATTACGCTGAAAGTTGCAACACAACACAACAAAACACAGAGTTTTATTTGGATACTAGCTGAGACCCGCGGTGTTACCCGCGTTTATTGTTATAACCGCGGGCAACGCCGCGGGGCGAAGCTAGTCAAAAATTAAGTACTGCTAGTCTAAGTTACTCCTTATGTCATCAGCTATCTGCCAGTGAAAGTCGCGTCGAAATCGGTCCAGCCGTTCCAGAGATTACCTGAAACAAACAGACAGACAGACAAAAATTTAAAAAAATGTTATTTAGGCATATGTACCGTGTAAACATACAAATGCATTTAGTAAAAAGCGGTTATTTTAATATTACAAACAGACACTTCAATTTTATGAATTTGTATAGATGAATATTATAAAATAGAACAAGTTTATTTCGTAATTAATAAATAAACTAAAACTATAAACTTATAGACTTTGGTTAGTATTATTATAGTTTTTAGAGATTAAAAGATTATCGTTTAAAATTTTATATAGGATAGTGCAAAAAGTGTTTTGAATTGAAACACCATCTACTAAGTATAAATGGTCATTAAAACGCTATTTTAATAAGTATCTTTTTTCGATGCATTTTTTGCATCAAAGTCATGCACCCTTTTCGCTGATGGGGTTATATGAAAAAAACAAACTGATAGAACATGTATTTCTTTCTTCTAAACTATAGGTATGCCACGTCTTGACGAATTTCGATAGAGAAAGGTAGATTTGTACCTACATGATATTATGTCATTTACGTGTATAGAAATGAATTTAATATGTAAAGTACGTAACGTTTGAACATTATGTGGCCTACTTTAAAAACTGTAAAAAATTCTAACGTTACGTAACTAACGTACCTACCTGTAATGTAGTACTATCTGCTGTGGTACATAATATACATATTTTATCTATTTCTATTGGCATATTAGAACGATTATTACCATTTACACCCTGTGTAGGACATAATTATATCAGTATAATTATTATATCAGACTATAAAACGTATTCTAATAAGATCATTTTTTTCAATTATTAGTTGGTAGTTGACAGTTTCGAGATGTTTTACAGCCTGCTTAGGCGATCGTAATATTCCAATGAAAGGCATTTAGTGACTATTCTAACTGTAGGTAGTAGGTACCAAAATCTTTCTTGTATTAAAACAACACTAAGTAATATCTTCTAAACGCTAACAATGTACCTATACCAAACTTGGCCAATTTGATTTTACAGACTGCTGGTTTTTTTTCTACAAATATAGTTCTTCCACCTGTAAAAGAAAAAATAAATAGGCTACATACCTACATATAGGGCGTAAGATGTCTAATCTACAGTGTCTTAATTAAATATGTTTGTTTCATCTAACATATTTAATCAAGTAAATCATTTCATGTTCTATGACGATAACTCTAGTAGAAGCTCGTAGAAGCTAGTAGAAGTCTAAGCGGTAGTTGAATAGTCTGTTAATGTCAGAATTTTTTTATTAATAAAAACTAAAAAATTGCAACATAGAGTAGGTACTCTTAATAAAGTATAATGTAATTGTGATTTCGAATTGGAATAATCAGCAAACATTTCAAGCCTTAGATTAAGGGTTATTTGTAGATTGGTATGCATTTAACAACTTTCATTGGTCACCGTACTTATCACTATACCTATTAATAAGCCAAGAACTGATGTTTTCCTTAACAGAATTTTTGAGAATGTGGTTCAGTATGATTGTTATATCATTATCCTGTAATTGTATGTTACATTAATATTTGTTAGTTCATTCGTCTGTTAAAATGAATCAATTGCTTGTAATAAATACATTTTTAACAAATAAAATTACCAAACAATATTTCTTTACTTATTTGTTCAATATCTTTTGGTTATAAAACTTTAATATAGGTAATTTAGTTTATTGTAGTTAGCACCGGCCTTCTATGACGTTTTTTTGACCTCATAATCAGCGTTAACGACAATATGACCTCATAGCACTTGGTTCGCACTGACAGTGTGAACGGCGTCAACAGTTTATTTATATCTATGCAGTCATTTTCACGCAAGGCAATATATGAATGCAATGATCTTTATTGAAAATTACATCACTGTGATATATATAACTGAGCACCTACATATAATGTAAACATGTATCATACATTTTTTGTATGAACGTATTTTGAAACATAAAAATGATTTGGTTCTTTGGCATATCCAAAGGCAAAATTGTATTAATAGATGGACCCCAATTATTGTAAACACAGCAGACTTTTCTAAAAAGACCAATTCGTATTGTGAATTTAAGAAAGACTTTACTTAAACTATCTACAGACCTTCTGAAAAAGACTGCTTTTTCTAAATAGCACTTGTTAAATATTTCTATTTTGCAAGCTGTAGCTGTTTTACTGAATGTATACAAACATCTTTTGTGTATGTATCCGAATATCTGACAACTGTCAAATAAGTTTATTTTTTCATATGGCAGTCAATGTTTTGAATGTAGGTGTAGTTTTTTAAATACAGTTATTAATTGAGAAAAATAAAATAGCATAAATGATTCTAACAATGCCTATCCAAATCGATTACTAATATGGATGACATATTTCTGCAGTTTTAAAACAATTAATAGTAACTTATTGTTAGGTTATATTTTCTTACATTGCAACATTAGTGACTTACGAACGAAAGTGCTTGTGATGAGCAAAGACGATTAAAAAGTGTCGATAAGCCAATATTCTGCAGAAATTAGCCCCATTCTTCAGGTATCTACAAAATATAATAAATAACACCCTCGCATGTGAGGGTACTATGTGGTGGTGCTGTTCTTCTTCCGCTAGTTCAGGTGCTTATTCACATTTGAGGGCTTGTCTGACTACTCCCTACCCATAATCCTATACGGCGGCCATATTTATAAGTCATGAAAGGCGTTGACGCTCGACACCATCATAATTATTTGCGTTGTATTGTTTTACAGGACCGATGGCTGCGATACGCAAAAAGTTAGTGATCGTCGGTGACGGTGCGTGTGGTAAAACATGTCTCCTAATCGTGTTCAGCAAAGATCAGTTTCCGGAAGTGTACGTGCCGACAGTGTTTGAGAACTACGTCGCCGACATCGAGGTGGACGGAAAACAGGTAGAGCTTGCGCTTTGGGATACAGCAGGACAAGAAGATTATGACAGATTGCGACCACTGTCATATCCTGATACCGATGTTATTCTCATGTGCTTCTCGGTGGACTCGCCTGACTCGCTCGAGAACATCCCTGAGAAGTGGACACCTGAGGTAAAGCACTTCTGTCCTAATGTGCCCATCATCTTGGTGGGCAACAAAAAGGATCTTCGTAATGACCCGGCCACGATCAACGAGCTCCGCAAGATGAAGCAAGAGCCGGTAAAGCCGCAGGAAGGCCGAGCTATGGCGGAGAAGATTAACGCCTTCGCATACCTGGAGTGCTCTGCTAAGAGTAAGGAAGGCGTACGTGAAGTGTTCGAGACAGCGACCCGCGCTGCGTTACAGGTCAAGAAGAAGAAGAAGACTAGGTGTTCCCTATTGTAATTGTGCTGTTGTCGGGAGAACTCTGATTTATGAATCGTTCGCATACTGCCTGATAACTTACGTTTGAAACGACTCGGACTGTGCAGCAGTCGCGACGTCGGCCACACAGTGCTTCCTTCTGATACTGACTGCTGACGCGATGTCGCGGCCCGCGTCGCACGACACCCACTCAGTATTCGTGTGGCTACTCTTCACAATTGGTACTTTGTATATTTTATAGATTATCTATAAAGAGTAAGCGTAAATGCCTTAAACAAAAGTAGTCGGGGGGCATATGTGGACCTTCCGTCTCTGGCAGGGCCACTGGAATTTTTCATGCTATAATATCATGTTATATAATCAAGTAGCATTTCTTCTACATATAGAATATTCCTCGACCGGTGGCATCTCACCGAGACTTGTTTAGTTCGGTATTTTGTATTTTAATTTTTCAATAAAATAGTGGTGTATAAATTGTGTAGGATGTTTATTTGACACGGAGCGTGAGCCCCACTCTCATCTAAGTGCCTGTCAGCTAGACACGTCTTTGAGACGTTCAATCTGATTTTGTAGGGCAGTTTTATTGTAATCTATTGTTTGTGTGAAATTATAACTTCCTAATATAATTTATTAGTAATAAAGGAACCCCATGTCAGGAATTATTTTCTACTCTTTTTTGACTTTTTATAAATTTTTAATGCAGCATTTATAAAGCAAAGGTGTTTAGGATGGGGGATATTTAAGTTAATATGATCATTTATGTTATGTTTCATTAGCCTTGTAAGTACAAAATTATCGTCAAATATAATTAACAAAATAATTATTAGATTTCCTTTTATATAATTTAAGATTTATTATTTTGGATTTATTCCAATTACAAATTTATTAACCAATAATTGAAAGTTTCAATTTAGGAACTCCTTGACATTTTCAATAATTGTAGAGGGTTGAAGCGGCGGCGTGGCGCAATCATGTGTTGTTTGTTTCGGTAATGAGCGGCTGTGCGATATGGGATGTGCACTCCGGGCGGTAAGGACCGCTCCGTGCCTAACAGCTCTGGCGCCCAATCGCAGTATACAATAGTGTTGACAGCACTCAGTTTCTGCGCTGGCTCTGGTGTCATCAAGTAAACCAAATTCTTTTCAAAGTCTACGCCACGGATCAGACCTGCAATAACAGACGCACATGAGTATTAACTTATCACGTTCATAGTTATCATATAACAAGTTTAATCAGCACTTTATTACATTTATTGATAACACACTTTATGACTAATTGTATTTAAGTGAATATCTATGAAATCACCTATTTACCGTTCAGTTTAGCAATTTTAACTTTATAAGACAATATAGATATATTCTTAGTTTATAGATTTTGCTGGTTTGACATAAAAGCTGCAATAACTTGATTTTATGTAATTAAAGCTCATAGTGGTAATTTATAGTAATATGATTGTAATTCAAATAATGGTTCAAGTTTAATTGAAGTAATAGTAAAAGTCCTTTTTATCATTTAACACAGATCATTGACAGTATAAATTTAAAATAATAATAATATAAAATATCCAAACATTTGTGTGTTTATGATATAACTATTTACACTTTTTTCTTATCAAATCAGCATCATCTCTGACTGTTTTAATGTAATGTAAATTTATTTTATTAGCTCATTACACAATGAAGTATATCCAGTGTAAATAAAACTGATGAGACAATTTCTGTAGAAGCACTAGTGTCGTTAACACTATGGCAATTGTTGACAGTCACAAATACAACCGGTTAAACAGGCCAACCCTTGTTTGCCAACCTAGTCTTTAGAAATAGAGTGCCTGATTTAAAAGCAGTGTTGGAATCAGTATTTTCAATTGGAATAACTTAGATAGTGCACAGCTGCCAAGGTTTTAATTGAACTGAAATTTAGTTTAATTCTTGGTTATTGTCCAAAATGTTTTAAATTCATAAAATTCTTTACTAATTAAACTTGCTATAACAACACAGGTATAACATTTACCGTGTCCATGGTATAGCGGCGCGTTATCTTGTAGAGTAAACACTTTCCCCTTATCTGTTGTGTTAAGTTGACAAAGCGCTACTATTTTTCCGTTGATCACCTTCAATACAGAGTCCTTTGCTACTCTCACATTGGTCACAATATTCACATCAGACAGGTTCAACCTAAACACAAAAATAATTAGCCTTAAAAGTAGGCACTAATAGAATGACTATTCTAATAGTCAATTTTAGTCTAAACAATTCATTTATTAACGTACTCGCGAATGTAAGTTAATCTCATTACCATATTTTTAATTGTCAGTCATTGTAATTCAATCAGCTGTTTCTCCAAAACATAAATCAGCTGATCAGACCTATGATATTTTGTAAACTTCGTTCAAACAATACAAAGGTTCAGTCCTGAAATTACAAACTTTGATAGAAGCTAAATGATAACAGTGACGATTGATTAACGAGGTATTGTTGGCTTTAGCGTGAATCACTAATAATTCCGGGAGTCAAACATTATCTTATTACATTACTCATAAGTTCAATGCAGTGCGTGGTTGTTGTGACAACGTGTTTGTATAACCTGCAGGTACTCTACGGGTCTAAAATTAACTATGTCAGTTTAGAAGCAGGCTGTAAATTATTATAAACGCGATTAGCGACCTTTTTTTACGTTTGGTACCTGCCACGTGTAGAAAATATACGTTAACAAAGGCTAAATCTACTGATATCCCTTGTATGTTATGAGTAGGTTAGCTTTTACCAACAGAGGAATTTAACAAGTCGATAATTTTTTTTGTTGCACTAAGCTATATTAATATTAAATTCAATATTACAATCGCTCATAAATTACTAGTATATAACAAATTATTGTCAGTATATAATTCCGAGAATGCGTTTTATATTCCAATGACTAGGCCAAGGTGTAGTGAATCATGTGTGTGATAAAGGCACGGCAGACAGGTCCGAGTTAAACATATACATAGGTATATCTCAGTCAAGTGTTGCCGGAAATAGCGAGAGATCGTGAAACCGCCGGAACAGATGGGAGGCATTTCTTTGAATAAATAGTGTTCTTTCTCGCTCACTCAAGTGATGAATCCAATAACCATAGGTCTATGCTAGTGAACTTGACAATTGCTCATGGCAATCAACATCACCTCCCAGTTGATAATTTCTCACCGGACGACTTGTTTAAATTAGTACATTGACTTGTATTTTTCTTTTATAGAAAACGTTTTATAACATTTCCATAATTTCTATTTTACATTAAAATATGATAAATATTTTTTATTATATTATGGAAATACGTCTCTAAGCTTCTAGGAATAAATTCAAAACAACTTAGATGGCGAACGGGAACTAGAGTCTGTTAACTGCGGTGGCGGTGACAACTGTATTCACCTATTGCGCTCTGAACGAGAGCAAGTACCTACTCTCAAACCAGACAAAATAACATTGTGCTGAAACTAATGTTTGTGTTAAAACCTTTGATCAATATCATCAAAGATTTTAACACAAACATCAGTCTCAGTATGTAATTATTCACTTGAATAAGATGTTACAAAAAGAAGACTTTACAGGAGTTACACATTGTTTGACTCCTGTACATACTTGAGCATAGATCAACGTAATAATAGAAGAACACTGGCTCTCAAGTCACAGATGATAAACCTAGTTTGGGAGCCAGAAACCTGTTATTATTTACATGCAGTTTGATTATTTGATTTGTAACACTATCGAAATATTATTTGTGAACAAGGTCTCTAGTGTATTTTTTGGTAAAAAAAAAAAAACAAACCTTTCGAGTAGGCATACCAAATACTCTTCTCCCTTTTTCCTAAGGCAAGCAGGAATTTATATAAATCTTCATTCGTACGGAGGCAGTTCACACTCGTACAGAGCTTCGCTCGATTAAGCCGTAGCTCAGAACAGCAAGGAACAGAAAAGTTGATTTTGGGAGTGCGAGTCTACCTTTATAAGTATAGGTCACCCAGGTAGGCTCATTTAGTGGCTAGTGGTTAATTTGCTAAAGGGGCCATACCGAATCCGGGCGAAAGGTTTGATGTAGAACAGGTTTCAGTCAGTTCGACACTGACAGCAATATATCATTCCTTCGTGTAGTATCTTATACGCTATGCATTATTTTAAAAGGTTTACTTTTGTCCTGCAGGTAATAAGTATAAAAAAATTAACATAAATAGATATCGGAGAAGTATTGTACTGCTTACTCTCATGTAGTGCTCTACTACTGATGTACCAAGTTTCCATGATATCTAGTGTCTATGCCATAATATTATTTGGCACTACGCCCGCTTTTTCGCACGGCCTTTGCCTTGAGCGTTTTACTGTGATGAGTGAAACTACATTAGGTTGTTCATTGTTTTGATTTGTTATCTACAACTGGCAATGTAGCTCTTTGTATGTGGCCCTAGCTCCGTGTCTTGTTTCTACAAGAAAACGATTGTTCATTGGCGGCGATAGTCACTTTTCATCAGATGACCCGTCTGCTCGCTTAACCCTATATAATAAAAAGAAACACAATAATAACCAACCTAGATAAAACTAAATTTAATTAGTAAATAATCCTGTATAGTAACTTGATCCTAATATATGTTTTTCGTAAATTATTGTTACGCAATGCCTTTAATGCATCGCCTGTACATATTTCCCTACATATCGAAATATTTTGTATGTCAACTCATTTTAGATAGTGTACAATAAATTTTATTTTATTCTTATGTGTTCTGCGGTTATATTATTAGGTTTATAATACATAATATCTTCCTCAGTCCTCGGGATTTATCATCTTAAATATATAAATAGTTATATAAATATATAACTGTTATTCTAAAAGTATAAATTTAAATAATCCAGTTTCTAGTTGTTATTAACCGATACAACCAGCGCATAGGTCTTCATAGTCAGAACATTATTTTCATAACATTATAAACATTTGGACTGGCCTGTAAGTCCAGTGGTTAGTAACCCGACTGCTAAGCCAGGGGTCGTGGGTTCGATTCCCACCCAGGACAAATAATTGTGTGGTGACACACAACACACGATCATTTGTTCTATGTCTGGGAGTAAATTATTCATATAATTATGTAGCATACATAGAAATATAATTTAGAACTAATAAGTATGTTTATCAGCAGTCTGGTTACCATAGTACAGGCTCTGCCCAGTTTGTGATCGGTCGTGTGTGAATGTGTAAAATCATTATTATGTGTCCGTATTACGTGTAATATTCTTAAACAATTCGTATTTGTTATTTTTAAATCAATCTTGCTAAAACTCTGTTCTAAATTAGCTGAGCACGGTGTTTAGAGACAAAATTTAAAATAGAGAGTTAGAAACCAAAACGTCCTCCCTCCATTAATTATCATGTATCGTCTTAAGGAGTGTCTTAAATCACCATGTATTGTTGAATCAAGTCACAAATTATTGTTGAAAAGCTTGTACTGTACGTAATTCGTGGTGTCAATAAAGAGTATTATTAAATATAATACACTCCTGAGGATCTAGTGTGAGTTCATTTCACCTTAACTCGCTTTCGACGGCGAGAGCGTTCGACGCTGCGATTGATGAAGATTTTAATGAAGACCAGACGGAACCCCGAACGCTGTCACCGTGATGATCAAGTTGATGTGAAATAAATTCATACAAAGCCCTTAGAGCGGGCCCATCGCAACAACGAACGTGACTGTGACAGACGCACGCATGACTTTTAGACATAGCACTCTAGCTTTACATGTCATTGAAAAATTGCGACGTTTTCGCGGGAAAAAAAAGTTGGTTATTTCCCTGTTACTCCCTGTCCCTGCTGGAGCCAGCAAAAATAAGAAATGCTGGATTAACATATATTACTGGATGCAGTATTAATATTAGGGATTGCAAAGTGATCCAATAAGGATTGCATCGCGCGTCGATATGCACACATATGGGCCGACTCGACCGGAGTTATACCATGCCCTCACAGACTACTTTGATGCGTGAGGCTTCTAGAGGGAGGGGGGAGGCATTAGCGGCAAGGCACTCGTGTCTCTTGACTTGCAGGTGTTCATGAGCGGTAATAGTCACTGACCATCAAGTGACCGTCTGCTCCTATGCTCCCTACACCATCAACATAAAGGACTTAAAAACCCCAATAGAAGAAAAAACCGTAAAGTATTCGAGACTACTACAATCAACAATAATTTTTACAATACTCACACGTATGGCACGATCCCAAGGATATTTGCTTCGGTGTTAGCAACCATCAGGTCACCGAAATATGCCAAAAAGTTCAGATATCTCTCGTCCTTTGGGGACAATGACGTATCATGTTTATAAGAACCGTCCACAAATGATGTTATGACAAATTTGTAGTCCAAATCTTCTGGAAATTCTACACCTCGGTATAATCTATCATATTTGTAGCTCTCATATAACAATCTGATCGCCTGCGGTTCTAAAGAACATTCAAAACGTTTTTTTGTTACTTTTGAGTCAATCTGTATCAAGAATGTTGGCTGTGAGTGTATTATAGCAAAGACAATAAGTTTAAGACCCCAATGGTTAGTCATTCCCATAGTATTAATGATCCAGGGCATGGAGTAGTATTTATTGCGACATTGCTGTATTAATTTGGCGATTGTTGATGCGAATCGAAATGTATTGTCCATCACATTGACCATGCCGACGTTGTAGGATCTGAAAAAATAAGGAAATGCAGTTACATTAGAATAATCATTTGAAAAATATTATAAGTAGTTTGACGCCTAACGCATTGGCAGTCGTGAGCAACCAATCAAAGACCTTATTCTATGCTATAGATCATAAAGTGAACCAGAAAACAAAAGCTTTCTATTACGAGATGTTACCTGAAGCCTAAGCTAGTTAAATTAACCAAGGCGGTCGCGGAGAAGGGCAAAAATACCGCCTTCATGACGAGGACCGAGTCTCGGAAAACTCTTTAAAGATATGCTGGAGGGTCTAGGTCGTGGTCGCTTAGTCTAGTGGTCGCTAGATAGGTTTACACGCATGAAACTTTGTATCGAGGCTGGTGGAGAGTAGGTACTTTCAAAAGATTTAATAAAAATATTTTATCCATAAGTATAAGTTGTACTTTTAGTTTCTCAAAACTTTCTGAGTGCCCCACGTACACGATTAAAGAGATACAGAGTTCTTCACATCAACAGATTTTAATGGTCCACAGCTGGACATAGGCCTCTCCTTAGAAAGGAGGTTTAGGCCTATTATACCACGCTTCCAAGTCTGCCTTCTCTTTGCGATGCTGGTGTCCTGCGTTGTTTTTGCGCCCTTAGTCCGCTATTACGACACCCACGGGATGAATTGGGGTAGTGACATTCGGTATTGTTAATCACTACACGATCAGAGTTCTTAAATACGAGAAATCAATACTAATGCTTGAAGCAGACGTTCAGAGAGATAAAAGTAAAATATCAGAAGGGCAGACAGAACTCTAAACATGAAAACATAAGCCGATCTTAAGAATTAACATACATGTCTGGTGTCTTCAAATGCGTAAAATTTGGTCCCAATAGTGGCGTTGTGACTACAGTGGCTGATATATTGCCGGCTACTGTAAACTCTGCTTGGCCAGGGTCTAGATCTATCATTAAAACTGGTCCATTTTCCAAGACCCGGTTAATATAATATCTGATGAGTGTTGACTTGCCCAAACCTTTGCCACCACAGACTATGCCTCTACTGCATTTATCTGGAAATAATAAGCATAAACATAATTGATTGGTGCTTCTGCCGGTCATTGTCAAGAGAGCAGGAGGGCAGAACGTGACTCTTTCCTTCCGACTGATGCCCTTTCCAAGCACGAAGCAAGCAAGCACTTGGAGGGATCTGGATGTCTCAACAAAAGCTGTTCTTAGATCCTTTCAATTCAAAGCGCAGTATGGCACACCATGTGGTTTCCACAAGCACAAAAAATACTAGATATGTTAGTTGTCACAGTAATGACTTTGAGTTTCAACTGTACTTTACAAACACAATGTGGAAGTGGAATTCTTTGTTATTTTTAAAATAAAAATAATTCCTAGACATTTACGAGCAGTAAACAAAGCTTTTCATAGTGATAAGTAGTTTTATCACTATGAAAAGTAATTTTCTTTACTACAACAGAGTAATAAATATTTAAAATTCTTAAAACATTAGATTAATTGTACAATAGCATAACCTTACTCTAATACAATACTACAAAATGAAAATATAGCCTATACTTACTCAATGTCCAACTTAGATCCTCATCCCATGAAACATAATTTTCAAAAGCTCTTACAGGTTTACTTAAGTAAATATTGCAACTTAATCTATCAGATGCTTGAGATAATCTGTTTGCATTAGTGTCAATTTTTAACCTGTTAAACACATCAGCATGGAAATGGTTATCAAGAAACTCCATTCGAGCATCCTTTAATGGTGTCATAGCAACTACTGCATCATACTCGCCAAGTGATGTAACAATCTCTTCTGTTTTACTTACAGATAAACCTGCAGCTGTTAATTTCCCAAATAAACCATAGTATTCATTTTCAGCCTGCTTTGTTTTTAAACACTGTGCAAAGCTATTATTTGGTGAGTATAAATTTAGTTCTTTTTTCAAAATGTGACCAAAAACTTCAACTGTGCCGCTAAGTACTTTTACTTTAACTTTGCCATTGACAAACATTTCTGCTGGATGTTCTAAAACAAATATGCAACATGTATCGGTATAGTACACTCGGATGGGATTAACAAATTTATTATTAATTTCAGATTCTTTTAATTGTTTTTCAATAGATTTTTCAGAATTTTTATTTCCAGTATCATCAACTTCTGTTGTCTTGAGTTCATTGTCTGCTGTTACATCTAGATCTACCTCTATGTCTTCTATGATAGGGTCATCACCAATTTCTGGTACCAAACTATCAACATCGTCAACTTGCATGGCGTCATCAGTGGCAAAAATACTAGTACTATTTGCTGATAGCATTTGTTTTTCATATGGTAAATTTCGGATTGTAGGGTGTTTATATCCACCTAATATTTCATTCAGACTATGATCTGACATTTCTGTTGCAGTTACTGATATAAACGGGGAAGATGCATTTGTTGATACAGAGTCTATTGTATTGTTATCCATAACCTTTTCTATAGAATCTTGATCACTATCATGATAATTGAAGTTTTCTATTTCAATGTCACTTTTATGTTTATTTTTACTTTTAATCAATTTCTTATTCTTAGTTTTTTTTTCATTACACCTTTCTTTTTTAGGCTCTGGCAAATCTTCTAATTTCCTTTTTTTGGAGTCTGGATTGTTACATTTAATTTTACTTAAATTTTGCTTTATCTTAGATGCTAGGGCTCCATCAGGGTCAAAACTTTCTGAACTTGATTCACCAAATGCTGATGATTCTGAAAATGATTTATCTCCACTGGTACTGGCATTCTCTGTGAGTTCTAGGTCCTCAGGTAGGGATTCTATGTCTTCATCACCCTCTGATATAGGTTCTAGATATTCTCCGGATTGCTCAAACAGATCATGTTCAGTTTTATTTGTGGTATCTTCACTATTTGTGTCATCAGACTGTTCTTGAGAACTCAAACTGTTCAAATTAACTTGACTGGAGTCTGATACATCGTCATCACCAACCTCAAATGCAGTCACTGGAACTGTCTCCTCATCGTCTTCGGATTTTGTAAGATCCAAGTCGGAAAAACCGCTAACAGAAGTAGAATCATCAAGAGACCTGTGAACTTCGGCAATATCTCTATACATGTTCCCGCTACTTTTAATAAGCTCGTTGTCACTCTGTTTATAACCATGTAACATTTGTTTTAGCTGTTTTTTGACCATTTCTTCTGATCTGCTGTCTTTTTTCACAATATTTATTTTAGAAAGGTGAGCTTTCTCGAAGAACTCCATCATTGCAAAATTTAACTGGAATAATTAATAATCAAGTTAAATCATGAGGACTAACATAATAGTCACATCGTGTCAATTTCGTATTAAAAACAATAAATTTCTTACATTCAAAGTTTGAAAAAGTCACCGTAGCGGTAAGGCTACAAGGTACAATGTGTTTTCATAAACCTAATCAAATCAACAGTGTGACCGTCATAAAATATTACTAATCTACTAAATTCGGCAACTTTTTCTACTAAAATCTACTGATTTAATAAAAAATTACCGCAATTCTACCAACCTACATTTTGATGTATTTGAACAATCTGGTTCAAATAAAACGCGATTTGTTATTTTAATTAAATTGAGAATATTTCTTATCATTACAATTTTTGCTAAATCTAATCATATTAAAATCAGGTACAAAGTTTATACAATTTTCTCCACTATCAATTATCCCTTGTTTTATGAGCAAAACCGATTATATGTGTATATTTAAAAATCAATTACCATGTTAAGTTTTAATTAAATTAACTTGCGAAAATATAGGCTCACAAGAAGCGTTCGATACGGGCAAACACATGATCGCTTTTGCGAATTAACAGATATTATCATATTTCAATTTATTATTACTATCTGTTATCTGACGACCCGATGGCGTAGTGGTTTGTGTAACGGACTGCTATTCCAAAGGTCGCGGGTTCGATTCCCGCTCAAGTTAAACATTTGTGTGCATTAACATTTAATGTTTGATTTGGTCTGGGTGTTTCTATGTATAATATGTATGTATTTACAAAAAAAAGTATATATGTATTTATATCAGTCGTCTAGTACCCATAGTACAAGCTCTGCTTAGTTTGGGACTAGATGGCGTTGTGTGAATGTAGTAAAATATATTATATTAAATATTATATATGAACGCTCGCCCAAAACTTATTAGTATCCTGTGACACTGTAGAGTCACTGGACTTTTCAGTAAATTTTGTACGCTTTTGTCATATTTTAACTGACTATACTCTTCGTCAATTAATTGTTGTGTATTTTCGTCACACATTAAATTAGTAAAACCATTGAGTCAGTGATAGGAGACTTGAAAACTGCTCATACGCTGCTATTAGGGAGCCAAACAATATTAACTCCCTAAACAAAAGATGTTCCATTCGTAGTCTCTTTTTCATTTGCATGGATAGCTCAATTAGAAATAACCGCGACCTTCTTAAAAACTCCTGTTTTTTTGTGTCTCCTACCCACTAAATTTACAATTAATTTTGCTACTTTAACACAAAAATACATTTGATTAATATCAAGAAAAGTATTTCACTGCTAGGATCAATATTTTCTATAGTAGTCGCTGTTATGTCTCCATTTTTCATATAACGACTCAGTAAGGCCTTATACATATCGCTCATATCCCTATATAATCGATGGACGGCACTATATGTTGAATGGAAAATTGTGTTAAATTTATTAACTATTGGTAACACATAATCCAAAAAAAATAGAACATTATCATTATCATCAAAATTAACTTTTAAAATTCAGTCTTAAGATTGCGATCTAATATATATTGATGATTAAAATACAATTTCGAAGCGTCCCATTGTTCAATTATTCTATTTACACAGGCATGTAAAAAAAGCTATCTCATTTCGTAATGTCGCAATAAATTGTGATTCTCGGAGTCAGCAAAATTTTGAAATTTGGAAAATTCTCGTAATCGCTTACTGCTGTGACTAAAATAGTTGTGAACATCTTAAAAAATTTGATCAATATTTCGAGGCAGTTCTTTACATGCATAGCTTACAGATAAGGCAACAGAGTGACATACACAATACAAAAATGCAATGAGGATTAATAGACTGTATTTTAGACACCACAGTCCTGTTAGTACCAAAAATTACATTAACTGTATCCGCGGCAAAACCAACCTTCGCCACATTTAAATTATTTTTTTCTAAGTCATTCGATAACGCAATAAACATATCTTGTGAAGATTCTCCTTCTAAAGTAACAGAAAATAAAAATTTGGTCACAGCAAATTTATGTTGTGTTGAATTATACATATCTGCTACAGCTAGAATTTTGTCAGTACTAACATCTGTAGCCTGATCTATTATTATAGAAAATATGTTTTTCCCTGAACGGCGGAAAAAAAAATCAAAGATGTTGTTTCACACATCTTTGAAAAGTTTATTTTTTTGAATGTTGGTGCTATGGCGTCACATATAAGATGAGCTGCTTTTGTTCGTTTGTATGTGAATGCTTTTGTTATCTCTGAGTCGTGAAATGGTCGTTTGAAGACGTCGCTCAAGTGGTTCATGACTCTGAAGGGTATGTTGTGTTCGGCTTTAGTTGTTTTATTTGAAAAAGGGTCCTTCTTAAAATAAGTATCGATCTGGAACGAAATTAAATTTACAATAAATGAAACATCTAGATATCTAGAATGCATACAATAAAAATAACTATATTCTAAACAAATAAATTTCTTCTGAGAATGACACCTATCAACTAGCCCAAATTAAGCAGCTTATTATATTAAGATACTAGATGACGGATAAATCTACATAACAGTTGTATTTATACAAATATTTATAGTATACTCAATACGTATATAAACATCCAAGACTGAAAAAACAAATGCCTGTATTCATCACACATACATTTGCCCTCACCGGGAATTGAACCCAGAACCTCTAGATATAGCCTTGAAACCGGGGCGTACAAACCACTCGGCAACGGAAATCATCGAGATGGTTTTAAAAGTTTGTGTTTACAAAACAAAACCATGGTGGCCTAGCATAGTATACCTTATAATTGGAAGTTTTCTAGAAACATGAATGCAAACTTGAATAACCCAGTTTTAAAACTTGAAACTTTTTTATTGTTATTATCGTTTCACTGAATTAAAATATTTGAATGATATTAAATTAAATTTAAATACCCTTGACCGCCACTTTGTTTTCATGTTTGCTACTACCACAGTGTTCTTTAATAGACGCTAATCTGCTTAAAATTTTAACACCGCAAGCTTTACTGAAAACATGACTATTACTGTTTATATGTTTACAGAGCCAGAGAAAATAAGTAGATTTGTTCCTGCATATCCTCCCATTCAGCGTGATGGTTTTGTTCAAACTGACTGCACGGATGGCGTAGTGGTTAAGTGGTCACCACGCCGCTTCCTACTACCCCGAGTGTTGTGGGTTCAAACCCCACATGGGACAACACTTTATGTGATCCACAAATTGTTGATCTGAGTCTGGGTGTTCTTTGTGTCCGTTTCATATATGTTTGTAAAGTCCCCCGCGACACAGGAATATATTCCTAATGTGGGCGTTGTCTTTTTTAGAAAAAAAAAAAAACTAAAATAATTATCATAATTTATAGGCTTTGACACAAGTCCTTTCAGGCGGAACCATTATTGCTTCAAATCTACTGAAATCTACTAAATGTTTGGAAACTACAGCATGATCAAATTTTCATTGGAAATCTGCTGCTGTAGAAAATCTAAGGTAAACGGCCACACTGCAAATCAAACAATAAACAGTGTTGCCAACAGTTAAATGAAGCCGCCACCAGATTCAACATCTAAAATCACCAGAAAACCACCTAAGAGGCACTAAATATTCAGCTAAACATTTTTGTTAGTAATTACGAAAGAAAACCATAAGTATATTATTAACTAGTTTCCCTTATAAAAATATAATATTGATACAAAAGTTTTTGGTAGCACCATCATCTTCGGTTCCAGATTAATACGATTCTTTGGTAACGATTTGTTCCACCACTTTTAGTGTAATTTATATTTGTTGCAGCATTGTCCTTCCCACCTCAAACCACAGCATATTCTAGCAAATAAAATATATAAAATTCCTTTTTTATACCTTTAGTCTCTCAACTCAACAACGGCATTGTAATGAGGTAGTATTAGGAGAATAATACCAAAGGTTGCTAATTCCTCAAATGTCAAAATCCCTTGGCGGACTTTATGCCCTAGACATTTTCTTCCAGTCAAACTTAGGGTGATGCAGAGATTTATGTGTGGCAGGTGTATAATTAGGGCAGATGAGATAAATTGGTAGATGACTTCACCTGTCACTCCTAGGCCTGCACTCATGGAGAACGGAGGTCGTTGAGCGACCGCCGGTGCCTAAGCCTTCTGCGATGTGTGGCGACTACCACATATTAATGTGGAAGTCACAACATATCGCACATGGCGCTGTAGTATGTTTGTTACTTATTTATTTATCCTATATAATCCTCTATCGCGACATTAACAATTTTCTCACCGATTAGTATGTGGCGACCTCCACATACGGTAAAAACAAAGAAACCTACTACAGCGCCATCTATCGATGCACACCAAACAACGGAGTAAAATCGAGTTTTAGCCAGCCAGCAACCACGGCCACAATAGGCATACCACATGCAGGAAGCGACTGCTCCAGCCTGGGTATCCCTACGGCCTCATCAGCGTCTAGGCACAGCACACTCCACCTACGATCCACGTAAGAAGAGCATATCTCTCCCGTCTACGCAGTAACCAGCCACTACGCAACAATCACCCCGACTTATTGGGGACTTTAACGCAGAACCACCCACCGCATGCAATCCCGACTCACTGGGAACAACAGACTTCAGCCCCGACTCACTGGGACTAGCGGCACTCAGTTCCGATTCACTGGAACTACTCACTACTTGCTCTGACACGCTGCATAACAGTGCATAGATAGCTGGCTCATCGAGATATCTTGATAGTGATATATACTTTAACATCATGGGTCTTAGGATCGCAATAACAGTGCGCCCAAAATATTTAAACCTAAAACCTACAGTTAAAAATAGCTAGGTCAGCAAAACAAACATGATTGACTGGATTGGGTTATTTCAGGGTTTATGCTTGCGAAGCCTCCAGAAAAGGCCATTCCACGCATTTACCCCCTAGATTCAGGGAGAGAAGACAGAAGAGAAGTTGGAGACACATGTCATTTCATACTTAGATGTCAAATGAGACGCGTTCCAAATTAGGTGTCTTTACAATAATCACAAACGCCACTAATTTCTGATGACAATAAGATGTTTTGAAAAATATAATGTTTAGGTGCTTACTAAATATTTCAATACAGAATTTCAACTGAAATAAAATAGAGAAACAATTTCTCATTTTTGATGCGTAACATTTTTTCTTTCGATTTCCTGCTGTGTCAGTGGTTTCGCGAAAGGAAGTCGAGGAAGTGCACACTATTTGACAAATATATCGCATAACCATATTAAAGTCGCACACAATCAATGGACGTCTTTTTCTCTAAAATATAACTGTCCTAAAATAATGGTTTTAGAGATACATTTTCAATATTTTTCATGTAGTGTTAAATATTTGCCACAGGTCCTATTGGTGTATTGTTAAATTAATATTTCTGGGACATTAAACTTAATTCAGCAAACCTTTTAATTCTTACCTAATTATACAATAGATATTAATTTTTAAACGGTGAAATTTAATTGACGCCTTAAGTTGATAAATTAGGTTTCGAGTTTATGATAGCGCACTTTCGCTAGGGAGGCTCGGTATGGAGAATAGGTGCGACACCAGTTTTGTTGGGTTGTTTGGGTTTGTATTCACGTATAGCACGTGAATACAAGCCCATTATAGGCTAATGACTAAAGGAAGGCTAGGAGAATAGTTTTGCTGATGGACAAAATAAAACAATTTGTTTTGTTTTTTGTATTTATTCATATATAACCGCTCCAGACATACGAGATAAATAATTCAGTGATTTTATTAACATTCAATACAGTCCATACGAATGTGACTACTACAAAGCGGCAAATGGAAGCATTATTAACTAATAGGAATGCTTCCACAAGCCACCAACGATATATACTGCCGAGTTTGACATGAGACTGTGTTACAAGTGTGTGCTTTAGATGATCTTTCCTAAATGCTTAGTGTTCACAATCTCTTGTCAAAAACAAAGTTTGATAACACTAGGCATCTACTTGTCTTGGCTTGAGAAAGTGGCGAGGAAGTCAGTTACCAGTTTCTTCAATTGTTCATCAGACTCCTTAGTGATCTGGTTTTCCTTGGCAATGGTGGCCAAAAGACCCTGGTGGCTAGTCTTGATGTGCTGGGTGAATTCCTTTTCGAAAGTGGTGATCTTGGTGGGGTCAAGTTTGTCAAGGTGACCACGTACACCACAGTAGATAATGGCAACCTGAGTAATTAATAATAAAACATAATTAGGTACAGTTGTACAAACCAAATTATCAACTTTGAATTTATTCACCATGAAATAATATTTATTTATACATTTATTAATTACCTGTTCCTCAATAGCCATTGGCACATACTGTCCCTGCTTCAGAAGCTCAGTCAAACGCATACCACGGTTGAGAAGTTGCTGGGTAGCAGCATCCAAGTCGGAACCAAACTGAGCAAAAGCAGCAACCTCACGGTACTGGGCCAACTCGAGTTTCATGGAACCGGCGACCTAGTATACAAAATGAAAATTTAAATACAGCAGAGTATACAGAAAAAATATTTTATATAAAAATAAGGTACCATAATCTTAAATTTTATTAGTTAATTCCATTTGTGATCTGTATGTCTGTTTTGACATAACCTTATATTGTATGAATACCAATGTTCTTAAAACTGATGATTTCTGCTCAAATTGCAGAACAGGAATCAGCTGTACAGTATGAGTGGTATAATTACTTTTTCAAAACCTCTAATAAAATCTAACATGATGTGGTACATTGCTCTACCTATGTACAAGCCGAACAAAGCATTATGATTTTGCTATTATTTTCAAGATTCATTTGAATAAATAATAACATGAATAGAACTGTATTTTACCTGTTTCATGGCCTTGGTTTGGGCAGCAGATCCTACACGGGATACAGATAGACCGACATTGATGGCGGGACGAATACCCTTGTAGAAGAGCTCAGTCTCCAAGAAGATTTGGCCATCAGTAATGGAGATTACGTTGGTGGGAATGTAAGCAGACACGTCACCAGCCTGGGTCTCAATGACAGGTAAAGCAGTCAGAGAACCACCACCCATCTTGTCAGACCTGGAAATTAAGGTATTTATTTCACAATTACTATAGAAACACATGATAACTATAATAATATCCTAAGAACTGGTCTATTTTTTTTTTTAACAATTTCAAGGCTATGATAATTTTTTAAATCTTACATTTTGGCAGCACGCTCAAGCAGACGCGAGTGGAGGTAGAACACATCACCAGGGTAAGCCTCACGACCCGGGGGACGACGCAGCAGCAGAGACATCTGTACGCAAATTTATAAAATTGGATAATATTGTTACAATATGTTTAAAAATAAAGCAAGTATTCATAGTAGAAGCATAGAAATTCAAATTTCAAAGGATGGATATATCAAGTAAAATCAGACCACCTAAATTTTGCTATTTACTTTTGTTAATGACAAACAGGAGTGTTCACATCCCATGGCAAGTAATCTTGTTTAGGTAAAGAGATTCATAGGAACTGTTTTAGTTGCACTGGAGGGTTTTGAAATACACTCACAAGTACACCTTTTCATACTCTACTGCTACTACTAATATTACACCCTTATTCATGGACTAATAATAATAACTGCAAAAGTGACAACTGATAACATTTTCTGTCAACTTCTTCCTCTAAATAAACGAAAGATATTATTGTAAACTAGAACACACCTGACGGTAGGCAACAGCCTGCTTGGATAAATCGTCGTAGATGATCAGAGCGTGCTTGCCGTTGTCACGGAAGAACTCGCCCATAGCACATCCCGAGTACGGCGACAAATACTGCAGAGGAGCGGCATCGGAGGCCGTAGCAGATACGATGATGGTGTAGTTGATGGCACCTAATCATAGCAAATGTGTGTTAATAGGAAAGATAAGTGACACATGCTTCTGGAATTACAGTTGAGTAGTTTCTATGAAAAGAAGTCATACAGGGCAGAATTAAACAAAATAGGAGTCACAGTCTTACCAGCATCAGTAAGCCTCTTCACGATCTGGGCGACAGTAGACCTCTTCTGTCCGATGGCGACGTAGATGCAGTACAGCTTCTTCTTTTCGTCATCTCCCTTGTTGAAACGCTGTTGGTTAATGATGGTGTCGATAGCCAGAGCAGTTTTACCAGTCTGACGGTCACCAATAATCAACTCACGTTGACCACGACCGATGGGTACAAGCGAGTCGACGGCCTTGATACCTGGAGAAATAATCATCATAGTGCTGAAACATTGTGAGATTGTACATTTTGTCATCAAAGCGTAATTATAAAGCAAGTTTTATAGGTCGTATACACACTTGGCAAGCTTCGACAAGTGTCCACAAACAGTAGTAGTTAAGCAGTAGGAATGTTTTATTTAATATGTCCAAAAATTTTAATCTAAAAACTTTATGAACTACCTTTTACTTAGCTCAATATTTTGAAGACGTTAAAACTGCTAGAATTTTCTTGAGGATAAGTGGAAAACAAGAAGGAATGATATTATCATAAGACACAGTTCACTGATAGAATAATGCATTGTATGTGCGTTAAACATGATTTGGTATGAAATATATTGTAAAGAAACAAAACTTACCAGTCTGCATAGGCTCACGCACAGACACACGGGGGATAATACCCGGGGCCTTGATACCGACACGCATACGGTTCTTTGTTTCAATGGGGCCTTTGCCATCAATGGCGTTACCCAGGGCGTCTACTACACGGCCCAATAGCTGCTCGCCGACAGGGACGTCTACGATAGCACCAGTACGCTTGACGATGTCTCCTTCCTTGATCAGCTTATCGTTACCGAATACGACAACACCAACGTTGTCAGGTTCCAAGTTGAGGGCCATACCCTGATAGTAAATTTTAATAATTTAAAATATATTTTTGTGGATAGTTATAGAATAAGGATGATCATATTAAATAGATGTGTCCTTTGTAATCCTGTGCGAATGAAATTAGACGAAAAATATGCTAATAACCTTAATGTGCAGACTGTTAAAATAGATGCTGCCTGTGTTTTGATAGTTTACAAGTGATTTTTGATTTAGAAGTTGAAAACAAGGTACTTACACAAGTTCATATGGTTTTGAATTACATTGTCCTAAACTACAGCAACATTATCATTCTTATAAGATTTAAGTGATGCATCAAACTCCTTAATAGATTTTGTAAAAACCATAGTGGATAAGATTTCTTTATTATGGAACCATAGAACATTTCTCTTAAATCCTTATTATAAGATACTGAATATTCTATTAAATATTCATGGTGTTCTTATAACCTCCTCTATAAGGAGAGGCCTATGTCCAGTAGATGAGTGTTAAAGGCTGTTGATGATGGTGATGGTGTTCTTATTTGCATCAATCATCATTGCATAAATCGTCATATGAAATGTATCACCCACAAATAAGGCTAAACACAAATAACTTTTCCTGGGTTAAACACCCAAAAATGCTTTTACAGATGAGAGCTGATCAGTGTAGCTTCATGTGAGGAGTTAATACTTAAGTTAACTCAGACTACATCTACTTTTTGTTTGGAATATAAAAATTACTTGATTGTTTCTGTATTACTACTAGTCTCTGGCTTACATTATCCTTTCTTTTCTTAAGTACATATAGATAGGTGTAAGTACGTATTTATTACATTTGGAATCATTTCAATATTTTAGTCTTAGTTAAGCTGCTACTTCTTAGAAATAGTTTAGATTTAAACTGTTCTACTAAGACATCATCTTGTGTCCAAATATTAAAACAATTATTGATTGTTCTCATGCACAAAGCTAGACACCATGCCTTTTAAATTAATGGCAAAAGTCACCTATAAGTAACACAAAGTATAAGTGCACATACCTTAAGTCCAGAGGAGAACTCCACCATCTCCTCAGCTTGAATGTTCTTGAGGCCATAGACACGGGCAATACCATCACCAATGCTCAATACACGACCAGTTTCTTCCAAATCAGCCTGTAGAAATAATAGGCATTCTTAATGACATTGTAATCTCTAAGGGTTTATTCCTTACAGCTTATAATATATTCTTATAACTGCCTGTATTTATGCTATTACTTTCTACTTTATCTATAAGATAATGAAATTAATTATTTGTAACTGTACTTATAGAGATGAAGGCACAGAAATCCTAAACCAACTATGGAAAATGAGGGTTTCCCATCAAGATATTGATATTCAATATTATTTGACATACCAATTATATAAACTGTTATCTATTATATAATTATTTTTTGAAATTCAATGTAGTATTAAATATCCTTTAAATTGAAAACACAAAAATATATGTAAATCTGAGTAATGACCTCTTCATCAACCTCTTAAAATAGATTTTAGAGCAATATACATTAGTCTTGTTAGAATATGTAATATTTTGTTTTTCAACAGCAACCAAAAGACGTCTTTACTACAGGAATGATAAGCATGACTTTATATAACAATAAAACTAACCTTGGGGGCAGCACCCAAAATCCTCTCCTCCAAAATCGTGGAGATTTCAGCGGCTTTCTGGGTAGGGCTGACATGGAAGTTACGTGCAGCAACGTTCACGGCGGGCGCCGCAATTCCTGCGACCTTCGATACCTGCAGAGCGACATTGCTACCATCAACCCAGTTCACACATAACTATATCATTCAACTCGTATATTATCACTACTTCCTATTCAGCACTTGTGTTGGAGTATTATCAGTCACTAGTTCCATCTTACAGAACCTCAAAATTTTCAATCGCCTATTACATAACAGCGATCATACACAACAGATTAACACAAAGTTGAGGCATTCATATGTTATTTCTTACAGAATAGCACGATTAAATCAGTAACCAAACGTATTTGACTGCATTACATTAATTTTGGATAATTAACGTTGAAACTAGACTCGTAATATACCTCGAGACATGGAAGCCGGGCGTTTTATCTAAGTTAAAATTATAAAAAAATCATAATTTCTAGATTTCAAGATAAATTACCTGCGAGGCGGCATTGGGTAAACGCCTGGCTACTGAGCCGGCGATACGAGCGGAGATGAGCGACATATTTCACTAATTCTTATAACTATGGCAGACGAATAGACAGAAGGCCCTGGTAAGTAGTTCTCCGCTAACGACTCGTTGCGGTAGAACAGGAAGTGAGATAATCGATGAAACACTATGGTTCCTCCTGCAGTTGAATGTGCGTTCATAATATCGAGTTTTAAAATGTCCGGATTATTTTTCTTATAAATAAAATAGTTAAAAGTCTACATAAATATATTTAGAATGTAAACTATAATATTTTTTCTACTTTTTTATTAAAATTTTGTAAATTTCACTTTTTTTTGAAGTATTTAAATCTTTACCTTTAATATAAGGAAAAAGGGAATTACTTCATTTCTGAACAACACATTTAAGGATGCACATTAAATATCTTATTTGTGTCTATGACTAAAAACAAGGCAACTATCAATTTTCTTCATTTTCACTTGCGAATTATTGTGGAAATTACAGTCTCAATAATTTACTCAAAGCTAAAAAAAGGTAATTTTATGGACTTTATGGGAACAACGGAACTCATTAACGACTACTACATTTTGTTTTTTAATGCGATTTTGATACGGATAGAAAGTAGCAGCAGTGAAAGAGGACTTTTGCCAGACTTATGCCGAGAATTCTTGCAGAAGTTGAAATCCTCTCACATAACTTTAATTTTATGTTGCTACTGAAAAAAATGGTCCCATTTTAATAGTGTCCTGGCAATTTCCCTCATCTATTCCTGTCAATACAATCAGCTGTCAGTGTCAATAAGCAACAATTTTTCTAAAGTTATTTCTTTCCATTGTTTCTTTTCGCACTCATAAATTTTGGTGCAGGAAGAGGAGTATGTCCGATTAAAACGAACCCTAATGATGACGACGACTGTCAACCGGAACGCAACTGAATTGTGTTATAGATATTGATACAGTAGTATTTTCTTTCGTCAATATTATTTTAGTGATAACAAAATGTTCAGTGTTGTTTGTCATAGGATCGATCAATGAAGTTTAAATACCCGGTGCGATGGCCATATTCGAAAAAATATCACAAACTAAAGCACTCATAGACGATACTGAAAAACTTACTTGCATAGTCGAAAATGCACAAAATATTAATAAACATACAGTAAGTATTTTTGTGTGTGTGTGTCTAAATGCCTATAATATTCTTTATAAAGTTACTAATGTAAACTTTTTAATAAATCCTATTTTCATCTAGGATTCATTCCAAAGGACAATTATTATACTATGATACCATCTTAGTTTACACAACATAACACCTAGTACACAAAACAATTTTTTTAGGAATATACTCTACAAGTGCAGCGAGGGCACTCTAAAGAGACCACATGGAATGTCTCCCGCCGTTACAGAGACTTTGCTGCCTTACACGCAAGTCTGCAGCAAGCCAATGTTGACTTGCCACTGCCTCCAAAGAAACTTATTGGGAATATGCAACCATCTTTTATTGCTGAGAGACAAATTGCATTACAGGTTTGACTTCTACCATCATGTAGTAGAAATTAATGTAGATATCATTTTTTCTTAACAATGCTATGGTCAATCAACCATAATTTCTTTTAAGATTTATTAATAAATGAGACAGTAGAAATATGAATATATTTCAATATAATTTTAAAAATAATGCACAGGTTTTTGTTTTTAATTTGAGTTTCTAATATTCATTCATAGTTTTTCATTAGTTTGATGAAGATATAATAAAATATGTTTTCTTATCAGTTTTGTTTTGAATGTTATTGTGTACTTTTTTTCAGAACTACATAAATGAGGTTTTGAATCATGAAATGTTGGCACTATCATTGCAAGTGAGAAGTTTCTTGGATCCCACTAGTTATTCACTGGATATTGCTGGTATTTATTTCATTAATTTTTGTAATTAATTGACACTGAATTTTGCATAGATGAGCAGTCTCTGTAATTCACAATCATACACCATGGTCTATATAAAATTTTGACCACCCTTTCATGTCAATATAATATTAATAGCCAATTTGAATCAGTCATATTGATCCAGGTGGTCTGAGTTCACATCACTTGATAATAGTTATTCTAATAATTATCCTTTTCAATGTATGAAGACCTACTGGTTTTTTTATATATTTTACTCATGTAGATATCCAGACAATTACTCCTCTCTCCTCCTCCTCTCTACTTATAGACATACACAGGTTGGTGTGCCTATTCTTAATTTGAATAGCAGCGGTTTAATTTGCTTGGTAGATTACCATCATCTAGCATAGCAGATATAATTAAAAAGATAAACACTTTGTCACAAATACAATTACATGTAAATAAACATGAAGTTAATGAACTCTTATTTATAGTAAAAAGAATGAAAGAAGAACACATTTATAACTGATAAGCCATTTGACATTTACAGTGTAAAATTGTATGTATTAATTTGTTTTATGAATACTGTCTACATCTTAGGTGGCCTTAACATTTAACGTATAATAGACTTCACTGTTGGCGTAGTGTTTTAAACGGTTGGCATAGTGTTTTAAACGGTCGCCACGCCGCTTACTACTACACTGAGTGTTGTGGATCCGATCCCAACATAGAACTACACTTTGTGTGATCTACAAATTGTTGTTCTGAGTCTGGGTGTTCTTTGTGTCTGTTTCATGTATGTTTGTAAAGTCTCTCGCGACACAGGATATATTCCTAATGCGGTAGATTGCCTTTTAAATACAAAAAAAATTCAAGTCTCGTTATAAATGGATGGGAAGTGTTTAGTACTAGATAGTAGTTATTATCGTCATATGTGTCTCAATATGGTCTTTTTAATAATAGAGAAATAAATTATGTGGTAAATATATTATGCAATAGTACTATGCCTTTAAATCATAGGTCTTCGCTAAATTGTTACTTGCTTACTTAAAACATTTGAGGTGACTTAATTAGCATATCAGCTGAAACCATAAAAAAACTACTTATTCCATTATGAATCCTAATTCGTTGCAAAAGCCTTGTAGGTTGTAATTCAAGTTTTCATTAAACTAAGCTAAGTACTTCTATACTGGCACAGACAATAATTATATTTAGTTCGAATATAAATCGTTGTTTCTAATAGTGCTAAAGTTTTGTACATATCATTTGAATATGTATTTTTATCACAGTCACGTATAATTACAATTCTGCCCAGATAGGTTGCAGTTCTGCCGTTAACTGTCTCATACTGTCATAGTCAGATTGAGTTACGATCAATTTGTCGACGTTAAACAATATTTGCTCAAAATTCAATTTGCTTAAGATCAAACATACGGGTTTCGTCTCAAAGTATTAAACATATGATGCTAAAATGAAACAAATGTATATGGTGAGAAATACATTGAACAGTAATTGTTTAACAAAATAAAGTCATCCAGTTTTTTACCGTGGCAACCCCTGGTTAGGTTAGTCATATTACACAGTAGGTACACACCCTCTAAATTAGATTTTGGTCGGGTTTTATTGTTTTCAACCTCGCATGATTCTAGTCTCCTTACCGTGCTAATATGAATAGACAGAACGGATTGTACATAAACCATTCTTGACAGTCGAATCGCAATACTTACGATAGTAAGCAAACATAAGCGCCAATCGCCGGGATTTTAGGCACCAATAGTTTTCTTCCTCAAGATATTCTTTCTAGTCCAAAGAATTCTACTATTTGGAACTAGGCAGATACGTTGTCAAAGAAATTATTTTTATCCACATTATACATAGGTGTAAATCAACACCTGTTGGTCATGGCCTATCCGTTCAGACGGAATCGTATTTCATGTAGCCACCGACGGCTCAATTGCCTAAGTACAATGTTGTATACTAATGCCCATAAGATAGAACCACCGAACCGAACTAAAAAAATCTGTTCTGTGGATAAAACTGTCGAGTGTAAACTATTAAGGATGTAGTTGCACTATGTTGCTGATGTAGTTATAAAACTACGTTTGACTTACTTTCATGTATTTAGATCTACACATTATTAATATTCTCGTGAACCCCTTATCATACCTTGCGGTTGCAGTCTTCATGGTTGCTAGTAACACATAGTTTACCGCGGTTAAAATCTTCTACTAGATCCAGATCTCCACTTGGATCCTGTTAGCCGCCTTCAATGATAAACCTGTATAAAGCTACTGATCTACATATAATGTGAACAAACAATAAAACAGCTAACAAACGAATCGCCTTCTCAGGGAAATACTTGGATTAACTGTGTAAAACTTGAGTAAATAAATACCAATAAGAAATAATTGTAAAATGTAGATATTATAACGCATTATCGTAACTTCTTTCAGAACATGCCCTTCAGACAGTGTCAATAGCGCTGCGAGGTGACGGCAGGTACGAACTCAAAGGACCGCTGCCTGACATCGGATGGAGAATACGGAAACATTATTTTTTAGTAAGTTTCTTTTAAAAATAATACGATTCTCAGATTCATAGTCATATAGATCAATGACTATGAGTCATCAGAAGCATTTATCGAAGTTCGAACTTTCGAAATTATTTTGATTGCGTATCCAATTACCTTCTCAAGACTTCGTCTACAAGAAATAAAAAAAGAAAGAAAGAGTTTGCTTTGTGTTTTCCGCACTCCTTGTGCTTTCAGACCAGCCACTCTTTTGTAACTCTGGATAATGTTATGTGTTTTCAGAGTTTCAGTCCAGTCTGCTTGCCATTGGTTTAAAGTTTACTATATATTAAGCGAGTTATTTATTACTTTTTATTTATGCAAATAAAAACAAATGTGTGTAGTGACTTCTCATTCAAAAACGCTCAGGTTAATACAAACAACCATTTTCTTGCGGCTTTGGTTACGTTGAAATTATTTGCTTATACAAATCTTATGAAAGGTAGATTAGGTATACTTTATGTCTGCAGAAAACACAGTATGATATCTTGAAGATAATTTGTTTTTCAACAGTAACACTAGTTTGAAGTTCTTAGAGCATAAAGCTCTAGCTGATAACTGAAAATGGATTAAAACATATTTTTCATATCTATTGTCTGCATTTTATTCACCGTTTTGTCTTTTATTAATCTAACCTACATTATAATAGAGTAATACGTATTAGTGATGTGTCGGATCCTTAAAAATGTAAAGCCGTGGATACGGATACAAAGACTGCTTATCAGTATTTAGATCCGGAAATACAGATACAGAAGATGCAGAAAATTGATCTCAGTTTTTTCTCAGTTAATGCCAATAAGAGTGATTTCAAAATGACAGTTGAAATCAATGAGTTAAATAACACGACATGTTTACAACTGGAGCCGCGCGTGTTTTTTTGAACAATCATTTTAATACACATATCACAAATGTTTGGTGTTTGATCTCATTCTTTATTTGATTAAAACGACTTTATAAATGTAGTCAAATAGTACCTCAGAATATAGGAATATTAGTCATCATCAGCATCAGCCTTTAGTAATCCACTGCTGGACATAGGCCTCTCCTTAGAAAGAAGATTTTGGCCTACTATACCTCGCAGGCCAGACGGGTAGGTATAGGGTTTGTTTTAAGTTTTCCTTCTTACGACTGTGCTGTTGTCCTGCGCAGTTTGCTCCCTAAGTCGGCCCTTATGACACCCATGAGATGAATGGGGGTGGTGATACTCCTTATCCTCAACGTCTATTAGTTAATCGTTGTAATGTTTTATAATATTAAAGAGAAAATAAGTCTAGAATTGTATTAAACATAATAAAATAAAAAAAACCGTATAAAATCCTGACCAAAATGTAACAGATTCGGATCACGAATCTTTTTCTCTCTACGTAGGTATACGGATATTCGGGACATCACTAACACGCAAATAATATGTAAATAAGGTGACGCCGCGTGTCATCGTCATGAATCACAATACTCAGTATGCTTATCGGACAAAAAGATAAAAAAACACTAGACCGATGTTTTTAACTTTACACTTTAAAGTTCGAAGTACTTATATTGCATTAACATTTTAACAAATAACACATATTATTAGTGACATAAACACAGTGATGCATGTAGATGTTTATTTTTAACTGTCCACATATGAATAGCCTAATAATAATGCGTTTGATAAAAAATCTTTTATAATACTGAGATACAGTCTCAACAATATAGCCTGGAATACATACAGACATAACAAAGACTACTTGTTTTAACTGTATACTATGTTTAATAAACTAACCAAACTTATTCTACGAATCCTATTGGATTCGTAGAATAAGTTGGAAAAAATCTTGCATGTACAAGAATATTAACTAACACCAAAAACTTTAAATTATAAATTGAATTGCCTGATGTTTCGACCAGGTTGCACTGGCCGTACGTTGGGGTTCCAGAGATTTCCTTCCTAGGGTACACCTGGTTCTCCGGCTATCCGGTTACCTGAGATGGCGTGCGGTTTTTAGTCGGTTAGTCCACATAACCACCGGTGGGTGGTATGCGAGGGGATTACCGCACAAAAAAAAAAGTTGCTCTGGCCGTGATCACTGGCTGACTGAGTCACTGAGTTAGGCAATTCAAACAATACTTATTACATGATCGCGTTAATTCCAAAAGAATACACGATTACAATAATTTATGCCAAACAATATACAAATTAAATGTTTACTTCTGTTTATATATCAACTAGCAGTTCCCCGCAGTTTTTAAACATACATTGGTGAATTGATTTCATACATTGATTAACTAAAGTATAGCTGCATAAATACGAGTAAATATTTATAGAATCAATTAATTCATGGGTAACGTGTGATATAGCATCTGTTTGGTTATCAGTTCACTTCCTCTTGTGACGTTATTGTGTGACGGGCGTGTGGGAAGGATTAGATCAGATGGGCGATGTCAACGTATTAACTATTTGGCTATTATCTGGCTTATCTTTGTGAGGCAAAAGCGTTTTTTTTCAATACATTATCTTATTCTATTTCAAAATGTGTCATGTATATCGGGATAGTCTACTTCGGCCCAGTTTGTTAAGATAACTACAATTTTAGTAATTGAAATTATATAAAAGTTTATAAATTTATAAAGCTTATAAGTTCTTAAAAATTGTATTATGCAAAATTTCGACCCTTTTTTATAAAACATCTTAAAAGTACAATTTCTTGAAAATTGATATTTTTGGGATACGGTATTTCATAGTGAAATCCATTAGAAATGATGGCAACTGGTGGTAGTTGCCATCATTTCTTAAAGTATTTAGGTCGACTTACCCAGTAACCCTGTAGAAAAAAAATTGTAACGTATGCACAAAAATAACCAAAGAAAAATCATAATTTTTTAAGAATGTTGAGCATACGATTTTATAGAATATTAATAACATCATTCTAAATGTTTGGATATTATTAAATATAAGTGTAATTGCTAGCGGTTACATTTTGATAATTTTCATAATTTACCTGACGCCTATATCTTAAATAGTATTTTATTTTTCGCAGGTAACAGATACAGAAAATCGAACGAACTGTTTGCTCTCGTGGCAGAGTTACGGCCCTGAGAAGTACCTCAGCGATAAGGATTTACATACAGCTTTTAAGAGCTTATTAAATCTTTCTGTAAGTATGAGAATTTTACTTTTCTTTTTAGGGACTTATACCTATGGTTTTTAGAATTCCAGATATGTATAAATGAGTTATCAACTATCTCCTTTAGATCCTCTCGAGCGCTCTGGATGGATATCCGAAGCTCTCGGGACGCCAATTCTAAGCGTACTTATATTTTTTTTAAGAAAAATGAAAGACGTACCTACTTGTACACATCTACATCTACATTTAACTTTGTAGGACTGTACAATCACGTACGTACGTCCGTAACTTGACACTGAGCGCGGAATAGGAACTTAGTGGCCAACTGTTGGACACTATTGTTTTACAGTTTATTTAGGCATATTAATGTCTAAAATCAAAAACAAATTTCAACATCATTTAGCTAAGACGAACGAAATACTTAGTAACTATTGATTCTACATCCCGCAATGAAAGTTCTCGCACCGTTAAGTATTTTTTGTTTAAGTATATATAAAGAAGATAAAATATTCTTAACGATCACAATATACAGCCTGGAAGGCATAGCACCCCTTCCTCCACAGCTTTATTAATATAATTTTTAAACATCATTGCTTCTTTTATTTCAGCATCCTTACATAGACCAAGTATTAGCAATTAATAATTTAGAGACGAGCGCGTTTGTAGTTAGAAAAATACACGAAAATGGCAGTTTGCGAGATATCCTGTATGGAACGGAGTACAACAAGAACCATCTTGCGAAGTATGCGAACCCCAGGATAAGGAAACCATTCACCATCGGGCAGATAGCTCACTATGGCTACCAGATATTGCAAGCGTTGAAGTTTTTACATGAAAAGGGCATACCTCATGGTACGTTTATCTGACCAATTCCACTTTTAAACCTCAGTATAATGTTGTATTTGATAACGAACGTAAAGATTGCGGTAGACAGTGGGCTAGGCGGGACAGCAACGGAACGTGAGCCTGTATGGCTCGATCTTTAACATTCATTACATATGTGCAATTTATTTATTTTCTACACACCACACAGAATAACAAACTTATTTTTGACACGTCACTAAAAATAAGTAAGCAAATTCATTTTGGGAGTTTGGCGCGTACAATCTCATGGAGGCAGCTTAAAGACGTTTCCTATTTGTACAATCCAAGTAAACAAAGAAATAGTTTTAAGTATCCTTACACCAGAAATAATGAATTTATTTATACTTATGTAGTCTAATGTTCTTTAAACAATTTGTCAACTTTTTGCTGATACCCTTTTGATAGACTTCACAAAATTAAGAAACACCATTACCGTCTCAAGGTCAACTCAAGTCATTTCTATTTCAACTTATATTGTAAGGTATCAAATAAAAAGTATGATAATAATAATGTATTAAATATATTGGATTTGACACTTAATTGATTTTTAACTCTATGATATAACTCTTTTACAGTTTAATTATAGTTATCTAGGTTACCTATCCCTTCAAAGTTGCAGTGAACAGAGTCAGAAACCTACCATATTCTTAACTAAAATATATCACTCCAGGTCATATACATCCGGGCAACATCACAATAGATAATCAACGAGTACTTCTAATGGACATTGAGAATGTATTAATAGGAGTGCCTTGCCTCTACCGGCCGCATCTCTTACACCTGAGACGCACCACTACAGCCGAAGGAATCGACGTATACTGCTTTGGACGAACGTTATACGAAATGGCGTTTGGAACTACGCTGCAGGATTATTATTGTGATTTTTATCCGGATGGTATTAATGAGGATTTAGGTGAGTCAAGAATAAAAAGTTTTCGGATCAAATTGTTTTTGTATCCCTTCAGAAGTCGCAGTTAAAGAACTCTCATGGTGTTGTGTTTCTGTTAGTAAATCGGTTCGCTACAGCATCTTCGGCTCAGTAAAACTACTTTTTTTTTAATCATAACTAATGTACCGGCTGTAATAACGCTTGGGAAGTACCGGCAGTGAAGGGAATGAACGGAAAGGGGAAGTTTGCCTAAAGTACTATGGGACAAGACCGGGCTCTCGGTTTTAGTTTTCATTCTTTTTATTATACTAGTATTAGTTTCGTTGTTTATGTAACTGAAATTTCAACAACCTCAAGTTAGTGTTCCTCCAACGGCCAAGCAGACTGTTTCAATCTCCAAGTTGGTGGTTTATATTTATAAACGAAATAAGCTCAACATAGGGTAGTCGTGGAAAATTTTACATTTTCTTTATTTTTCTAGAATCTGTACTCCGCCTCTGTTTATCGAGCACCTCATGTAAGCATGGCGGTCCATCTTTGGACCATTTGCTGCAACACCCACTATTCGTCCGCGCGCCTCTCAATGGCCTATCTATGGGCAATAACGATGTCAGGATGCATCTTAAGTTCCCAATAGCGTTGAAGGATGAATTAAAAGCTGCGGTAGCTACTAGCGAGGCTAGGTTGAAGAGTGAACAGAAATTGGTATGTTGTTCTAATCGTAATTTGTTAACACTATTGTATTTTAATATGTGTTATGTAACGTCTAATTATTGTGAATTTGTAATTGAGGAGGCAATCGCACATCTTAAACTCCATAGCAAAAGCTAAGGAAACCACTATTTCCAAACATTGTTGCCACAGATTTTGAGTGAATTAGAGTTATTTTGTTATAGGTGCGAAGTGCTAAAAGAGAGGTTCGAATCCAAGAAATTCTTAGTTCAGAAGAAGAAATGAAGAAACAGAAACGAAGAGCGGTAAGATAACATTTTTCAAACTTCACATCAGTCCTGCACTAAGTTTCCGGTGACGGTGTCCCTTATTGCAATGTCTTAGGCGGCCAACGTCGAACATGATTAATCAGAATATTATACAATTTAGAAGTTCAAAGAGATCAAAGAGTTAACCACTGGATTGATTATGAAAATTGTTTGTACTGTGTACGTTCGGAATTAAAAAAAATCACACCTTGTTATGTGCATTTTTGTTTAAACAATACACATTGAAACAATAAAACATTTTAAATATTAATATTTTTCATCCTGTATGGAAATAATAAGTTGGTTTCATAAGTTTATTTCCATAAATTAAAAACATTTAAATCACATTAAACTTTAATTCTTATTATTTATATTTTTTCGACCACTGCAAAGATATATAGACTTATTTAAAGTAATAAATACATGCATATTTTCTGTTACGTATCAATTGTATTGTAAATGACCAGAAATAAGATGTTTTATATTAAATTGATCTGACTGAGTACGTATAAATTTAAACAGAAAAAGCGTGACAGTGTATGGAAGTCGACGTCATCCCTGGCAGAAACGGTGCGGTCACAGAGTGCGAGTACGGCGTCCTCGCCAACTCCGCCCGTCTTGTGTGAGTATTTATTTAAATGTCAATCTAGTACGCGCCAAATAAATTCATTCGAGTAGCGCCGCAAGATATCAGAGGGGTAAGTCCTGCGCATCGGAAGAGGACGGTGGGGCATGTTGCACCAGTCGTGTATCTCGCTCTAACACATTAAGTAATTTCACTGCGCTGTTCTAACGTACTGTTATGAACACAATTGTTATTTGTTTTATATCTATTTTGATTGTTATCTGTTTTGTTTATGTTTATTATTATTGTGGTACGCTTTATATGCTTTTCTCAAATACCGAGACGAAACTCTGTATTAAAAAAGCAGGCCAGAAGAATACCTTTCTGATATACTGTTACTATTGACATGATAAATTATTTTAGTTATTTGCCACCTTAATCCACTAATCGACTGAATATTAAACATAATTCTAGAAGTGTCTACTTATTGATAATGTGTTCATAAAACTAGTACGAAGTTGTTACCAAAAGCGTCATAATGTGTATTTTACTTGTTTACCACTTTAGTATTTAAAACATTCACGTTAATCTTTCGGAAATAGATGTGCATCATACAATTCAGAATGAAATAAATTAAATTTTATTACTACCTACTACGCAAACAGTATATTAAATGCATGCTCAGTAGTTTAGTTTGCAAGTGTACCTCCGCAATATTGGGTTTGCAGCCAACTTCGTTGACGCAGAGTTATTTGGCGCGTACTATACTTACTCCTTTTCCGTTGTGATATGTGATGTGATGAATACAAGGTATTTCCTAACCTCATCTGTATAATGATGTTTTTAAGATCATTGTATGAATTCGTTTATGTAAAATGTATTTTTCCTACAATCCCTGAAGATTTCTTATAATAAGAGTTATTAAAATCGGATAATGTCGTAATCAATTATTGCTACTAATAAATAAAAAAAATAATTGAATATTTATTAATATAAGTATTTAAATTATACGTTAGTCCTAGCCTCAGAGAGCACGTTAAGCCGTCGGTCCCGGTTGCCATACGAACATCTGTGGCAATTGTTACAAGTAGTTGGAGCCTGTAAAAATCCGACAAAAGATCTATCTACACAACTTCGCTATCGCCTAGTACTTGGGTAGGTCTGCTGGCAGTCACTTCTCGTAAAAAAATAAGTTCAGCCGTATCGTAGTAGACTTAAGCCCACCCCAACCTAGTTTGGGAAAAAGGCTCTAAGGAAGATTTAAATTGTACCTTAGCTTAGATAAATAAAATTTTGCTCTTATGATGAACACCTTAAGATTCAGTTATGCACGGTACAATTATAATACAGTAGCGTAATTCGGCCGCATGATAGAAATAAATGCCTACAGCCGCGCGGTACGTAAACATGCGTTAGGGCTGCCCGTCTCCAGCATTTTAATTATATTTGCCTACTTTCTGTTTCTATTTAGATTTGTGATTGTAAATATCCTTTTTATATAAATAAATGAAATACTTTGTATATTGAATAGGAAGTGTTCAATAAAAATGCGTGTTGTTTTTTTGATTGGATTTAATTATTTTATGTTCATTCTTTTTTTAAAGTTTTCTATTTGATGAATGTAATACATCCTCCAAAATAAAATGTTTTTCACAAACTTGGTAGGAACTAAAGTTAGGTTTGTTTTCCAAATCATCTCGCCGGATCAGTTGCAACCATTGAAGACGTCTGAAGAAAATAAATACATGTGGCACTCTTATTTATTTTTTAAAAGAAAAGAAATCTGCGTGGTGTCAGGTATTTTTCGTTAGGTTTTGAGAATTTCTTGATTCGGTCAGCCCGCGATAAAAGCTATGCAATAGCTTAAAAATCCTTCTATAGAATAAAAAAAATGTGCTTTCTCCTTACGCGTTACAAAACTCCAATCCTTAGAAACTCCAACACCTACCTACTCAACTAGAATGCAAGAAACAGCTGACGAGTAAGTAACTTTTTATCTCAGCTTATTAACGTCTCTAAAATTAGGTACCTACCTATAACTCGCAACAACTCAAAACAAAAATTCTTTGGTCACCAATTAATTAATTATTAAAAAACTGAACAGCTGACTACGAATGTTTTAAAATCACAACCCTCAAACATCTAAATATTATATATGAGTCTAGCTGTTGTTGTTAATACCGAGAAAATAAAACCAGTTTTTAGTGGCATATGTTGTTATAGTAGCAGCAGAAACACTTTGTGAAAATTTCGAAAACTATCTAATGATACACAGACGGTAAAAAATTTTTTCTAGTATTATTCATACACACAGATAATAAACAAATATTATTAATAATAAAATACCACGTCTTTACTTTGAATTATGCAAAGTAACAAAACACACATGCACCGAAGTTATAACACAAGCGTAAGTAGGTAGGTACCTACCGCATCATGATTCATTCAGAACCGCATATAACTACCTATTTCACTTGTCTCAATAACTTTCCGTTACTCTATTCGCTTTATTTGTTAATCCAAACACCTTTTTTTTTCATGAGATAAAAGGAATTACTTATCCATTAAAAGACACACATTATGTACCTACCTACTAGTAAGTAAAATTATTTTATAGTCTTACCTTTCAGAGTTTCCAGGTAATTTAAAAAAACTTATGTCTGGATGCGTTATTGACGAATTCATACAACCAAAAACAGCACAATATTTCCTACTCGTCATATTAACTGATTTTTAGAGAAAAAATCACTCGGTTATTGTTAAAAAAACAACACACCGTCCGTTCGACACTGCGGTACAGCCGTGACTGTCTGCACCCCGAGCGCACCCCGTTATGCATAATTTTTTTCCGCAGCGGGCGAAACAAGCGTGACGAGTACGTACACAGCGGGCGCGGCTAGTCCTTGCGACGCACGCTCGTCGCTCCTCGCGTCCATCTGCGCCTTCGACAAGTCTCGCCTGGCGCGGGTCGTCGACTCGCGGTGAGTTACATCGGACTTGACCCTTCACCATGAACTTCACGTGTACAGTTACACTGTTTCAATTAAGAAGTGATGTGTAATTCATCAGTCTTTACACTTTGATATACGTGTGTACGTACGTGGCAATGTGTATACGTACGAGAGTTACTGCGATCACTTCATAGATGGCTCACTCGATCAGTCAGTGCCACCTTATCGAAACATCAGGCAATTCAAAAGTATTTACCTAATACCCATAACGGTGATCGCATAAGTCCCGTACATAATATTATATATCATGAAAGTTTAAAAGTTGGTATGTAATATTGTTTAGAGAAAACTGTTGAACTGGATTCAACTTTATTTTCAAATACATTTATATTTATATACATACTAATAAATTGTAAACAAATATTGAATAATATAAGATATGGTGAAAATAATGTTTTTACTATGTTACACATTTATTTTTTGGCTTGCATTTTCATCACAGGCAAACCTTTGGTTGGTTGTAATATACATTTAGCATTGTCAACATCAGAAATTCAATCAATATTGAAAGCAAAGAATTAAATGTTTTATAGGTAACATTATTGTTATAAAGCTTACTACTTGTTAGATTTAAAATAGTGGACTTCATACATATTTGTATATTTATATAATGTATAGTGCTCTATCGTGTGCTATATTTACTAGTCTCGCCTACTCCTGGTCTTATTTAATACTATTGTTTTATACCAAATTACAAGCCTAAAGTATGTGCTTTATGCTTATTATTATAGTTATTTATTGTTATTAAATCAGTGTCAAAATAGCCATCCGGTAATATCCATAATTACTAACAATCTTCCATGTAAAGATTTACTTACCGTCATAACGATTTAATATGAATATTCAAAATTAAATCGCATTTATAGGTTCCCTTTAATCCTACTGTTTAATCGCACCGATGTGTTATTTCTATGTAGGTATTATGTATTACTTAGATTTAAAAAGATTATCTTACTTGTGGTGAATAAATAAGGTACGCATACGATGTTCCGGGTTAACTTCATAGTTGAAATAGTTACAACTTTTTCGGTTACACTTTGATCATTACTAAATAAAACCTTATGTGTATGTTAAAACAAATATTTCTATGACAGTGCGAGAACACCTTACAACTATTATCATTACTTTGTTTTTACATCTGGAACATACGGCAGAAAGGCGTTAAAAGTGCATTTGACTAGACATGTAGGTGTTTGTGGGGCGTTGTTACAGCGTATTGGGGGCCAAAGTATAAATTATCAGTTTAATTACAACAGGGGATCGCCTTATAAACAAAATACTATAGCCGGTTTTATGCCCTAGTGCAATAGTCTGAAAACTCTTGCCTATTCTGGTGTGTATGTTCTTACGTGGTGTCAGCAACTACAGCGGTGGTGGAGCAAATGAACGTAGGTGCAATTTCTCTTAAGGAAAGTCGTCAGTCTGCTTGTATTCAACGCTCCTCTCCACTAGCACCTGTTATGTAGCCCCGCTCTTGGTTTGTAAATTGGAAAAGTTAGTGAGATCTGATTGATTGGTGGAACTAGTGTCGAACTAACTAATTTTCACAATGGTTTTGTTTCTTTTACTTAGTGCATAGAATTATCACAATCATGTATATACAGGATTGTATTGTACTTGGTCTGCCATAGCGCTGAGGTTGGTATATCATGTGATAGATCTCCGAAACTTGTTTTCGATCATATTATGGTGTTCTATATATTTATAATTAGAATAAAAAATTGTCAAAAGAACCTTCCTATCTACGAAAATGGTAGTTTAATTTAAATTTTCTTCATTCCTTAAATTTTAATAATGTTTTTAGTCATGACATGACGTTTTATATTTTTCTCTATTTGGTATTTTTTTAACTCGACCAAGCCAGTGTTCTTCAACTTTGATGGAAGATTGGGAGAATTTAACTATTAAAAATAACTGGCCTAAATGACTAACGTACCATGCCATGGCCAACCTAGCCAACGTATATAAGATAATAGGCAATATAACTAAATGCTATTATGGAATGTTTAGAAATACGACGGAAAAATATTTAGTACAATATTGAACATACAAATCTGTCAATGCAACATATAACGTATACCTTGCTTTCAATCGAACAAAATATATATTTTACTAAATTAAATAGTTTAAGTATTTAAATTCAGGAATGTATTGTAACAGAGGAAGTTGATGTAATTTTGATAGTTATAATTTAAGTTTTCAACGTGATATACTGGTCAGCATTGTGTTATTGGTTTATTATGAAATCATTTTGGAATTTCTATCTATGTAGAGCTTTAATGTTTAGAGTAAGGAACATTAATTATTAAATGTTTAATATATTTTGTTGTAAGTAAATATATGTTTGAGATAGTTATTTGGTGTTTATTTTCATGCACCTTATGACAAATGGAACAGAAACACTAATGTATAACGTTTATATTTATTGGTAAGCTTACACGCTAATTATACAAAACAATAATGTAACTTTCTTTGCTTATTCGTGCAAAGGATATCTGAAATAATAATTTGATATATAATAGATACTTCACTCAGTCAAGCGGCTCTAGACAGATGCTTGGCGTGTGAGTGAGCGATAGCTTTAGGAATCTTCACATAACATTAATCAGTTAACACTAGCTCGGCAATAAAACTAACCAATCAAAGCGAGATACTCGAACATAAATTATTTCCAACAAACATAATTATGTGCCGACACATTCCTACACATTACTAACATACACTAAGATATACATTAATATAATATTTTTCTATGAATAAACACAAAGCAAACAAATAGGACACAAATTTTTCACAATTGTAAAGAAAGAAACGCTCATTATCACAATTAAAACATAGTTATTACAATTGCACTTTACTTTTATAAAGTAAAATCAAGAAATATTATAAAAATCAGTATGTCCACACCTAAAAACACCATTAATCGTTTGTCGTTTTAAACATACTTCAATTTTACACTATAATCACGTTTTAAGTTACCGTTGAAGATAAAAAATTCACATATATTGAAGCTCACCTTGTCCGCTACTTAATATACGCTATTAAAAAAAACTATAATTCCGCAACTTGCGACTGTTGTCAATCATACTTTCGAAAAAATTGACAACTTTAACGGATGTTCATTAGATACAAGCATCGTATTCGACGTCAAGCATCGTATATCGTTATTAGTCAAGAAACTGATGTTTATTTCAAACAGTTTCCTATTAAGTCATTCGACTTCTTAATGTCATAAATATTGTATTTATGATTTCACAAGATATGGTGAAAAAACACAGAACGGTTTGATCCTTGCTTTTCCTCAAGGAAACATTCTCTTTGTCATAAATATTATGAGATATCGGTTAAAATCTTTAAGGAAGTACTATAATGCCCGGTTCGGTACTACCTAATATGGTAGAGTTAGTATCTTTTACTCCATAGGTTTCAAAATTCAATTAAATATGTATTATATTACTAACACTTGAGACATTTTACAAACTTTAAAATTTTTGTACAAAAGGTATCGCAAAAAACGCCTCAATAATGATTTTTCGACGATATTATGAGATCGTTCATATTTTTAGCGAATTATACCAACAATCTTTATATAATGACGAATACTCTTATCAAATAAAATATGAATGATGCTATTATGCAACACTAAAATAAGAACTGCATACTATCTAAACTTAGGTATTCTTGTGATTTAAAAAATATATATAAATACAAATTTACTGCTATAGAGAGGCCTATATAAAGTAGTGGACTGTTTTAGGCTGTTGATGAGTACAAATATAAATAAACAAAAATCTCGTCAGAGTATTTACTTAAGCTAATTTCTCATGGACTTAGATAATATGCAGTCCATTCTAAGATCATAATTAGACTAGGTTACAATCATAGCTGTGTTAACCAGCAATGATTTGCTTATAGAAGTTTACAATATCGTAGATTTCGAGCGATAAATATACATTTATATTGATCCACAGATGCATGTGATGTATGTGTTTAATCCAGTTCGATGATATCGTCGATATCGTCTAAGCTGAAGTCCTTTAGTGTTGGTACTGCAAACAATAAATTAGAAGGTCAGGAAGAACTACAACTTCGTTACATTAACATTTTGACAAAAAAAAATCGCTGTAAGGAAATAATACGACTGCTGTAAAAATAATCGTAATCTTTTAAAACCATTTTATTGCGTTAACCTGACTTGATATAATTTTTTGATATGTATGTAAAAATCTAGAGACGCTTGCAAAGTAAAGGAAGACAAAAATGTTACGACCTACCATTTTTCAAAAAAGTGTTCAGCCAGTTGGAAGTTAAGAAAACACAGAGACGGACATACTTATACAGTTTAAACACCTTTCTTTAATTTAAAATAAAATTTATAGAAAAATTCTTTAAATCAAGAAAAAGTGTATAAGTTGTAGATAACTTCAATAGCACAACATTAAATCAATATTGGTGGTAAGTATCAATCTCGATATAATGACCAAGATTCTACTACCACTGGCGTTAGTAATCAAAGCATTCTAGGATATACATACAAACAGATATATACACAACCCATACAAACAGATATAAAGATGGACAATAAAGCAGGCGTAGCACAATAAATTGCTCAAAGCCCGAAACCCGATTGCAAACAAAACTCACTCAGAATACGGAATGTCACCACCCCTATTCATCCCGTGGGTGTCGTAAGAGCCGACTAAGGGAGCAAACTACGCAGGAAAACAGCACTGCACAAAGAGAAGGAAAACTTGAAACAAACCCTATACCTACCCGTCCGGCCAGCGTGGTATAGTAGAACTAAACCTTCTTTCTAAGGAGAGGCCTATGTCCAGCAGTGGACTGTTATAGGCTGTTGATGTAATGTGATGATGTGGAATGGCGGCGTGTGAAGCGGCAATATACGACGTTCTTCATAGAGATGCGAGACGGGAAGTGGCGGCGCACGCGGGGTTCTCAACCAAAATTAGCGACGGAATAAAATCACAATCATTTGTGATTAAATATATGATTTATAAATTACATAATCACACCTGTGACTAGTTTACTGTGTATAAAGACTGGCAGAAGATTCCGGCGTGGGCATCGCTTCATCGAGAATTGATGCTGCGTACACCACCGCGGGTTCCGCCGCAAAACACGCTTCATTTTAAACAAGAGCGTGCAAAAACGCACTCATAATACGCCATATGTTTGAATTCAGTGCGGGCCGCGCCGCCCAACGCAACGCGTCTTCGTAAATGAGGCCTAACACATGTTAGCAAAACAGAAACCTGATTCTGACTTTAATCCATACTTATAAAAATGTGAAAGTGAGTTTGTTACACTTTCACGCCTAAATCACTAAACCGATTTTAAAATTTCTTTTACCAATGGAAAGCTACAATATCAGCGAGTTGCAAGTTACAAGGGTCTTGAATATGGTAGGGTTGTAAAGTACTTTCTATTTTATGACATCGGGAGTAAACGAGCGGACGGGTCACCATATGGTAAGCGACTCACGACGCCCATGGATGACTCCAACTCAGTCAAGAATCAGTAAGTTGCAGCCTTGTGATTCCAACCTCCCTAATGAGCGGGAGGAGAGGTCTGAGCTCTGGTAACCTCACTCACTACGTGAAAAGCAAAGAAAGAATTGCTTAATATCGATTTCCTTTGAGACCGTGGTAGCACTCCGGTCGAACCGGGCTATTTATGCCGAAGCATTGGTCTCCCACGTTTCATTGTGATGTTCAAATCTTTATCAGCGGAGGACTTACAGAAAAATTATAAAAAGTATTACTTAACCTTAACCTAAGACGAAAGATAAAAAGAATGAAGAAAGAACTGTATGTAATGTTATGATTAAAAATAAATGTGTTAAACAAATGTCAGACTTTGTATACTGGAGTAGTTTCATCATCTGCCTACCCTTTTCCCAATTTTATTTGGGGTCGGCGCAGTATGTATGATTTTTCCATTCTACTCTGTCATGCGTCATCTCACTGTTTACTCCCTTCCTAGCCATATCCTCCCTCACGCAGTCCATCCACCTTTTCTTCGGTCTGCCTCTTCTCTTATACCCTTCAACTCCCATACCTAAAACTTTCTTCGCCACATTTTCCTCATCTCTCCGCATGACATGTCCATACCAAGATAACCTATTACTTCTTAACTTTTCATCCAGTGGCGCTACTTTCAGACTCCCTCGTATATACTCATTCCTAACCTTGTCCATCTGAGTCACACCACACATCCATCTCAGCATTCGCATTTCGGCTACGTTCAGGCGTCTCTCATCCGTTCTCTAAATGGGCCAACTTTCAGAACCATACAGGACGGCAGGTCTGGAGTAGTTTGTTAAAGAGAAATGGAAGGCGCAAAGGAGATATTGAAAGTAGATTAAAATATCGAAATGAGATCATAGCGAAGTACGATAAGCGAAATAAAATTGGCAACGTAAGGACGAATGAAAAGAGTTATTACTGAGGTGGTTTGGGGCCATGGAAAAAAAAGTGCGAAGGAAGCTCGCGAAGTATGTCAGGATAGAAGCAAGTGGCAGGCTATTGTCTCAGCCCCAAGGGGATGATGCATTGCTTGAGTTTACGTTAAATACTTTGTAAGGTCACTGCAAAGTCATATGATTTGAGAAAAACCCTACAACACAAAATAACAAACAACGCACCAAAGAAAGAACAAAGAAATAATACCCATGAAAAATATTAATCCAATTTCGGCATCAGCACCCTGAAACCATTAAAGTTATACAGCAAACATGCTGCTTAGTAACAATAAAAAAGTTTTGTAAAAACATGACAGAAAAACTAAATACATATTAAGTGCATGCAGGCATTCACAAGTATTTTTGAAGTAAAACTTCTTTATGCACGCTTGACTTGGGGAGTAAGCTGGTGAATACGTGACGTGAGTGTTGCGAAAAGTGTGATCGGGCTAGGCGAACTGAAGTTGAGAGGGAGATATAAGTTACTGAAGATAGAAAGAGAGAGAGTTACGTTTCGTATATTACTGTAGGGGCAAGAGAAAGAGGTGCGAGCACACATTTTCTTACTCTCTTTCTCTCATAGCCAAGAAGTTTTACTTCAGTCGTGTGGTCTAAAGCACACTCGTCTTTTTTTATTACACAATGAGGTAATTCTACGACGATAACTTTTAATCGCATGAAATTGAATGATTTAAAACAAAATATAATCAAGAATGTGTATAAGTAACACTTTGCATCCAAGGGGCTCTAAGATTATTTCTTAAATAAGCCTAGACTTAATTGCTATACATACTTACAGAAAGGTGTAGTTATAATTAAGGTTCCTGGGCTATACGATAAGTAGTCGTTTATAGTCGAAACGCGAGTCAAGGACGGATATTACTACGGCTAAGGCCGCATTAAGGACATAAAAGGGCTCTCGCAAGTTAATAAGAAGTTCGACGTTGGTTTTCTTGGCAGGGAGATAACGAATAACAGATATTGAGATAATGCCGGATTGAGGTGTGTAAAGGTTGTGGCAAGTTTATGGATTTTTTGATGTTTAGATATGGATTCTGATAGATCTGAAGTCAGACTTGAAAGAAACTGCACCAGCGTCTGATCAAAGCTATCAACTCTTGTTATCAGCATAGCTGAAACTCGAATTCTTCGTATTCGGATTTAAAAAAAATCAAAACTAGGAATACTGTCTTAAATTTTTCAGATGGTCAATTATACAATGCGCCCATTAAATATGAATACACCTTTCTGCAACAGCCTACATGATAGGATAGCTTACATTCAGGCTTCTTTTTCTTAGGTGCGCTAGTTTCTGCTGTCGAAACCCTCTTTTTGGCTTCAATTTTAGTCTTCAGAACAGACGGGCCGCTACCAGCTGTTACATTCGAGAAGTGCCTGTTAAAAGTTAAGCATATTTTCTGTTTTATTTCTATTATATGGACATGCTTTACGTGTATATGAGTTGTAAGAAATAACAATTGCTATTATAAAAGATCAAATTTAAACCGACAAATGAGCAGTAATGAAGTTTATGATAGGTTTTAAAAAGGGTTTGATTGAGGTACCACCTGCTAGAAAGAAAAATATTCGTTTTGAAATATAAGTTTTGTAAGAATAACTGGAGAAATACATGTAAAGGACTTTCTTTTTCTTAAGATATTCTTTGAAAACTTCTCTTGGGCTTCACTAATGGTATTTACAAAAGCGATCACATATATCAAAGCATTTTTTTTTTTTACTAAATGTGAATGTGAAACCCTAAAAGTTATTGAAATTACGCCCCACAGAGAACCTCTTTCTATTTGTAATTGATAAAAATAAATTTAATTTGCAGTGTTGGAGTTATCGCTACATTTCTAGAACAAAAAATACCCTCCCCGACTATACTATATCCAAAGAATATGCATGTTTAGTCACCGTATGATAGCAAAGTCACATAAACACACCACACAAACTTGAATAAAAAGTAGTAACAATAAAGATACATACGTGAGGTCAACAGTGTGGATAACTTTGTTGTTTTTCGAATTTAGTTCATCAGAGGCTGCTTTCAAACCTGGTGCTAATGGTGACTTATTTTCTGTTGTCTTATTTGGTTTCGTGGTTAGTGATTTCTTAATTACCAGCGTATTTATAGCTTTCTTCGCTGGTAATTTTTCTATTTTAATTGTATTGCCACTAGATTTCGCCTCTTTCGTTGTTTTCGGAATAGACTCCTTGTTTTGCGTGGCCGCGGCTTTTGCAGGTATTTTTGTTGAGTTTTTGCAATCAGGTACATACACGTGTTGAACGTATATGCTAGCATCGCCACTTTTCTGGGTTTTCGTTGGCTTCGATTTGTATTCGCTTGCGGAACTAGGCTTGTCGTCTGCAGCCTGGATGTGCACTACATTCTTGAAGATGGATAAAGGATTGTTCTCAACTGGACTGCTAGGCCTAGACTCGCTACTGCTACTCGATAAACTATAACTGCGAATCTGCGGTTTCGACTTGGCGACATCACATTCAGACGGTTTTGGCTTTTCCGTGTTGTTAGATGACTTTGGCTTTTCAGTGCTGTTAGATGACTTTGGCTTTTCAGTGCTGTTAGATGACTTTGGCTTTTCCGCGCTGTTCGATGACTTTAGTTTTGTAATATCACTCTGAGTCGGTTTCGTTTTATTGTCGCTCCGAGACGCCTTAGTACCGGTAGATGTTTTACGCTTACTGACTTGAAGGACTTCAATGTCACCCTTCTCTGAAATTCTTATAATGTCGCCTGGTTTGCACCGAGCTTGTTTAATTTTATTTAAACACGTGGCAGACGGAGTAGTAGTCGATTGTACCGCCTCTACAGGTTTTATAATAGGTTTCTCTTTCTGAGGAACCGGTTTTGCTTTTGTCACTACTTTTGGCACCGTAGATACGGCGTTAGTTGGGACCAGTACATATTGCGGAGCAGACCCTGTCGAGGCAACCTGGTGCAGCATTAAGGGAGTTTTTGGCATACTCTGCGCTGAAGTTATAGGTGTTACGTTCGAAGGCGTCGATAGTACCTTGGGCGGGGGTTCGACCGTGAGTGGAACCGGCACCGGAGCTGGATCAGCGATCACCGTCGGAGTTATCGTTTCCTCCTCATCACTGTCTAAACAAATAGTGTCGTTCGACATGGTCGGTGGGGGCTGGGATGGTGTCAGCTTAGATTGAGAGCCGTTACCTTTGGATACATTCGGCGGGAGAACGATCTTTATGACGTTCCTAGGTTTCTTCTTTAAGTCAGTTTTTTTAACAGCCAATAAACGGTCCAATAGGATCTGCGAATTAGTAGGCATGGTAGTAGATGGTGCAGCGGGGAGCGGTTGGTCGGGCGGAACGGGCTGCATCTGCGGCAGCGCGGGCAGGGCGTGCGGGACGATGTGCATGTCGTCGTCGTCGTCGTCCGGCAGGATACATTCGCTCGAAGCAAACTCGTTTGATTCAATGCCGCCCGTTGTTTTTATCCTAAACAATTTTTATTGATTAGCGATTGACCAGGTTTACTATCGATGTGTATTAACAAATATACTTACAATCCGACGGGCACTACGTTGCCGTTAGTGCACTGGTTTGTACTCGGTTCGTGAGCAGTTATCTGCACCGTTTCGGAGCTAGAAGTATTCGAGTTTTGTATTTTTCTTTTTCTGGATTTTTCTTTCCTCACTTCTGTGAGTTTCTCTTTATTCATCTCTCGCATCTTTCCCTTAAGTTCGATTGTTACGTTATCTTCGTCGACCGATGGCGTATTCGTTTTAGAATTTGTACTGTACATTCTACTGAATAGTTCTTTACCGACTACCTGTAAGAATTCATTTATTACTACATAACTGTTATCCAACAAAATATGCTGAATTTTCATGGGTTGTAAAAATATTATGTCGGTATATTCGATTACTGTAAATGTCTTACCTTCACAGCGATATCATAGATAGGCCCACTTGTTATACCTTTGCCTGTTTGCTCGACTTCTTTGAGTGCCTTGAAGGTGCTGTACCGCGCCGCTAAGGTCGCGGCGTCTGCGTCCAACATCGGGTTATCGTTCAGGTACGTATGCGCTACTATGTTTATAAAGTTCTTATTTGTCAGTAAAGACAAAGGTAGAGGTAGTACCTCGTCATCCCCGAGGGATGTAGGAGCTGGTGTAGGCGTAGCTTCAGGCACGTTATTATTACCTAAGGATTCAGATTCACAATCTTCGCTCAACAATATGCCGTTACTTTGCTCTTCAGTTGAACGATCCGCAGAATTGACTTGTTCTAAAAATTTATTTTTCATTTTATTTTTAAAAGTTTTCGGACCAGCCCTGACTCTTAAGATGGGCGTGATTATTCTAGTACGCGGCTGATCTGCTTCGACAAGAGTAGACTCGTCCTCTGTGGAATAACGTAGAGGAGGAGTGATAGTATTTCGTTGTTCTCCTTCTTCGTCAGTTGTTCTTTTGGATGTTGATTCTCTTATAATTTTTCTTTGATTTATTGGTGGTCTTTCAGATTTATTAATTCCATCTGGGATAAAGTCCGTATCGGTGGTATCAAAGTCGTCATCTAAGTTAATAATTATATCTTGAGCCATTGAATCGATGTGCTTTTCGGCTGCAATTGCGGCTTTCCTCTTTCTTCGATTGTCAGTGACTTTACTTTCGGTAGTTTTTACTTCGTTTACTTTGTCTTCGATAATTTGAGTACTAAGAATTTGTTCACATTGATCTTCTACAACTTGAGGACAATAAGAATTGTTTATAGATTCGCACATGATGCCAGTGAATGAAGGCATAGAAATTGGTTTCTCGAGCAAGACCTTGGCAATGCTAGACGTAAGATCGTCGGTGTCTTCATTAAAAATAAAACCCTGATTGACTATTTTTCTAACTTTACTTACTAGATTTGATATGTCAGTATTTCTTGTTTTATTATGGAAATTATGTTTGATTAGTATATCTGTAATTTTATTGACCATCGTTTCTTCATTGTTATCTTTTTTATCCATATATTTGCTGTGACTCTGACTGGTCGAAGGTTCCTCGAAACTACCTCCTTTAGACGTCTGTCTGGTAGACCTAGCTACTCTCACCTTAGATTTTGCCGTAGTCGGTACTGGTACCACTATTTTACTGATTTTTTTACCCTTTTTACTTTTGACTTCATTTGGAGGCACAAAGTCTTCACTAGTGTCCTCTGTTTTAATTTCTTCACTTTTTATTTTTATATCATCCAATTCAAAGGATTGAGTGTAATTGTTTCCTTGCAAGCGTTTTAATGAAATTTTAGGTATGTTCGCGATTAGTTTGTTCTCCATTTCTATAACAATGGATTACATAATATTAGAAAGATATTATTTTTAAAAGAATCTCTTTGAAAATAACGCAATATAAATACGCAAAATCCTATCAGGGATAGAGTGTTGGCCTGGAGTGTTATTAGGAAATGAAGTATAATAAGAATTTCAAAAATTAAATTCTTTATAATTTCTAACGTTGTCACTATTTTTTGTTTGTAAATAAAAATAGAAAACGAGGGTTCACAATCAATGGAGGAGTATCATTTTATATACTTAAAAGTATTGAACAGCTTATATAGCAGCGGATGTCAAAAACCCAATAAATATATAAGTACAGTCCTTTAGCCATTTGAGTGATGTTTTTAATTTTTCAATGTTAATGTGTTCCACATATAACCTCGTTTTTAAATGTGAAGGTTAAAAAGGATATTCTTGAAATCGGTCAAAATTTTTGATAGTCGATTCAAATTCTAACACTCGGTTACCTTTTCTTTTTAGAAAACTTATTCTCGATCTCTAACAGAGAATCTCTAACAAATATAAGGTGAAGAACAGTCGGAGCGGTGTACGTACGTTTGTGCGCCTGCTCCTGCTGGAACTGCATCCAGGCGGCGGCGCGCTCGTGCTCGGGCAGGCCCTGCTCGGACGAGCGCAGCAGCGAGTCGTGCTCGTGCACGGCGTGCAGCGCCGCGTCGCGCGCCACGCGCAGCAGCGCCACGTCGCTCACGCCCACCGCCACGCCCGGCGCCACACACGCGCCCGCCTCGTCGTATCTGCCGTACCGCATCACCACTTTCTTTATTGCTAATTCTACTGCTACTCACGAGAGGGACGGACTGAATGCCCACTCCGTTCTCTCCCACTCAAATTTTGGACGATGTACAAATACTCCAGGGTAGGTGCAGAGATATAAATAAACTCGGATACATTACTTACGTGTGCAGGATTTGTAAATATCATTACTACATAAATACCCGTATTTGTATATGTTACATACATATATTACATAGACAGATAAATACCCATATAAGTACGTAGTAGAACCCAAAAAGTGACCAAATTACTACAAATCAAAGGTTGAATGATTTAACCGGTAAAAGGTTTTTTCGAATTGCAGTGAGCAAAACTGAAGAGAAATGATGATATTATAAAACACAAATAAAATTAAGCTAGAATAGAAGGTCATATCTTATTTTTGCTCTCTTTCTGAAATACTACAAATAAATATATTATCCAGAAATAATTATATTAAAAATATTTTTTAACGAAGTTTTTAAGTTAAAAAAAACCCCACACTTTATTGACAACAACTATAATGTTAAGATAAAAGAATTCAAAAGATAGTGCAACTGAAAACATTGAAAACATTTGTTATAGAAACCTGTATAGTTCTGTCAATTCGGCCATGTTGTAATGTCGGTCAATCTGTTGTTCGTCTACTACACGACATGCCACTGCCTGCTTGGTGACAGCCCGTTCATATATTTTCTGCTCCATGGTACCCTGAAATGGAAATTATTGATTTATAATAATAAAATACTTCACAAATGTCACACACGGTCGTATGATTCCAAACTAGGCATGGCCTGTGGTCCTGGGTGGGAATCGAACCTACGACCTCCGGCTTAGCAGTAAGGGTCACTAACCACTAACAAATAGGCCCGAAATTAACTGTATTAAGTTGTTTTATTGTTGATTAAAGTTACAGTGTAGCGCAGAAAAGTTCTGACCTAATAGACCTTAGCTCTTATAAAAAAACTAGCTACTGCCCGTGGCCTCACTCACGTAATTAATTCTTATTTCGTGTTTCTAACTTTGAAAATGACAAACTTTCACATTCATCCCTTATTTTAGCCCCTTGGCGGTCCAATTTCCTAAAATCTTTTTTTTTTGTGGATGCTTACAACATAAAAAGCATCAGCTGCCAAAAGTCAAGTTTGTAGCCCCAGCGGTTTAGGCCCTGCGTTGATGAACCAGTCAGTCAAAGTAAGTCATTTTATATTTATAGATTGTAATAAACATTAGGGATGTCTCTGATCTAAAAATATAATAAAACAGCTCACGTTTTTATAGTTACGTTTTTTTATAGTTATTGTTTTTATAGTTATTTTTATCATAATTGTTAGATTTACTTAGTAAAAAATGGACAAGTGATACTTACCATGGCAACAAGTCTATATATAAAGCAGTCTTTCTTTTGTCCAAAGCGGTAGACGCGAAAGATGCTCTGTATGTCGTGGGCAGGGTTCCACGATGTGTCCATGATGATAACGCGATTAGCTGCCGTCATATTTAGTCCTAAGCAGCCTGCCCGTGTAGATACTAGAAACAACCTAAAGCACAGAAACAAAGTATGGGTTTTCATTATAACATAATAATTATATATTTATTTTAAATCGCTTGCGTTTTTTATTTTATTATTTTGTCACTGTCGTGGCCTCTTGCTGTTGGTACGAGTGTTTTTTTTTTATGTTAGAGGGGGCAGACGAGCAGACGGGTCACCTGATGTAAAGTGACCATCCTCGCCCATGAACGTCTGCACGTTGCCGGCCTTTTAGGAAGGAGTACGCTCTTTTCTTGAAGATTTGAAGGTCGTATCGGTCTGGAAATACCGCAGATGTTCCACAAAAAAATTGTCTCGAAAAGCGCACAGTAGTAGAGCGTAAACTATCCAGGTAATAAGGATGAAAATTTTGCCGTGTGGAACGATGGCGGAAATTTGCGGCTTGTTATAATCCGAACAATTCCTCGGAGCACTCTCCATGATATATGCTATAGAGAATGCAGAGTGAAGCTACATCTCTACGTAACGCCATCGAATCGAGCCGGTCGCAAATCTTTTGGCTATCAACGATTCGAGTCGCTCTTCGTTGGATGCGGTCCAGAGGGAGAAGCTGGTACTGAGGTGTCATTGCATAGAGATGGCAGTATTCCACATGCGGCCGGACTTGCGCCTTATAGAGCTGAACGCGGTGGGCCGGAGTGAAATACTGCCTCGATCTGTTCAGCACACCGAGCTTCTACGAGGCCAATTTGACCTTACCCTCTAAGTGACCCCGAAACTGGACTTCGCTCGATATGTCGATGCTTAGGATTCTGATGCTGGCTGAGGCAGTTAGGGAGGTGCTCTCAAACTGAGGTGATACGACAAATGGTATCTTAAACCTGTGTCTTTTTGGACTAAAATGGACAAGATTTAGTCGGCCCCAATCTGAAACCTCCGCTAAGGAAGTTTCAATTTCAGACACAAGTTTGTTACGACTCTCGATTACGTTTTCCCGAGAGATGTTGGGGCGGCCGGTATTAAGGGCTTCTCCTGTGCTATCATCTGCATAGCAATGGATGCTACTAGTTTGCACCTTAAATAACAGAATGATCTTACTATGCTTCATTAGGTCAGGAAATACATCAGATTCAGTGCACAGTGATTATTGAAAATTAAAGCCATCTCTGATGCAATCACGCTAATAATAATTATTATGTAATCTATATATATATACTCATCACGATATCTCTGGAACCATTAGAGCTAAAGACTTGAAATTTGGTAGGAATATTCTTTTCACCGAGTAGAGGTCAGCTAAGAACGGATTTTAAGAAATTCAAAAAAAAAATATTTTTTAAATAATGTAAATAGCAAAACAACGTTTGCAGAGTCAGCTAGTAATTAATATAATAATTGAGTTTGTTATTTGTACCGAATTACCCCAAAAGGTCGGCGGTTTTTTTAACATGAAGAGCATAACGGTGCTAATTCTGTTGGTCAAAAACTCTCTAAACTAAACTAAAAATCACTAAAAATTAGTTTAGTCCTGTCAAATACTAAGTTTTCAGAATACGAAACGTTATTTGACAGGACAAAATCTAAACTCAGTATTACAAATGTTAATATTCTCTTTCAATAAAGATTCTGCAATAGTGGGAGACGAATTCAATGACTCTGTGGTCGAAACTTGAATGTCTGTGATTGCATTTTTCAAAAGCTGTGGCAACTTCTAAATCAGATTTATCAATTGAAAGGCTGTAATTATAACATTTGTTCTTTGCTTTTCCAGTTTCGGCATTAATTATTTTCCAGGTCATTCTAATTTTATTTGAACGATTAGTAAATTTAGATTTTAATTAATTAACCTTTGCAGCATGACATATTTTCTTGTAATAAATTGGAATATTGTTTAACATATTCACGAAATTCCATACTAGTGTTTGAATAGGTAGGAAATTTTAATCAACTTTTACATCTGATAAGTTATCAGTGATAACTTGTTAGGAGTAAAAGTTGATTCAAATTCTGAACAACACATGTTGAAAAAAGCATTATATAATTGATTAGGATCATCATTATAACCCAAGTCAGGCAGTTTACGGAGCAGTTTATTTAAAAATAATCCATACGTGTTACAGTTTTAGGTACTACAGTAAAATCTCGTGTTACCACCATTTTGTTTTTATAGCAAAAGCACACACAGCGATCAGAATGTAGTTTGTTTATTATTCCTTTGGTATGTGGCAATATGTCAGTAAATATATTATTTAAACACCTGGGTGTTTTGGCAGAGATCCTGGTAGGCTCCAAAAAGATGTTATTAAGATTGTATGATCCAAAAAAGTTTTTAAACCTTAAACTCAAGGTTGTATTTTCCAATACAATACATTAAAATAGCCACACACCACTACACTTTTGTTAGATTTAGATACTTTCTGCAAGACTTCATTCAAAACCAACATACGATGTGCATGGAGGCCTGTTTACGCTCAATACAATAAGTTGCTCTAACTCCACACATACTATCTCTATTGCCCGTTCAACAGAGAAGCCCACGATATCACTATGGCTCCTAAAACTAAAATCCTTTATAATCAAAATGAATGAACCGCCATGTACAATATGTTCCCTGCTGAACGAACTGCCTAATATGTGATTACTGAACTTGAACATGTTTGAAAACATCTGATTAAAACCCTTATTCTTTAATTACGTGATTCTATTCGATTGTGGCTTGCACTAACTTGGTACAAAGAAAGTTTTAGACAAAATAGCAATTAGAAAATTAATATACTTTTAAAATTAAGAACTCTGAATCAAATACAATTCCTTACAGGCAAGCACCACATGCACAGACTACTTATTAGACTAAGCCAACCATTTTTTTTTAAAGTAGTGATTTACATAACATGCATATAATGACTAATTATTACATGAGTGTAAATAAAACTAGTTTAAAATTATTTTTATTAATAAATATTTTTTAGTATAGTTCCTTACTTACAACAACTTACCTAGTGTTAATATTATTATCAGCGTTGAACTCCCGGCACCACTTCTGCCGTACCTCGGCGGGCACGGAGCCGTCCAGCCTGTAGTACTCCTGTCCCAGACTCCATTTGTTAATCTTCTTCAAAAAATACTCTAGCGCGTCCAGGCAGAACAATGAAGTTGAGAATATCAGCCTGCAAATATTGGTCGCGTTAATTACAATATTTATATAGCGTAAAACGCACTTTATTTAGCAGCATTTCTAAGCCGTCATACTGTGGCAGTTGCGATAATCAAGCTAGTAAATGACATTGGTTGGGTGTTTCTATGTATAATATGTATGTATTTACAAAAAAAAAAAAAAGTATATATGTATTTATATCAGTTGTCTAGTACCCATAGTACAAGCTCTGCTTAGTTTGGGACTAGATGGCGTTGTGTGTATGTGGTAGAATATTATTATTATTATTATATTATTATTGGTAACTGACAAAGGTACCAAGTCACAGAATTTTATGAAAAAACAAACACGCGGTAAAATATCGTTGTGCGGACGGGGCCTTAAGATATAAAAAACCAAAAAGTCTGTCTTACTTTGAAATCATAGGAAGTAGGAGCAGTATGCCTTACAAGGCAGGGAGCAATCCAAAAGATCTGAGATAATCCATTTTCTAAGACAAAATTAAAGACTTACACTTTATCGCCCAAAGCAACACACTCGTCCAGTATTCTGAACACGGCGACGAACTTGTTGGATGCTTCGAGCGAATCGAGCATGTTGCCGCCTTCCAAGTATTGCAGCCACCACATTTCTGTCGCAACCTCTTTTATGTCCTCTTGGTCTTCCGTAGCTAGATCATCTTCTAGCTTTTCCACTGTCAAATAAATAAATAATATTAACAAAGACTCGTGGTGGAGAGTGGCGTATAGTACACATATACTTAATAAATTAATTAGCTTTGCACAAATTAAAAATAAATTAAAACTGTTTTTTCTTTTAAGTCCACTAAAAAGTAAATACAGAATGATGTATATTGAATATTATAAAAAAAAGAATACAAATCAGATATTTTTCAATATTACGTTTCAAAAATTTGAAACGTAGATAATCGCAACTAGAAAAACTTACATTTAATTTTACTCTTAGAGTCTTGAACTTTGGTCTGGAAGTTATGCAGTACTTGCGGGTGTGACCAAATCTTCTGCAGTATATGGAAGTCTTTCAAAATACTATGCTGCTTCATTTGTCTACTGTAGTGGTTCAAATAATGCTTATATAGGTCCCATTGGCACTTCGTCAGAGTTATGAACACAGTGTATTCATGTTTCTTAGGCAGGTAAGGGTAAAGCACCGATACTTCTTGTCTTTGTAGACACCCTTCTAAGACTTTGTGAAGAATATGTGTGCGAGCTTTCATTAGTTTTATGTCTTCTTCCCGAGAGTCTCTGTGTTGTCCATTCATTATAGGATTTTCAAACCTGACAACATAAAATAGAGGTTATTTTATATGATAATACGAGTAGATTCGAATGTCTTTTACAGGCAGTTTTGATATGTAGTAAAATTTAGAACATTAATATATTAAACTAACACTAACACAAGTGAAAATCTGTGTGCTTATGTGGTAGGATCAGGCAAATTGAATTTTAAATTTCATACTACATCTCTAGTTATACATAAAATATATATAGCTAGAAATTGCCTTGTCGACAATGTCAAATTTCAAAAACTAAATTGTACGAGTATTAATGCAAATTCGTTCCTACTTCCGACTAACTTTAAAGTCCTGATGGGGTCAAAGAAATCGATTACTAAAATATCTGATTCTTAATAGATTTCGATATTATTTCTAGTAGTAGTATGTACTAATCGATTATTTTACAGATTTATCTATGTTACTATAAAAGCCCGTGTAATGGCACATCATAGGTTTTACTAGTAAATCTTAGTATACACTAGACTTTGACACGAGCGATTGCAAAGATTTATTTAAAATTACATTAAATTACAAACTTTTAATTTTAATTATGCGTTTTCGTTGAGATTTGGATGTCAGATGAATTTTAAGTGTTATTAAACACTTTAAGACGACTTTTTTTTTCTGTGCGGAAATCCCCTTGTTATGGTGGTTATGTCGGACTCGAATCGACCAAAAACCGGACGCCGTCTAAGGTACCAGCTACCGGTGAACCAGGTGTACCCTAGGAAGGAAATTCCTGATACCCCGACGAACCTCGGGTCATCTACGGCGTGTATCTACACCTGCTTCCGAAAAGGCGCGCGCGCTCTGCAGCGAGTCTCGCCACCACCCCGGCCTGCTTCTGCTAGGGTGACAGATGGTCTCACCTGTCACCCCCAAGCCTGCGCTTATGGAGGACGGAGGTCATTCTGCGACCTCCGGCACCTGAGTCGTCTGCGGTACCTGGCCGGGCCTGGTGCACCGGGAGAGTTCTAAACCTCTGCCAGTCCCGCTCCGCCATCTCCTTTGCAAGCATAACTTGTTAGCAGAAGGAGACGGTCCGTACTCTCGCTCCGTACCATGGCAGAAATCATATTACCGAGCGAGAAAATTCACACTCCGGTGGCCGCCATGCAGGCCACCGGAGGCTAGGCAACGCCTCTGCTCCACCCACGCCGGGCATTCTGCCAGCGTGTGGAGCGCCGTGTCCACGGTCCGGCCATCGCAGAGGTGGCACTCAGGCGTTAGCTCCTTGCGGATCAGACACAGGTGACCTCCGAAGCATCCTTTCCCGGTGATCACCTGCGTCAAATACGGAATTGTGTGAATTAATACAAAGTTGTTTCGTCTTGAAAAGTATGAAACGTTAAACGGTGCCTCTTAGATGGACTATGTTGGAATATGTCAAATTCCTGCATCTGATTTATATAACAATCTTAAAGTTGGAGAAAATTGTAATTTCGTGATTTTTTATTTTTCAACCTATTTGAGTAAAACTTTATTGTGTTTTCCTAAGTTTCTTTTTATACTTATTTTATATTTATATAGTACTCATACAAAAAGAGGTACATATAGATATAGAGGTATACAATTTTGAACTGACCTGTTAGAATACTCAGAATACGTCCCCAGTAAATTAGGCTTTACAAAGTTCACCATACAATAATACTCTCTCAGATTATTTTGCATCGGTGTGCCTGTCAAAATAATCCTTCTTTTTGTAACCACTCGGCTCATCGACACTGCTAGCACTGAGCAATCATTTTTAAGAAGATGTCCTTCATCGCATACAATTATGTCTGGACCTGGGTCGAGTAACGCCGTGCGAATTTTATTGATTATCGTGGGTCTGACGTCATCGAGTAGCGGGTCTAAAGTTGATAAACTTCGAAACAGTTCGTAACCGATGATGAAAATCCCTCCTCCGTTGTACCAGTCCTCTAATTGGTAGGCGCGTTCATAAGTCTTTTTTAGTTTTGACAGTTCGAATACCTATGAGGAACAAGCATATAGGAACATTTAGGTTTACACAAATACACATATTTATAACCAGTACTAATTAAGGCAAAAAAAAAAACAATTCGTAAGTATATTATCTGACGGTATTTATTACCGCAAATTTAAAATTAATTTAATTTTCAGGATACAATAAACGGATTTATTTGTAATTTACACATTAATATTTGTTAAAAAGTACAAAAAATGATAAATTTTATATTGGACTGTTAAATGCTGTTGATGATGAAACGATATATAAATTGTGTTTCACAGTTGGTATGTAATTGTTTATAGCCATTGGAAATCGCTCGCTCGGTAGCAGTAGTGATATATGCACAATTGCATACACTTAATTGTATTAAAATATCAGTTTAATTTAACAAACTCAAGGACAATACAAAAACAAAATGAAGGAATGTATTAAATTATTATACTATCATCACTTATGGATCCGAAACATGGCCGAGACGAGTACATGTATGCCATAAGGGTTTCAGTTAAACTTTTTTGTGTTTTCCTACAGGGTTGCTCACAGAGCCATGTTGGATATCCACCCCGTAAACCTTATACTAAACGTCGAAATTCGACGCCGCACTAAAGTCGAGGTTATGGGTACACGGATTACGAGGCTTAAGTGGAGATGGGCGGGGCACTGGGACGACGACCGATGGATTAAGCCATTTACCGAATGGTGGCCAAGAGATATGAGCGGCCTGGAGGAAGACCACCTGCGCGATGGTCGGACGACATTGTGAGGGCTGTAGGAGAGCAATGGATCAGGCTGGCACAAAACCGCCAGGAGTTGGGTGATAAAGAAGAGGCCTTTACCCAGCAGTGGGTGCAACAGGCTGCTTATATTCCAAAGAGTAGCCATTAGTTTTGTTTGCCCTTTCTTCTCATAAGGCTCAACCTCTTGGAAACGGGCGGTTGTAGATCGGCACAGGCATATCATAGATTTTGAATAAGATTTATTTTTATTAAATTTACTTGCTTACTATATGACAAAACAGAGATTGTTGCTATTGTGTGTGTTGATCTATGACTTTAGAGTTTTATGAATTAAAAATTTATGAAATAAAGAGAGTTTGAGTTTGACTTTGATAGATAGTTTAAATTGTATCTGAGGGCTTAGTGTAAGTTTATTTCACTTCTACTCGCTCTCGACAGGTCGATTGGTACATAAATCAGTTTGGACCAATCACAGCGTCGAACGCGTTCACCGTGACGATCGAGTAGATTTGAAATTAACTCTCACTTGGGCCTCTGGTCACAATTTATTTTTTCGGCATCTGTTAAGAGTGTATGTTTATGTATATACAGGGATACTGGGTAAGTCGACCTAAATTGTTTAAGGGGTTGTAGTTGCCATAATTTCTGATAGATTTCACTATGAAATACCATATTCCAACCATAACCATTTTCAAGATATTGATCTTTTGAGATTTTTTATATAATATTTCAAGTCCCGTGATCTGAGATGCACTCCAACAAATGAACTTTTTTCAATGAAGCTTTATTAATATTTTTTTGTGTTGGTTTGAAAACTATTTATTTGACAAAAAGAATATAATTTGACTTGCATACCAAGTACATGTTTTAGGATGAGGTTCCAAAAGAAAACTTTATTACCAGGACACCAGAATGGTCAAGAAGACAACCTGTATCATCTCATAGAAATGAGAGATCTGATGCAGTGAATGCAATGTCTTCTAGTTATAAGAATGTGAATAAAAATAAAGATGTTCAAAATATAATATAATATAATAATATAATAAGTATTTTTTATTTTCTCTCACACAGAATGACATATCTTGACATATTAAAGTAGATACACAGTTATAGGTGAGTTGAATCTGTGTGAGAGACTGGTATCTGCACTAGGTACACCTGTATTACAGATTACCAGCCTCTCCTGACACTAGATGCGTATGTGTTATCCTGTAGGTATAACTTGATTAGGTGAGAGCTAAAGCAAAGTGAAGTGAAGGAAAAATGTGTGTGTGTGTGTGATGCGTGTGAGTGTGGTGTGTGTGTGTGTGTGATGAGTGTGAGGAAGGTTGTGTGTGTGAATAGAGGTAATAACCCTACAACGATGAAGATAATGGTGATCGGATGTGCGTGATTGAACGTGATTTACAAAGGAAATACATGGCACTAATATGTGTAGATACGACTATACTTATACAGAACTAGATATATAGATCTTAACTGGTAAACTAATGATTCTCAAAGAAGAATTAGAAGCTAAACAAAAATTGAACCTATTGCAACTTCAAGCAGCAGAAAAAGATATTGTTATTAAGGATCTAGAAATAGAAATAAAAAAAAGCTGTACTTGACCAAGTCAGAGGTAATTTTATTCATTCATAATCATCTTCTATCTTATTAAAATTAATTCACACTTTCAAAGTAATTTGTAATTTGGCTCCGTTGATAGCCATATACTGGCCCACTTGTATTTAATGTTCCAAATTGGGTATTTCTCCATCATTTACTGGTTCAAGTTCTTGTCTTAAAATGCATATGTTGTGCAAAATGCAGCAGGCTAATATGACATTAATATCATTTTAAAATTTGAGCCTTAATCCCAAAGCCAGTACCAGGAACCTTCTTTTAAGAACACCATTCTGACGCTCCACTACATTTCTGGTCTTAATGTGGGCTGGCTGTATGTGGGCGTTGTTGACCTACTGTGGCTCACCTACCTAATAAGGAGTCAGCAAATGGCTCTGAAAAAAATATTAATACATACATTGTGACATTTATTGTAATGATAGTATTATTTGTTTTCAAGTGGTGGCTTAGCTCTTCAACATCTATTTTGGACTCAGACAAAGATTTAAAAAAAATTATAAACTATAAATTACTTTTGACTTATGTTTACCTTCAAAGAATATCCACTATCTCCTAATAAATATGAGCCTCGGTAGTCTCCTCTCTCAAATCTCTCATACCGTCTGCTGTTTTGATAAATAGTCGAGTCATGAGTAGAACTTGGCCACCGGGCAACAATATCTGTGATTAATAAGTTGGGAGAACAGATATTTTGCATATTAATAGACATGTAGCTCTTCCTATTTCGGAATAATTCAGCATCAGCTCCACCTCTAAGCGTAAAATTATTCAATTTAGAATGATTTAATTGCTCTAGACTTAAATATTATTTCAATACAATTTTAGACCCTGTGATTGTATGTTTATGTGTACTATCTATACAACCATTTACAGATAGATACAATACATTGGGAAAGTTCGCAATCTTAAAAATTCAGATTTTACTGTAACTTACTCTTGTTTTGTGTTCATACTATGAATTCCTTATATAAGGTTACACTAGTTTCAGAGATTTTCCTTATAATATGGCTGCAAGTACTAACACTGATGCCTCCCATATCAGATACTATTTGCAAATGACTACCCGTAGCATAGAACCTTAGGGCACACAGCAACTGTTTTAAAGGTAGCACTGATTTGTTCCTGTAAAATAAAATACCCTTGTTAAACAGTTTGACCCGGGTAGGCACCATCATCATTTCAAATAATATATACGTATCAATAAAGTCACAGTGCCAACACCAACTGTTGTGTTTCTTTGGGTGAAAACAATGTCCCGGAGCCCCTTAAGTATTCCCATCTCTCCCAAAACCGATAGGTACACTCTCTATGAACTACACACTTCAGAAAAGCCTTTGTCTGGCGGCCGGCGGTCTTAGTTACGTTCTACTCCTCTTCCCCCTCCTTCCTTCTTTTCTTATTCCTTTTTAGGCAAACCTGTGTCTGGACCTACCTTCTTAGTGAAACATAACCTAACTTCCGACCAAACTTAATATAAATACAGTCTTACAAAAAAGCGAAAATAATAATAGTATTACTTATCTTTCATCTGGATATTCCAATTTTGTTCAATTTTATTTAATAAAAAGATAACACTCCTTGGTTAACCTAAATCTTGTAACAAAATCTTTATCGTCATATTTTGTGAATAAATCCGGTCTGTCACGGTAAATTCTCGGTTTATTGAATAACCTAGAATTATTTATCATCTCTACAGTATTAACAGTATTGAAAAAATCCCATAAGCCGTCCATTTTAATAATTTTAAACAAAACGTGCGTCAAGTTTCGGGGGGGTTTTAAGTTTTGAGAGACACCTAAGCACTTAGGTGTCCCCTAAAGGTTGGTGAAAACGAAAATATCACTAAGGGTTACCTAACTTGCTTGGGTGGCCTTTAAAATTTATTTTAATTTATTTGTTGGTGAAAACATAAGTTTATGTTTAGTATTAAAAATGTAGTCATACCTGCAGTTTCCGTTTTAATTTCCGTTGCTTTGAAAAACAAATACAACATCAATTAATAATTTACGCTATACTAATAGTATAAGGTAATAATTATCATCAACAAATAAATAGTAGGTACATTTAAAACCCGAACAAATCAAGTGAATTTACCTTGATCTGGTTGGTGACAGGTCCGATCCACTTGTGGATCTCGTCGACCCAGTTGAGCACGGTCGACAGCGGGCAGCACACCAGCACGCGGTGCATGCCCACGCGCGGGTGCGTCAGCACCTACAAACGAGCAATGTTGCGTCAAATTGTTGCATTACCTGGTTATACTAGAACTTGTTCTGGAATAGTTCTGCAAATATAAAGACATGTTGGGACATGCCAGTCGACGTGGACCTTAATTCATTCAGGTAGTCTAAATTGTTGATGAGGAACAATAAAGTTACCACGTTTTTTATTATTTGAAGCCTTTATATTATACTAATTGCTAACCTTCTATAACACTAGTAACCAATTTTTTTTTGATCGATTATATTTTTGTTAGTACGGAGTTAATAAGCTAGATTAAAATTTAAATCGAATAGTGTCTCACTAGACCAATAGAGCTAAGGGTCTTACCGTGTGCAAGAGTGCTAACACCTGCAAAGTTTTGCCAAGCCCCATACAGTGTGCAAGGATGCATCCTCCACCGGCGTGCCCCGCTTTAATGTCCGCCAAACTCTCGAAGCACGCATCCCACATGAACTTTACACCTTCGTACTGTGTATTATATAAATATAATCATTTGTTAATAGTTTTCTTGACCGAATATTATAACACAACATTACATAATGATTCCTGACATCGTTCTGTGCAGTTGGTCGCTACTACGCCGCGCAGACTTGAGGGTTCAATTCCCGTCCTAGACCCAGAGTTGTGTACTCTGTATGAATAGGTCTGACATGCTCAGTCTGGTTTTCTTTTGAGCGTTTGTAATGCCTCCCTGTCCCCAAGCGGCGGCACAATAATCATTCAAAAAAACACAGTTAATTACTTTAAATATAATAAAAGAGTCAAATCAACTCTGTAAGTCAAGTAATAATTGTCATTCAGAAAACAAATGAGCTCACCTGATGTGCCTTCATGACTTTAGTGAAGAAGGGATGTATGGTAACGACCGGGCGATGTTCTTCGAAGTCGTACTCCAAACAAACCTCGTCGTTTATGACTAGAACATTCACCCCCTCCTCACAACCTAATAGTTCTCGCTGTAAGAAGACAATATGTAAGCGTCAAGAATACTAACAAATTAGCCATTCTTGTTTAGAACAGCGCCACCTATATTTATGGACTATAACTAAAAAAAGTTTAAGTTTATTCAAAGAGGTCTTACCTGTTGAAACATTTGACTATATTCACATTAAGACTCTAGGTATTCACTGGCGACCAACAAATTATAATTACGGGTTAAAATAAAGTGATTGAGGAAAATAATATTTATAGCAAAGTCGACTCTTACCAATTTCGTCTGCCTCGCATTCAGTCTTCTTTTTCTCTCAAATTCCTCCATGTTTGCTATTACTGTACTTCGTGTCAAAGATTTTTTGTCCAATACCTAAAACAGAAAAAGTGAGATATAGTGAGATTTCATAGTCTGAACCTTTTCTCACATTTATCTACCTAGTGTATAGAAGTGAATTATTATTGTTTTTAAACTGATTTGTACAGAGACTTTAGTTGGTGATTGATTGGAAGTATTCAAACATTTGGCCCATTTCTTATTACATCTGAAGAAAATAATAGAAATATTTAAATTTTGTAAATTTCGAATTACACAGCGAGAGTGTACACCAATCTACCAATGTGTCTACTCGCGATAGCAGCTGCAATGGGGTGAGGGCCCAAACAAATGAAACGTTACACGAGTGAAGCTATCACTCCGTTCCAGCCATTTGCTTCAATGGCCCAAGAATGAAGTGCTCGAAAGACAAAATCTCACCGGAAACTGTGGTATAGGGGCAATGCCTCGGAAGTTATGAGCCCACTCAACCAGAGTGATGCTTAAGTATGTAAGTATTCTATCAGTGAATCTAGTTTTCATAGTACAAGTACTGCTTAGTGGGAAAATAAAACTAAAACTCTTCCCTCTTTTCGTCGTAAAAAATTTAAAATTGTTTGAAATCGTCTTTTAAATAAATATAATAAAATTATATCTGTCGAAAAAATAATATATGCCTGTGCCGATCTACGACCACCCATTTCCAAATGGTTGAGCCTTGCAAGAAATGGCAAGAAAGCTCACAGCATGAGCAACTAGATGGCGTTGTGTTAGATGTCCGAAAATATTATTATTACAGAAAACCGATGTCAAGCAATCCTTTTTAAGTGTATGTGAGTGGGGTTACAGAGGCCAACCTTCCCCCCCCCCCTTCCTTATCTGGGGCGAGGGGGAGGGGTCTACAAAGCACATTTTTCGGTCTTTGGCACTTACTTTTCTGATATTACGGCGCCCTTTCCACGCAGCAACTGATCTTTTACTAACAGTGGGGTCAGTAGACGTCTCACCAAACAGTTCATGTTGTAATACCCTAAAACAACATACAAAAATATTACATACACTCACGTTTTATTAACCTCGAAGAAGTAGACAGAGATGTAATTTAACGCCCACATTTTGCCGACTGTAATTTTAGAGACACTTACGTGAGGGGGGCAAGCCTTTTGCTGTCAACCAGGCACATATCTAAACCAGTGATAAAAAGTTATAGAATGTAAAAGTTACCTAATACTTACTTTATTAACCCTTTTAAACGCCATTGTCACATTTTATTTTGTCATAAGTGACAATGGCATGCAAAAGGTTCTTTGTTATATTCGATACATATGTCAATTATAAATACCTTAGCTGTTTCTGTCTCTCGAGGAACTTCTTACCGGAACGACGCGCTCGGACGCCCCGTCTTTTTCGAGAGCTAGGATTAATCTCACGTCGTTCTATAAATTCGGTTACCAGCTTGGCACGTTTCGCGTCATCCGCACTGTGTACACAAATATTTGGATTATAAACATTTTTTTTTATTCTGTCGATTTTAACTTGGGTTATTTTATAAAGCGAAAAAAATTACTACACCTGGTAGTCTCCTTCTTCCCCATTTTTTTGAGTAGCTTCTCTTTAGTTGAGACCCACTGCTTCTCTTCCTCGGAAGAAGAATCTTCTTTTGTGTTTACTTTATTATTAGTTGGTGAAGCTTTTAATTGACTTTTCTAAAATAATACAATATTTTGTACAAAGATGATTTTATTAATTATAGTGTACGTTACAATAACTCTCGAGTTTATTTCGATTCTACTCGATCGTCACGATAACGGCGTTAGGCGCTGTGATTGGTAAAGAGCTCAGGGCGGGCCAAACTTCGTCACCATGACAATTGAGTTGATATGAATAAACTCGCACTAGGGTCTCAGAATAGAAATTGGATGGACTGAACTGTAAGGGTTTACAGTCAAGTCGAGAGAGATTATGATGTCTTACAGCTTGATATCTGACGGCCAACTAAACGGACGGACGGACTGCACGGATGGCGTAGTGGTTTAAGCGGTCACCACGCCGCTTTCTACTGCGCCGAGTGTTGTGGGTTCAAACCCCACATGGGACGACACTTTGTGTGAACCACAAATTGTTGTTCTGAGTCTGGGTGTTCTTTGTGTCCGTTTCATGTATGTTTGTAAAGTCCCCCGCGACACAGGATATATTCCTAATGCGGGAGTTGTCTTTTAAAAAATAGAAAATAGAACTAAAGTAAGGCGCGCTCATTCTTCAAATCAAATATTCCTTCCTATATCAAGACTTCCTGTTACACACTTTCGTCCCTTTTCACGAAACTACTCCCACTTGTAGAAAAGTGAGAGGAAAGATTTTACACAATTTTACAAAAATCAACGTTTAGCTGGGTGATAAGTCATGACAGTAATCGGAAAAATATAAAAGAAAATCTTGGTCACATGCTTTTGAAATTATAATCCTGAAAATTATATCTAAAAACTGACACATGGAATAAACTTCTAAGTCCTACTACTACACTACAAATATTAAATTGTGTTAGATCTTTTTTTAAATCCCTATTTTTTTTCATAACTGTCATAACTTCGCCTTGGTCGTTACCGACTTAAGGTTGATTTGTAGGACCTGTATATGTATGCACATTGCTACTTCATATTATTTAGAAGTAAGTAAATATGTATTCACAAATAATTTTATCCATGATGTACACGATAGTAGTCCCTGTGCTATTACCGCTTGCTCATTAAAAACATGTATGGACCTAATCGTTTTGAAAAAAACCCTACTGACAGATAACGTTGTAGTTTACGTCACAGCCGTATCTCAATTCTAAAACGAAAAAGTACTGTAACAACGATTACCTTACTATGCCTAGTGACAGGACCTGTACTAGGTATGATTTTGATTTTGTTGTCCATCACAACTGGGGCATGCAGTAAAGTTAATTCTTTATTCATCATCTTATCTGCTGTAAGCATCAAGTCTGTAGGCTCCTCCATAATATCGGCACATTTCTTTTTATATAATGGCTCAGGTTTTTTGCTTGCCACACTGTTTTCTTTAGGCTCTGTTTTCACTTCGACACTGTTTTCTTCCTCACTATCATTGTCGTTCATAAGCAAATTTTTAGCTAAAGTATTTTCTGTTTGCCTTAATACCTGTATTGGAAAATATGTACTTGCGTTTATAAAATTACAATTAATGACATGTTGAACGTAAAGTAAAATAATAAATTTATTGATTTTTATAAACAAAATACTGCTCTTTTTAATGCGCTTTTATTAACTTGATATGTGTATATGTACCGGAATCTTTGAACGTGATTTTGACCCACTTTAAAAGGTCGGATTGAATTCAAACTTCGCACTCTTATCAAGGATCGAAGACAATACAATAATTTGATAAATTAGTCAGATTATCCTGATCAGGATCTCCAGGATTACCGACTTTTTTTTCAGACTTAAAAATACGGTAGTCTTTTGCCACGTACTTAGGCGTGTGCTGAAGCATATGTGTGACTTACTTACTTGTTACTTTTTTAGTATTAATGAGAAAATAATCACCATAAATAACTAATAAGCAAAAATAAATCTTAGTTTAAAAAAATAGTCTTTTGTAATTATCCAAACTAAAAAGTAGAAACTCATTTTTGTAAAATCCAGTTTTAGCATCTAATATTTTTAATTATATCGTTTTTCTTGTGTTCTACCAAACCGGAAGTTAATGTTAAAAAATCAAAATTTTAGAAGTTCACAATTTTTTTTGAGAGCTCCTAGATTGGGTGATTGAAAAGTAACCAATACTTCTGTCGAAGTTTTATCTTTTAAAAACAATTAGTTTTCGACAGAGCTCCTAAAAATAGCTCATTGAAAAGGAACTAACTTTTTTGCGGAGAGCTTTTGTGTTTAGAAGCAATTAGTTTTCGACACAAAGTATGTCGTTGATGTTCTAGCTGGTAAGAATTCGATATGGTACCGATATAAGTGCCGAAGCAATTCTTTCTCTGCTGCCTGGAAAGCCAACATTAGTCATACGGCATTTTTTTAAGGCATTATAATAATAATATAAATACTGAAGTGATATGAGCTGATGTAGAAAAGATAAAGAGAGCATTGGCTTGTCTGCATAGGAAGAAGATACACCGGCAAGTTGCCAAAAGTTTAAAATAAGTCATGTGATCACAGTTTATGTTAATAGTAATAAACATTTGTTTGATATAAATAACAGCATCCTTTACAGACCCTGCATGAGGGCAGAACAATCAGCCGCACACCCTTTTGAAGTGCACGGTTGTTGCCAAGTATTGCACAAAACACTCATCGAGGACTGACCGATGATATTGGTGACATCAGATAATAATTATGATGATACTATAATAGTATCTATTGTTAGGAATTATAACTGGCAATATTAGCGACCCAACCATCGCGCACAGAGAAAAATAAGCCTAATATACAGGAAATTTAGAACCCCATTTTTTTCGTTGTCTGCTTCACGTGAACAATATTTTTATACGTAAGGGGCCTTTAGCTCATGCGTTGCTATCGTAAACTTTATATGTACTTACAGGAGGTGGGACTTCATTTTCAATACTTGGAAACTCATCATCAGATGGCATTAATTCATCGAAGTGTTCGGAGTCAACTACATTTATTGTTGGATTCTCATCTTCAGAAACCTGTGCTGGTTGGTCGTTTTTAGTCTCTCGTTTAGAACTATTTTGAGGTTTTCGATCTTTTCCATGCGTTAATCTATTCAATGAGTTCAAGTTCGTTAATCTGAAAACATAAACATAATATTGTTGCACGGATGGTGTAGTGGTTAAGCGGTCACCTCGTCTCTTTCTACTGCATTAAGTTTTGTAGGTTCGATCCCCACATGTGATAACACTTTGTGTGATCCACAAATTGTTGTTCTGAGTCTGGGTATTCTTTGTGTCTGGTTCATGTATGTTTGTAACACAGCGAAACAGGTTATATACATATATATATACAGAATGCGGGAGTTCTCTTCTTAAAAAAAATGGTTGCCTGTAAAGTCGGTATACGGGCGAAAGTTTTACGTGACAACGACTTTGAGTGGTAAAATAATTTTAATGTGAATATTCATTCGTATAGTAGGAAGAAGGATGAAATAATAGTAACAATTTAAAACATTTATTTATACAAAGAATTATATTTAAAAAACCGGTGTGTATGCCTATCTCTCTCACTCTCTCTCTCTCGCTCTGTCTCTCTCGCTCTTAGGCGGGCTAACTGTGCTCGAGTGGAAGGGACGCGTGCCTTTCACTTTTTATGTCTGTCTCTCTCGCTCTTAGGCGGGCTAACCATGCCCGAGTGGAAGGGACGCGTGCCTCTCACTCGCTCTCATTGTGAGCGCATAACGTGAGCGGAGCGTAACGCAGTTTCTTGAAGTGTCACCCGGCAAACCAATTTATAAGACGTTGTCACGTCAAAAAAAAAAAGTAATAAAAGTACCCTGTAGATGACTATAAAAAATGGGTAACGTTTAGATAGAAATTGATAAGTATTTAGTAGCTATTATAGTAAAAGCTCTGCTTAGTTTGAAACAAGATGGCGTTGTGTGATAGATGTCCGAAACTCTTACTTATTTTGATTCAAATTCATAATTTTCTGATGACCAAAGCGTGAGTTGTATTTATATTACCACAATTAAGATAATTGTACTTTATTAATAATGTACTTCGAAAAGTTTAAAAATAGGATTATTTTATTGATAGTAAAGCACCACTCACCTATTAATTTCTTCATCAGATTTGTCTTTCGTGCCAATATTTTGATATTCAAAATATGTTTGAACAAAAGTTTCAGGCAGTTTCTCCAAAATTATACAAGCGTCATGGTAAAGTTTCGAATCTTTTGAGTCAAGTGGGTAGCAATGCCAGCCGTGACGTTCTATGAATGGTTGCATTGTTGAAGCCAGGGGTACTTTAGTAGTAGTTACTACTGAAGGAATGTTGCCTTCAATAATTTTGGTTTTCGTTTTTTTTTCTTTTTTAACTTTTGCTCTGCTTTCGTCGAATATAGGCAATGTTGGCTCACATTCTAAGAGTTCGACTGGCTCATTGGTGTTAATTACCGATGTTTCGGTGCTTTTATTGTTTTCTATATTTTTAGCTGCCGGACTACTTTCTAAAACTTCGATGCCTTTTTCTATTTCATCCTCTTTGCTCGGAATTACTTTGTTGTATACAAATTTCATATACTTTTCATAATTAGACATTTCATTTGTTTCAATAGATGTGAAACCCGTAAATGTACCCAGACTTTCATCAATTTGGTCCGTTGAATCCACGTTATTGCACTGAATTTCGTTGTTTTTCCCTTTACTATTATTAGCATTAGTATTAGCCTTAGCTTTATCTTTGGTTTGGTCACTACTATCTCTTTTCTCTTTACTTCTTAAACGGACAGTTATATTCTCATTCTCAGAATCTGATGATTCATTTTGTTTATCTTCTTGTCTTATTTTTTCTTTCATTCTTCTTGTTAATATAGCCACTTCACTATTTTGACCTTTCTGTTTTTCTTTAGGAGTAGAAACAGGGCTAGAAGTGGGGACGTGAACAGGAGTAGGATCAGGAGCAATAGTAGGATCAGGGGTAATTGTGAGGGAAGGTGCAGGGATGGTCGTATTCTTATCTTTATTATTTAGTTTCTGTTCGGATTTCCTTGGTTTTTTTCTAGGCCGTTTGCCAACTACTTTCTTAGAATTACTTTTTATGTTTTTGCTACTTTCATCAGAACTACTCTCCATAAGACTTCCTTTAGCTGTTTGTGTACTCATGGGTTCATAAGTATGTGGAACAAGTAAATCAAGCATATCAGCATCATTTTCCTCATAATAATCTGGTTCATGCTGCCTTCTAACTCTAGCTGAGCTTTGACTGTAAATTTCTTCAGTATTGTTTTTTGACAATGCTTGCATAAGCTTACTAGAAGTAACAAATTGTTCAAATGCATCCACATCATAACTACTGCTGTTCTGTCTGTGTATAGGGCCTACACGTGTAAGTTCTTCGATTTCACTCTTAACATCCGGTATTATAGTCATTTCATCAGGACCTGGCACAGGTTCACTTTTTACAGGTATTGAGTCTAGTAAATTGTCGCTTATTTCATCTAGAGGTTCTAACTTGATTTGTGTTATAATCGGTTCCAATTTCTGTTGTTCAGCTACATCTGTATTACTAACTTGAGCACATGACCTGAGCTCTTGCATTTGCACTTTTGTTACCCAGGATGGTTCAGTGTGATCTTCTTCACCATCAGTTAAGTCTGGTTCAGTGTGATCTTCTTCACCATCAGTTAAGTCTGGTTCAGTGTGATCTTCTTCACCATCAGTTAAGTCTGGTTCAAAGTTATCTTCATTGTCAAAGTGGTTGTCTAGATACTCTATACTGTTTGGAATATCTACATTGCAATGTTCCAAATTTAAGAATGCTTCTTCTGACAATGTATTTACACAATTTATCATCAAACCTTCAATTGAAGGTTGTTCATTATGTTCATGAGTTTTAAGAAAGTCAGTTGTATAAAGTAAATATTTTATATTTTTAAATGCTATATCTTTTAAAGACTTTGGAGTTAAAATGCACCTATCATTTTCCACAGTGCACCACATTTTTTGAATATATGCCACACATAAGGAGAAAAGAGTTTTGATTTCATTTTTTGCACCATCAGTTTGCAATACTATTTCTTTAGAATTTGTAGACAATGATTTCTTTGACTCCACCCAATTACATGGTATGTCAAAGTTATTTTTGTACTGACCGTTTAAAATATTACTAGTTGAATTTCCTAGGAGTACCACTATTTTTCTGTGACACAATGATTTAAGAGGTAGTACTGTATAGAAATCCTCCTTTCCTATATCACATGCTATGATAGTTTTTGTGGCAGTTAACTGTACTATTTTTCTATGACACAGTGACTTAAGAGGTAGTGCTGTGTTTAAGCACATTTTTGTTTTGTGACATGTTGATTCAAGAGGTGGGGTTGTATTTACAGTGGTATTGGTGAAAGAGTCAACTATAGAATTTGTTGAATATATTGATGTCTCACTAGTTTTCTTGCTTTTGATTGCAGTCTCATTTATTGTTTTTAAACACAGCCGAAATAAACTTACTGGTGCTTTTTTGTCATCTGTAAGTTTACATCTTATTTCATGAGTAACTTCTTTGAAATGGTTAAAACCATTACAACACAGTAGATTTTTTACTTTAAGAAAACATAATGTAAAAAGAGTGTCTGGAGAAGAGACTACTCTCATTTTAGCACTTAAATTAGAACTTGGTTCAGATATTGTGGTAGTACTTTCATCAGTGTTTATATTAAATCCATCATTAGAACAATTATCATCAGTATTGTATTGTGGTGGCTTAACTACAAAATAATTGCACACACACTCTTCATAAACATTAAGCCAGTCCCTGGTTACAAAAGGAGCACATGCTGATAATGCTCTTTCACGATAATAATTCTTAAAAAAGTCACTTACCATTTCTGTGGTGAAATAATTATCGGGGGGTTTTTTATTTCGGCTGTCCTGGGCTAAAAAAGACTGAGTAGGCTTGACTTTTTTTACCATCACTGTGTCATTAATCCAAACAGTGTGACGTCCCTTGATGTCCAGTTTCTTGTTCTCATTTGGTTTTTTAGCAATTTTGATTGATAACTCTTTGTTAAGAAATACAGTTTTTGGATTAAAGGCAGGTTTGCCTGAATCTTTCCGTATTGCTTTAGTTTGAGGGAATGGTTTAACATCTACAATTTCACAATCACTGTCACTGTTCGCTTCTTTAGTAGTAGCTATTATGTTCTTTTGTTCTTCTCTACATCTAGTTAAATTATTAGCTTCCAAGAATTGATCATATTGTCGGGACAAGTCTTCCTCCATTTGTAGTAGATTGTGTTTAGCTAACTTAAATAATAAAAATGATTTCTTTACACAATAATCCATCTTAACTGTATCAGTGACATGGCTGGTATTTATTTTCTTTTTTATAAAATCTTCTGATTTTTGTGTCATTAGCAATCCTAGCTCAGCAGTTGTTTTAACAATACTGTTGAGAAAATAGCATGCTTTTTCAGATTGCTCCGATGTCAAAGGAATATTTTCTTTTATGGGGATATCATATGATGTATCCGTTTGCACAGCTATTGATAAGGTGGGTATATTAGTGGTTTGTGTACACATTTCAATAGTTTTTTTAGCTTCTGGATTAAGTATTGGTATATCTATTTTGTTACTTTCAGTTGGTACATTTGACGAAACCTTTTTTATTTTTAAATTAGTACCCTGTATTTTTTTAGCAAGAAAGTTTTCAAACTCTGTTGTATTACCCCATAGCTGTGAGGGTTGTGAGTGCTGAGATTCACTATCACTTGTTTTGATAACAGTGGGATCCATACATATTTCAACATCACCAGTTTGGTGATTTTTTGGACTTTGTTCATTGGTTGTTGCTTCAGTTTTTTGTTCATCTTTCTTTCCTCTCTTTCGTGGTGACTGATTATCCGATCTTTTACGTAACTTTTTCCTCTTTTGCTTTTTGTTATCATCTGATATATCATTAATCTCATTACAAGATAATTCTGTGTCTGTTGATGTCTGAACAGCATCATTGCCTCTTTTACCAGGAATATATTCATCATCAGAATAATATTTATTATTTCTCCTACCTCTTCTTGGTTCATCATCATCTGATAACTCAATATTAGCAAAAGGATCCTCATCAGATTCTTCTTCATACTTGTATTTCTTTATTTTTCGACGAACAGGTCTTTTAGATGTATCTTCAATTAGTAAAGAATCGTCTGTAGCGCCACCTGTGTTCTCATTGCTTAAAACAGTATCTATATTGTATTCAAAATCTGCCATGACAGGCATTTTAGTATTTCGCTTAATTGGAGTTTCATTACATTCAGTATTGCTTTGACCAAGGTCTGATACTTGACTTTCAGTAGTAGGTACATTTAAAACAACATTTTCAATAACATGTACTTTTTGAGTTTCAACTTTAGGGTCCATAGATAATTGGGTTTCCTCATAGGTAATTTCAGGTATAGATTCTCTAACAGTGGAATCACTTTTTATTGCTTTGAATTTACTTAAGCATGTATCATCTGCCTCATCACTTTTCATATTAGAACTTTCATTTAAAGGCACATAGTCAGCAACAGGTTGTGATCTTTCAATAAGTTGAGATAGTGAATCTGTAGTCTGATTTTTTTTTGGTCTCCCCCTTTTCTTTTTAGGTTTAGTAAGCTGTCCTATATTTTCTGAATTGTTATCCTCATAAGCATCTTTCTTAGATTCAATACCAGTATTCTCTTCATTTAATTTACAAACATTTCCTTGGTCAGGGGCTCTTTTCAGTTTACTAAGACATATGTCATCTAAGTCATCATTATCAGAGATGTTATCACTTAATATTTTGCTAGAGTCTGGATTAACATCATTATCATTTATTTCAGTTTTTTCTTGGTTTGATACTACAGATTTCCGTTTACGTTTTTGTGATGTTTCAGTAACAACATTTAAATTTTCAGAAGCATCCTCTATGAGTCTTGAATTTTCTACGGTTTCGATGTTGGAACTCAGAGGATTGCCTTGAGAGACATTATTAACAACCATAGGTAATGTATTCATACTTTTTATCGGTCTACTGCGTTTGCGCCTAACTGATCTTTTAATAATTAAATCATCACATTTATTATTCTCAGCACTGCTTAATTCACTTGTTTGGTCTTTATCACTAACATTGAGTATCATTTCACTATGGTCATTGGGTTGTATCTTCCTGGGTCGACCTCGCTTCTTTCTGACAACATTTACTGTTTCTGGGGTTTCAGGATCAGAACTAAAGGGTGTTGATGTAATATCAGGATTTTCTACATTTTTTGAGACAGTTGTGGAGGATTCTTCTGATTGAATTAAAGGTTTTTTCGGCTTCCTTCCTCTTTTCCGGGGAACTACAGCATTATTTTTTGTGGGAGATTCTCGAATTGCGTTGCCCTGATTAATAACATTTTCACTGTTACTCACAACCATGTCGGAGTCATTTTCGTAGTTATATTCCTCACTGTTGTATTGGCGCTTGTCAGTTGAAACAATTAAGCTTGATCCTTGCTCTAAGTCAGCACATGGACTATTCAGTGATTTCTTCGTAAAATCCTCTACTTTCATACTGTTTCCAGATATACTCATCCCTTTACATGAACTCACAGCAACATCGTTGATGTCAGGAGGTGATTTTTGTTTTTCTAGTTCGGACGGTTCCGGATTTGGCAGGTCTTTCTGAGGCAGCATTATGCATTCTTCTTCTTGATACATAGAAACTGCTTGAAACTTTTCAAATGTATCCTCGAGTATACAGAGGTTGTTCGTCTCCATATCAAGCTGCTCAGACATGTTTCCGAGAAACCGTTGCTCAAACAATTACATATTTAAGTAGTTTAACACGCAAGGCACAAACTGAGGACATAACAGGCATGTAAGTATTATTTTATTTGCATTAATCAAGCAAATTGAATGAAGCAAAACCAAGATTCCTTGTTGTTAGCATCGAACCATAGATAAAACATTATCATCGAACAATCGAATTGCCAATTACGAAAAAGAAAATAATGTTTTTGACGAAAAGTCAAAACTGATTTAATTCACTCCTAGTTCAATCTTTGAATTCCACCAGCGACAATCAGCATACGACTTATTTAATTTTACCAACATACTTACCGGGAGAGTTCTAAGCCTCTTCAGATCCCACTTCACCCTCTTTTCGATCTTAACTGCACAGATGGCGTAGTGGTTTAAGCGGTCACCTCGCCGCTTCCTATTGCGCTGTGTGTTGTGGGTTAGATCCCCACATGGGACAACACTTGTGTAATCCAGAAGGAGGTGGCGGAGTTTGAGCATACGCTTTAGCTACCGCAATTAGGGCAGCCAGGCGTTGGTTCCTTGCGAATCCAACACAGGTGATCTCCTGCGTCAGCCAATATAAGAGGATCCCGTGATTCCTCTCGAGTCAATCCTACATAACGGGTATTACCCCCGGTATAATAGCATGCCCGGCGCTTGGTTGCCCAAGTCTTTCCCAAAAGGGCCCGGGCCCAGTAGGGATTTCTGGTCTTCGTCCTAGGTTCCCGAAGCAGAATGAGCCCCAGATATCTCATCAATTGCTCAATGTCGGTGTGAGTGCCTCCTACTATGGGACTGAATCTCTCAGGTGACACCCTTCGAAGCTCATGGAAGAGCATGGCACCAAATTTGTGCAGAGACACCTTGGGATCTAACCGCTGAATCCGAAGCCCTGACCACTCAATAATGACTGCCTGGAGCGCCTCCACAGGCGGCACCAAAGTCAATACGTGGAGCCTCTCGTAATAAAGTTCGGTCACAAAGTCACAACTTACAATTTAGTTCGGAACAACTCTCTATCTCGCAACTGTTAAAAAGGTATTTTCATAGGCTTGACGATTCTGATATCAAAAAGAATTTTATTAAGTGGTCATAAGATAGTAGATTATGCAAAAAATCTAAGAAGATATTATTCTTTTCTCTTAATTAAATTATAATATGCATACTTCTATATATTTTGTGCATTTATGCAGCAGAAAACGGCTGAATCAAAAGAGCTGTTTTATGCAAGTGCTGCATAAAACAGCTCAAAAAAAAGCCAACTGTACAAAAACTTTAATTTTTAAATTACATTTTGTAAAAATGATTTTTTGTCGAAAGTAAAAGGGAAAAATCATGTTTTTATTAATGATAAATTTTCAAAAACAGTTTGAAAAACAAAAGTAGTTTGGGCAAAAACAGATAGAAAGAAAATAAAGCACCTTTTCTTACGTATATTGTATGGCATTGCGGCATTTGTTAAGTAAGTATGTATTTTAACCAGGGGGCTTTTTTTTATTTAAGACTTTTTATGTAAGAGGCAAACGAGGTCACCTGATAGAAAGTGACTACCACCGTTAATATACACTCGAATTAAATGCTAGGTGCCTGAGGTATTTTACTATATACATTGAAAACATAGTTATGGTTCGAGTCCTTAGTGGCTTTTCTAAATTTTTTAATTAACACAAAATTGTTGAAGAAAAAAATTCTGTAGGTTTTTAAAAAACTATTTTCCAAAACCACGTTTCGTTACTACACGAAAAATTACTTAAAAAATGACAATTGTTGTGTAGTGTCGAATCGTGTTGACGTTTATGGGAAGCTTACTATTATTTAATTAAAATCAATTCCTATTATAGAAAAGAAAATATCGAAGATATAAACGGATGAGCAAATATTCTGTAGAGTGATATAACATCAGTGGCAAATGACTTGCGATCAATATGTACTTTCCAATAGGATGGCCCAAAGTTCTGAAAAATCTGGGCGCAGATAATCAAATTATAAAACAAATTGTGTCAAATAGAGACAAAATATTGTTTGCTTCATTGAGTGATGATTGTCTCATAGTATGGTTTTGTAAGGTAAGTTATTTTTGGTAATATTATTTTGTTGATGTTAAGTAATAAAATCTATAGAATAAATATCCCAGCTTCAGTTACAACAAATGTGAAATGTATCTATTTGTAATTCTATTCGGTGTTTTAATGTTTTCAGTCTCACAGTGGTTGCTTAAAAGCCCAATAGAAAGCTAGGCTTATTATTTATTATTACTGTAATTACTTAAATAAAATGAAGACATTTGAATTTATTGTAAATTCTTTTTATAATATTCATGTCAAACCTATTTCTCATAGCCTACTGTCCCGATTGTGTATCATAAGAGGAGTGCAGAATCTCTCCAGAGACTTGGTGTCAATGTTGGTGTAGAATGGAAGCCAGACTCGTCCATGATATGCATTTCAGTAAGTATATCCATATCTTTTCTATACTTGTAACTACTAATACCTTTTAAGTGTCCTGATTGTCCAGTGGTTAGCGACCCTGTCTGCTAAGACAGAGGTTGTGGATGGATTCAGAGAGACAAAATTGTGTGATAAACATGGTCATTTGTTCTATGTCTGAGTGTAATTAGCCTATAATATGCACTTAATAAGAGATATTTAAGTATGTTTTTCAGTAGTCTGTTCAGTATAGAAAGGCTCTACCTAGTATAGGATCGGACTGCCATGTGTGAGATGTGTGAAGTTATTATTATTATTATTCTACTAGACACACAATCAACTAACCAGTCAAACAGTCATCCACATTCCACAGCCTTTCTCCCAATGTATGTCATAGCACCAGGTTTACTGCCTTCTGCCTCAAAGGCACACAATAATTTAAGTTGTAATATTGACTGCACACCTGTATGTAGTTACACATTTAAAATAATGTTTTACCGCTGTTATCATTGACTAGTCGACCAAAGCAACTTCATCTGTGACTCTAAAATAATACATTTTTCCTGCTTTTGCAACACTTTTTTATTGATTCTTATCACATTCGTTGTAGCGTAATGTCGTATAGCCTTCCTCGATAAATGAGCCTTCAAACACTGAAAGAATTTTTAAATTCAAACCAGTAGTTCCTGAGATTAGTGCATTCAACCAAACAAACAAACTGTTCAGCTTTACAATATTAGTATAGATGTGTAGGTAGGTACATAATAAATACTTGTTGCTTATTATTAACATCAAAGAAAAAGTTTACATAATACATAAAACCTTTGTTAGTACATGGATCATTCTTTAGTAAACACATAATAAATTACATATATTAAAATAAATTTTATGTTAATGTAAATCAGTTTGCACTCTAAAATGACAGAAACACTTTAATGACTAGGCTCTCTAAAATAATATATTATCTAAGACCAGCAGTTATATATATATATAATTATCTAACTATTAGATACAGCAAAAGCAGACACAGTATTACTAACTGTAAATACAGAAACAAAAGACAAAAAACGGTTTTTTGTGAGGAGGTCTATAGTACCATAGCCATTCTTAGCTTATCATCTATTCTGAGATTTTATAAAAAAAAATACCTTATAGAAACCTATATCCTTAACCTGTAAACAAAAAAAAATTGTAGAAAATTGATAATTTCATTCAATTATTATACTTAAAGCTCTAAAAATTCTTTAATGTTTCTTGAATTCAAATAATTCATCCATAGAATAATTCTGATTTATACGTACGTGTAACCTAGCGTACCACACCAGATTCGTACGGGTGTAATTAATTATACTATTATTATGATAAGACTTATACTACAGGAATTCTTTCAATGCAATATTTATAGGCCCGCTCCGATCCTGCGGCCATTGCCATCTTAGACAGACGTACTGTACGGACGTACGTACTCGACGGTCGTTAAGCCCCCGCATTTTAAATCTCTAATATCTTCTAAAATATTCATTTAAATGTTTAATTGAATTAGGAATGATAATGTATTGTTTAAAATAGCCTCTTAAATAACCCATTTTTATACTTAAAAAATAAAAAGCGTTACTGTGGGTTATCTCCTAAGGATAACCGGACATACATACACATCACGACAGGACAGACATATCGGGACTTTTTAGTAGATCTTTTTAAGATACACAATTCCGTAGTACATTATTTTGGTCTTGTTTGCGATGTAATCTTAGAAATTCTCGGATTTTTTCTACTATAATATGCATGTATTTATGTATATAATATTGTAAAAGAATAAAGAATAAATAAATATTATATATGTCGCCTTAACGGGCCTGTTGTTCTAGTGGTTAGTGACCCTGACTGCTAAGCCAGAGGTTGTGGGTTCGATTCCCGCTCAGGACAAATAATTGTGTGATGAGTATGATAATTTTTTCTGTGTCGAACAATAATGTGTTAATAAATATGTAGAAATATTTAAGTATGTCTGTGAGCGGTCTGGTTTTCATAGCCCAGGCTCTGCCTAGTTTGGAATCAGATGGCCTTGTGTGAGATGTGTGCAGATATTATTATTCTTACATAAACCTTCCTCTTGAAGCACTTTCTCTATTCGTGCAAAACCGCATTAAAAGCCGTAGCTTAGTTTAAAAGATTTAAACATACAACACAAAAAAGGACTCTTATTTAGCCTGATGTAAAATCCATCATCAACTAGGGGAGTTCCATAACTACTATGTGGGCTGGTGCTGACAGGGATCCGATCTGATTCTTTGACATCAGATACGCTTTTTTTTTTCATTTTGTTTATTGGGAACTCAAACTCAAAATATCTTTATTTCATTTTTTTTATTGTTTGAAATCGTCTTTTATGTAGACTCTAAAGTTATAGAGCAACACACAATAGCGACAGTCTCTGTTTTGTCAAATATTTCGCAAAATAAATATAACAAAAATTATACCTACCGAAAATCTATTATATGCCTGTGCCGATCTACAACCGCCTGTTTTTTAACATTTACCATTTACCAGTACCCGACCGGACATTTATTGAATGGTACACGGCTACACGTTAGGTAATAGCTAATTTTAAATAAGGGCAAATAATCTATTGAGTGAACGTGCAACCCACACCAATGTCACCCAACACCAATGTAAATTCGGTTAATTTATAATGATTGTTACTTAAAAGGTTTGAGTTACTGTAATTTTTAATTTTGATTGCGACTGCGAAAATGTCAACATTGGCAATTTTTTGTATTGTGTGTTGTACATTTCCAATGTGACAGAGAGTAGCCCGTACCGGTGTACGGGCTACTCTCTGTCACATTGGAATCGTCACGTTGTCACGGCGAATGTCACGGCGAAATCGGAAATCGGCGCGAGGTGCGCGTATTTCGGCTTTTCCACACTGGTAAATGCAGAACCAATACCGGTGTATTGGTTCTGCATTTACCAGTGTGGAAAAGCCGAAATACGCGCACCTCGCGCCGCAATACAGTTCTAGGTACCAGGTAACACTACTGATTAGTAATGCCGCTATAACCAAACTTATTATTACTGGTCATCACATATATTTGGCTGCACGGATAGCGCAGTGGTTTAAACGGTCACCTTGCCGCTTCCTACTGAGCTGAGTGTTGTGGGTTCGGTCCCCACATGTTAAAACACTTTGTGTGATCCACGTATTGTTGATCTGAGTCTGGGTGTTGTTTGTGTCCGATTCATGTATGTTTGTAAAGTCCCCCGCGATACATATATGTATACGATATATGTTACTAGTGCGCGAGTTGTCTTTTATAAAAAAAAAATGCCATATAACGTCATTCATATGAGAAGTTTGCGTCTAGACTCTAATAGAAAAATTTAAATTGTTAAATTCTACAAGAAGATCTGGATAGGGTAACTTTAGAGAGGTGAAATTTGTAGTTTAATGTTCTTAAAAACTTCTTTTGAACTATCTCAAGTTGGGTTACACACTTGTCATAAATACGTACCTGTAATCACAAACGATCTGAAATTCGAAGGGATGGATTATATTGGTATCAATCAGTTACCATTAGATGATTGATTACGCTTCAACGTATTGGTACGTATTTATGACAAGTGTGTAACCCAACTTGAGATAGTTCAAAAGAAGTTACGTTGAAGCGTAATCAATCATCTAATGGTAACTGATTGATACCAATATAATCCATCCCTTCGAATTTTAGATCGTTTGTGATTACAACAACTAAGCCCTTATATAGAAACTTGTGAGACCTCTTAGAATAGTCATAAAGTTCAATTATAGATGATATTATAGATCCTTACCTTTCTTTATAAACTACTTAATGCCAAATTCAAAATATTATGGCATTTAATACAGACTTGCGAAAGTTCTTATACCTCTTTACGCCCTGTTGCAAGATTTTAATTGAAGTTCTTTAAACAGTGTTGTACATTCATTATAAGTGAATATTATCTTTTATTAAAGTTATTTATTATTTCAGACATCGGAAGGACATCTAATACTGTATAATGTGGAGGTACACAGTGAACACACAGCATACCAGCAATATGATCCACCCACTGCTAGTTTACGACGAGACTCTGCCGAACTGTTTGTTAAAGAAGTTATACCATCATTAAAGATAACACAGGTAATTAATGTTTTAGTCAGTTAAGACAAAAAAAAGAACTTAACTTTAATTCAGTTATTTCACTATTCAGACGACCGGGTGTGAGATGTGTAAGGTTATTGTTACTAGTATACCTAATCGTAGTCAATATCGTTATTTAACTTGATAACTATGTTTTAATGATGTACTCGTATGATATCAAGACATTTTTAGAATTCTAGAAGACGACTGATTCTAGAGTTTTCTTGTGTTGGAAGGATTTAAATAACAAAGTAAAAATGTATAGTCATTTATCAGTCCTTTTCTGTTTCAATTCAAATAGTTGAGTTCTGTTTCAACTGTAAATTATGGACTTTAACATTTTTTTAATATAAAATATTATAAAATGGTTAAAGAAACGGGGTTTTATCTACAACATGTTTCTTTGTAAGTTGGTGCCGTACGTACTGTAATGTTTAAGAAACATTTGTACAACGGGCCACGCGCAATGTAGCGTTCCGTAGCTTATTACTTTCTAGTATTTCTCTATGAATATTTTGTATCTTGTAAGAATATTTACAGTATATAAGTTGATCGACTATTACTTTTATAGTATACTTGCAAGACCAACTTAGCCGTATTTTTATCTGAGGAATTCATTATAAATGTACTACAACTATGATGAATTTTCTTTCATTTTACTAGATTTTTTTAAATAATTTGGCTTGTAGGCTGCTTTTTGCATTACCCTCAATGTTGTGATAGAAAAGAAAAAGAAATTCCATAATTATGTAAAGTACGTGTCAGGGTTCCGAAAACCTTATAAGAAGCCCTTATTGTCCGTCTGTCTGTTCGTTTTTGTCTTAATAGGATACATTAAGATTTTAATTTACCACTATCAGCATCATTAATATACCTAACTACCAGCCTCTCAGTTAAGCCTCGTACGGACGAACAGGCAGACAGACGGACAATAAGGGCTTCTTATTAGGATTTCGGTACTCTAAAACATGCTGTAGTTTTATTTTCATTCTATTTAATCAGTGATTGAAACAAATTATTCGTAATATACCTTATTTTCTTATGTTAATGTATTCAACATCTATTACATTTGAATATCAAAGTACTTCAAGTGAACAAGATTCATTATTTTTACATAGTCTATATGTTATTCTCATTAACTACTGTATACATATTTTGATAATAGTTTAGTTGTAATTTGAACGCATTCTTCATCTGAGGAATGGTAGCATCTCCTTTCCTTTTCTGTGTTTCTGTAAGCTCATTGAATGTTAATATAATAAGAAAATTAATTAATAATAATGTTTAATTTAATAAAATTATAAATTAATTAAATATAGCAGTGACCGCAAATGGTAGCGTAAGCTTTGATGATAGGTCGTACGACCGTATTTTGTTGATAATAACTGGTATTGAATAAGAGTAGTTAAGGCGCGTTATATCATTCGCGCTTACTAAGGTCTAGTGATGTGCCGGATATCCGTATCCGTATTCGTATCCGTATCCGCGGATATCCAAGGGAGAAGAGAGATCCGTAACCGTATCCGTATCCGTGACTTTTTTGGCGGATCTTTCAATACATATTACATAGATGAAATTCTATATAGGTGATTTTGTATTCACTGTACTATGTGTTTGTAACACTATAAATAGCAACTTTTTTCTGACAAACGTCAAAATAAAAAAAAATTGGTCCTCCATTCAAATGACCAATCAAATGTTGTTAGTTTGTATGGAGAAACTTTGTTGTTTATAATGTTACTAATATGCACTTCAGAGGTTTTCAGTAACTTTAAAATAACCCTGAATAATGGTTATTAGGTAGCTATGAAAAGCTATTGAATTCTGTTCAGATTACTTTTTATTTCTTAAAACAAATATTTGGCACCTTTGTATTGTAATCATTCATCGTACTACACTAAATCAACTAGGCAGGTCGTAGGTACTGAAAGAGCTATCTTTATAATGAGATCAATCAAACATCTTTGTATTAGCTTATTGAAATAATGAAATATTTAAATATCAACGGCAAAGCGTCAAGTGGCGACAACTATCAAGGTCACGGGCTCCGATTGAGTAAGAAACTCCGTATCCGTATCCGTATCCGCGGATCTTGACACCAAATATCCGTATTCGGATCCGTATCCGCGGATATACTTTGTTAACGATCCGGCACATCACTACTCAGGTCGCCCGAAAGACGTCGGCACATAGATTTTTCGATAAATCGGATGCTATAGTAAAATTAGCGCTAACGAATACAAAAAGTTAAAGTAAATTTATCAAGATTCAACTTAATATTAGTAGTAGTAGTCAATAGAGTTTAAATCTGATATAAACGAACACAAGTACGAGGCTAACACTCGCCCTCGCACGGCGGCCTCGAGAAAGTTTTTGCTTCGTCTAAACGAACCCTTACTGATTTTATTCAACACTAATAGGAATTAAATATTAGGACGTTTAGTAGTGAACGTCTTTCGGCTAAGATTATGATCATGATGAGGAATAGGAAGAGGAAATTTAAATAATAAAATAACTATTTCCATTACGAGCACTTATATTAGTACTTTTTCTGTTTAATAATATCTGAACATAATATAACAGTACAATAACGAAGTGCACAATATACATTCCTTTCGGTAAATGTGTTCTCTTTACGTTATACGAGGGCGGGTTAATAAGTCCGTGACTTTTGGAATAAAACACAGATTTTTTGATAAATAAATCATTTTATTTTTCAACGTAGTCTCCCTTGAGCTCTATACACTTTGTCCAACGCTTCTCCAATTTTTTTATCCCTTCCAAAAAATATGATTTGTCGAGGTCCTCAAAATAGGCCTTTGTTTTGCGAGATGACTTCATCATTGGAGTCAAATCTTTTTCCACCAAGCCATTTCTTCAGGTTTGGGAACAAGAAGTAGTCACTCGGAGCCAAATCTGGAGAATAGGGCGGATGAGGGAGCAATTCATAGCCCAATTCATGGATTTTTGCCATGGCAACTGCACATGTGTGCACACTTGCATTGTCTTGGTGGAAAAGAACTTTTTTCTTGGCCAAATGAGGTCGTTTTTTTTTTCAAATCGTCATTGAATCGGTCCAATAAGTTGGCATAATATTCCCCATTGATTGTTCTTCCCTTTTGAAGGTAGTCAATGTGGATTATCCCGCGTGCATCCCAAAAGACAGTCGCCATAACTTTATTGGCTGACAAACCCACCTTGGCCTTCTTTGGCGCCGATTCACCCTTAGAAACCCACTGTTTTGACTGTTGTTTGTTCTCTGGTGTGTTGTGATGGATCCATGTTTCGTCCACGGTTACAAAACGGCGCAAAAACTCCTCCATATTGCGATTAAACAACGCCAAACCTTCCTGTGAAGTTGTTACACGATTGCGTTTGTGGTCGACTGTGAGCAATCGCGGCACCCATCTTGCGGAAAGCTTTCTCATGCCCAAGTGATCATTCAAAATTGAAACCACTGAGCCATGCGAGATCCCTACGGCTTCCACAATCTCTTGCACTTTCAATCTTTGGTCGGCCAACACCATATCGTGAATTTTATCGATTGTTTCGGGTGAAGAGACCTCAACTGGGCGTCCAGGACGTTCGGCATCTTCAGTGCTTGTACGGCCACAACGAAATTCAGTAAACCACTTTTTTACCATTGAAATCGATGGTGCAGAGTCCCCATAGTATTTATCAAGCTTAGCCTTGGTCTCGGTAATGGTTTTTTTTTCGCAAAAAATAATGCTTAATAAGCACACGAAATTCACTTTTTTCCATTTTTTCCTCAAATTACTGGGTAGTCTGATAAAGATGTGTCTGACGCAGCAAGTTCAAATTTTGACAGAAGTCAATTGACAGATGCCTGTTGACAGGAGTAGTGTTGCTTTTTCAGTAAAGAGGTCAGAAATTCAAAAAGTCGCGGACTTATTGACCCGCCCTCGTATGTAAGGCATTAGACCAAATTCAGTCGATGTTAAAAAATTGTTAATAAAAATACCATGAATTTGCCTTTAAAAAAGTTACATTTGTGTACAAGCAAGTGTTTTTCCATGTAAAGTTGTAATTCTAATGCATAATTGATGGTGTTCAAATTTAATAAGTCTTAAGAAGTTCTTGCTGGAACAAGAAGTTCTATAATATTATTTAGTTATAATATAATTATATTCTTATGAGAGAATAATTTATCATGTCTTTTATTGTTCTTCAGATCAAAGAAGTTTTAGTATGGGATGGTCAAATCACACGGATGTGCTGTATATCGGGGACGGAGATCCTGGTGTGCACTACCAGGGCGCATCTGTTGCGCTACCGGTGGGATGGCACACAGAACAGAGATTATTGTCTCGACCTAGGACGAATACCCTTTTCTATAAACCAACAAGTTTCGAAAGGTAACATATAACTATTTTATTGTTCTATTATTTCCTTTTTGTTTCTTTAATTTTTTTCTCTCTTCTTTATCTTTCTGATTAAAATAATCGTTGTATTATTAAGAATAATGTCGTTTCAAACATGTTTTCATACATTAATATATTTTTATGTTTAATAGCTAACTAAGCTAAGCTAGATGTTTCTTTAATATACTTATAGAATATTCGGGTCAGTAACTATTGCAGATCAAAGATTTCGGAACGCATACGGGACAAGCATACATACATTGATTTATTGAAATAGATTTATTCCTCAATTATGATCATGAACAGATGTCTTAAATATTTATTTTTAATGTTACTTGTTTTAAATCGAGTTTAAGAATTCCACCTCTATGGGTAGAAAATTAAGGAATAATCAATACAGCTTATTACTAGTTTATTATGACTAAAGCGCATACCGCTTCGAAGCCCTCGAGAACTGCGTTGATACAAACGAGCTCAAAAACAACAAGGCACCTACTGACGACAGAATTACGGCTGAACTCTTGAAGGCCAATTCTCGTAATAAAAGTTCGGTCTCAATTCAGTTCCGATCAACTTTTGATCTCACCACTGTCATAAAAGGTATTTTCGAAGTAAAATGGTAAAGTATTACTAAGACGAGCAGATTACCGATTCAATTTTCGGTCACAACGTTGGTTGTTTAATACTTTACTACAAAAATACCTTTTATGATAGTTGTGAGATCGATCGAAGGTCGGAACTGAATTAAGACCGAACTTTTATTACGAGAATTGGCCTTCTGTTGGCAGGCGGAAAGCCGGTTATTAAAAATCCTTCAGAAGATATTTAACTCCGCCATAGTCGATGGGAAGCCACCTCGGGCATGGCAAGCCACCTCATGAACAAGGGCGATAGCATCCTGTTGAAGAACTATAGACCCATCTCTCTTCCGAGTCATGTCTATAAACTCTTCTCGAGGGTCATTACGAATCGTCTCGCACGTAGATTTGAGGACCTAAGCTTTCCGAACAAGCCGGTTTCTGAAAAGGCTTTAGTACCATAGACCACATACATATGCTGTAGCAGGTTATACAGATGTCCGAAGAGCATAACCTTCCATGCTTGGCGTTTGTGGACTATGAGAAAGCTTTTGATTCGAACTTGAACTCGATCGAACTTGGGCTGTATGTGGCTACAGTCTCTCCAGTGGTGCTAAATCGAATATCGGTACATCAAAGTGTCGAAGTCGCTCACAATGTGCCTCATAAGAAGGCTCAAAGTCAAACCAAAGAGCAATGGAGAGGGCAATGCTCGGAGTTTCTCGTGATTGAATCAGGAATGAGGAGAGTTGCAGAGGAACAGGTCAGCACAGGACTGGTTGTTGTAGCGAACCTTGTTGGGGCAGCAGTATACGTCTTTCGTCTGAGATGATGATGAAAGCGCATTGAAGTTGATGATACGTATTTTAAAAGCTTAAAGCTTAAAAGTTAAAACTAAAACTATTAAAATAAATATATTTTCTAAATAAAAGGAATTGTATTGTATTAGACTTCCAATCGTACTGTTTATCATATCGAGTTTTTATTTGTCGTTTGTTGAGTTATTGTGGCTCAACCTTATCACACATTTAATGAAATGAATTTTTAGTTCTCTCTGTTATTTTCAGCTGAACCAATACTGGAAGATAACACACACGTCAATGATATTGAATATTCTCCTTTGGTGTGTGGATTCGGTATAACACTCAACGATGGACGGGCGGCATATCTCACAGCGCCTAATCTTAAATTTGACCCTAATGTAAGTAAACAGCCAGTATTTACAATTACGTAAGACGCCTTGTTCTGAAGTTAAAAATGTAAGGCGCATAATAAAAGCTAGGCAATAGTTATGTTAAGAAAATAGTGACGCAAAGATCAGGCCCCGCATCCTGACCAATCTTCCAAGCGTTTGTGTAAAACGATAACGACGACGACGGCTTGTTCGATGCGTCACTATTTCCTCAACACGAATGGGCTATAGTCACAAACTTATGTTACTTTGTAATTGCATTATTAATTGTGATGACTGCAAACTCTGATCAGACTAGAGCCAGATCAGAACAAGCTACACATGCTGTTACCGGACATTTGGTATCATAATATGAACTTCCTAACATGCTTTTACTACACAATGGAGATGCAAGTGTTGTAGTGGTCTTTTTTTTCCTTTTAAATAAAAGCCTGGCTATAAAGTAAAAATAATTACAATAATTTTAATTGAAAACCTAAAATAAATCATAATTCTAAACTTTACTTATTTACCTACCCACAAATTACGTCACACAAATTTTACGGTCCACCCCTATTCCTTGTCACACAATGTGATATTTCGTTAGAACCCCTACCGTCTTAAGGTGTGACGTAATTTATAGATGGTCGATTGTAAAAAAAAAGAAGTATTTTTCTATTATAAATATAGTAATAATATTTTCTGAGAGTTCAATGTCAATGAACACGATAAATAAAATTAGCTACTGGATGCAAGCTTTTAATGACTTTTGACAGTTCTTTGAGGCTGTTCAGAGAGGTAGCCATGTGTATATTTAGTTTTTTAGAGTCGAATTTTTATGTTAAATTATTTATTTACTTACCTATCCAAAGTCAGTTACTGAAGAATTATTTCCGATATGATAATAATCTAAACACAATATAGATAAAGGTACTAAGTATATTTTCAAATACACAGATATTGGAAATGGATTTGGCGGTAAGAAATCGTATGGTGTTTGTGTGGTAGGTAGATAAGTATGCATTGAAAAGAATTTATAAGTAGCTCGCTCTACTCGAGTATTTTTAACTTGATCTGTTACATATTTTATGCAAAACTGAAACAGGAAAAATGCATTGAGAATAAGATGAAGATAAGATAGGTATTGTTGAACGTTTATTAAATAAAGACTGTATAGAAATAAATACGTCATATACATACACACGCCCGCGTTTTTAACCCCTCAAAAATTTAAGTTATGTTTATTACTCCAGTACAGAAAACATTTACTAACTTAATTTTTTCCCACACAAAGAAATATTTTAAGTGATTTATGCAAATCTTAAAATACAAACTACTAGTTAAATTATTCCTTTTTGAGATTTAGTTGTGGCTTTAAAAATATAGTGATACATTAAATACAATATTTAGATTAAAATCTTGATGATCCGTATCCTGAACCTTTTTGAAATATTTGATGAACTAAAGAAATAGCTTAAAGCTGGGCCCGGGCAGCACTAGCACGCGTCGTGGACAAGGATATTTAGTGTGTTTTGTTTATTTTATGCCCTCATTTGGTGCTAGTAATATTTTTCTTATAATGAATATTATACCATATAAGGTTCATATATGACGGGTGGCTCAACACTTACACCTTAAGGGGCGCCCATTAATTATGTGATTGGTTTTGCTGCGATTTATTTTCTCCCCCCTCCCCCCTGGTGAGAGCTCGTGAGATTTGATTCAACCCTCTTCGCCATATTTCCGTAGAGGAACATGGTTTACTTATTTTAACCTAGTTTTCTTACAATTTTACTCTGTTTCTTGCGGATAAAAAATTTCGTGATATTTGCCGAAACCCCCGCTCTCCCCAAAGTAAAATTAGATGATATTCGACTCGAACCCCTCCCTCCCCCACTGAACGCCTCACGGACTTAATGGACGCCCCTAATGTTGGACATTATTCAAGCTATTTTATATTAGTCAAGAAGAGTTATCAGCCAGATAGCATAGCCTTGATACGCTTACACCTGTACGTCAGTAATTATACGTGGCACTTGTGTTAATATTATATTTTAACTGCAAAAAACTATTCAAATATTTGTTTGTAATTATATGTATTTGTAAATTAACTATATGTATTTTAGGCAGTCCAGGGTATTTGGGCACCGGGCATTGATGACGCGACTTGCGCAAGAGTCAATCACAAGTTTAGATTAATTGCTATTGGTAGGAAAAAGTAAGTATCTCTTTGCAATTTGAAATTAATTTTATTCGTTCTAGAACATGAATTAGAAGTTTCACTCTCTCGTATTATGACAGATAGTTTCTTAAAAAAAAATTTTTTTATTATTAGCAAACAATATCCTATGTTACAATTTGCAAAACTTAAAAATGAATTAATTTCCATAATTCATGATTGTATTATACGAGTATGTAAAAGATCTCTTTAAAAGGTCTGCGATAAGACAACCTATTGTAAAATTATAATTGTTACACTATCCTATTGTATCCGCCCAATTGTTGTACCTTACGTTTGATCAATAAATAGTGACTGTTTGTTGATCAAGCCTCAATGTCTATAAACCTCTTTAGCAAAATGGTTGTATTCATTTTAGCTCTCAAGTGGATGTGTTTACGATAGATGAAGCGACGGGCGGCTTAGAATTGTCGCATACGATGGTCCTGAGCTCCAAAGATTTCCCAGGCGACCCGGGACCTGTTAAATGTGTGAGGTAAGGATTTATAAAATAACTAGCCTTTGTCTACGACTTTGCTGGCATTAATAAAACTTTAATTAACTGTCTAATAGGTATTTTTTCAATTCTTTGGAACAGTACTTTATTTCAATCTATGATGGCAAAGTTACTAAACGAAAATAAAATAACTGGAGTCACAAGAGTTAAATATGTTAACCCTTATAAGGTATCATTCACTTTTGATAAGGAAATTAACGCCGAGAAGTTTTTATCTTGTACCGCCTTAAGTGAACTTGGTTGGCGCCGACAAAAAACTTGGGAAGTTGACTTATGCTATGGAATCATCAAAGATATAGATGTGGAACTATCAGAGGCGGAGCTCATAAAATGTATTCGGGCTGATAAAGACCTTGTGACCGCTAAGCGGATGAATAGGAGAACGGAGGAAGGATGGACTCCGAGTGAAACCGTGAGAATTGGTTTTAAGGGTAATTCTTTACCAAGTCATATTTATTTAATGGACCTACGAATTGCTGTCTCTCCGTTTGTGTTCCCTGTGACACAATGCTCACGATGCTGGAGGTTCGGTCATACATCGAAGATGTGCCCCTCTAACAAGCCTCTCTGCCCGAAATGTGGCAAAAATGATCACGCAAACTGTGATATACCTATTTATAAGTGTGTCAACTGCTCTGCTAATCATATTTCACTATCAAGGGATTGTCCAGTTTACGCAAGGGAAAGACGGATTCGTGAGATTATGTCACAGCTGAAGTGTACTTATCAAAAAGCCGTGACTTTTATTCCGCCTTCTCCCGCGTCGTACAGCCGAAGCAAACAAGTTTTTAATTAATAGCAACAATGGCCTTGCCTCTCAAGGATCAGTTAACACCAGTGCACCAAGTATTGACACTGAACAATTCGAATTAGCCGAGATCAACGGGCGACCAAAGACAACTATCACAAAAAAGACTCACAAAAAAAAGAAAACAAAAGTTCCGGTCCACCTGTCCGATAATGTTATAGTGGATATGTTTGTCACTGACTCTAACCCCGAAGATTCAGCTGACCCTCAAGATTCTCAAACTACACAACCTCATACAAGGAAAAAATCTCGCGAAATATCGCCACTTCGGCGTGTGTGGGAAAACATTAAAGAGATGATACATAACATAAAAAATCAGATTCAAACACAATTTAAGGATGGGTTAAAAGTGGTTGTAGATTGGCTTAACATATTCCTAAGTAATTTAATACCCGATATGTCTGTTTTAAAAAATATATTTACGTCAGTTAATGGATAACGCTTCCAATACATTAATTAGATTGAACATAATACAATGGAATGCCCGAAGTATTAAGCCCAAACTAAAGTCATTCGAACAGTTATTAATCCAAGAACACATCCATATTGCGGTGGTAAGTGAAACATGGCTTGCACCAGATACTCATGTAAATATCAATAATTACTATATTTTTCGCCTGGATAGGGATGGATATGGTGGTGTGGCAATTATAGTGCATAAATCAGTTCAAACACAACGGGTTGAAATACATAGAACTAATTCTGCTTTAGAATTAATTCATATAAAATTATTTAATTGCAAACAATTAGAACATTTAATTGCCATCTACTGTGCTCCGGAATCGTCGACAAATTCTCAGACATGGGACTATTTGTTTTCTATGGCAAACAGAAAGTCGCTTATATTAGGCGATTTTAATGGACACCATTTAAACTGGTCGTACAAAACAGATACGAGGGGAAACCAAATCTTAGATTCAATATTAGACTATAATTATATGATATTAAATGATGGTAGCCCTACACGTTTTCAACTTGTAAACAATGTATATAGAAAATCTTCTCCTGACTTATCAATAGCGTCCTCTGATATCTCTTTGGGTTTTGATTGGATGGTATCAAATGAAACGTTGGGAAGCGATCACATGATTATTAAAATATCTACTTCATTTTACTCAAATGAGCAGTATCAAAAAAGAAGAAATTTCAAAAGGGCTAACTGGACAGTCTATGAGAGTTACCTCGATGAAAAATTTAATACTTATGATACCTCCACTCTTAATAATCCTCAAGTAGCTTATAATTCGTTCTTAAATATTTTATACGATGCCGCCGAGAAGTGCATCCCTAATATAAAATTTAGTACTAACCCTACAAGTAATTTTCGGCCTAAACCATATTGGAACCCCGAATTATCCAAGTCAGTGGCAGAGAGGCGACTAGCACTAGCTAACTTTCGACGTAACCCCACCCCAGCAAATTTAATTGCACTAAAAAGGAAAATAAGTGTGTCACGGAGGATGCTTAGACAGACCCAAAGACAGTCTTGGCATCAATTTTGTAGTTCTATAGACGAAACAACCTCAGTGAGTGGACTATGGAATAAAATTAGGTGGATTAAAGGTTACCAAACACAAAAAAGACACATTGACCCAGATACAGCCAGCCTTCTTCTATATAGCCTAACCCCTGACGATGTACCCGATGTAAACATAGGTTTTTCTCTTCTCAAAATTCGGCTCTATATATTGAAATCACGTTGCAGGAATTAAATCAAAGTATTAAAACAAAAGACACTGCACCTGGGTTCGACAACATTTCTTACAGTATGATTAAAAATTTACCTCTAAACGCTAAATTAGTTCTAGTAAAACTGTATAACTCTTTTCTTTCGACGGGTTCAGTTCCTACTCAATGGCGAGATATTAGTATTATACCTATCCCTAAACCTGGGAGGGACACCCACTCCTCATCGGCACTGAGACCGATTTCGCTTATATCATGTTTGTGCAAAATTTTTCATGCAATTATACAGAAACGACTAGAGTGGTATTTAGAAAAAAAATGTATGTTTTCTAACGACAGGTTAGGTTTTAGAAAGTGCAGGTCTTGTCTAGATAACTTAAGTCATTTAGTAACAAGAATTCAAACAGGTTTCTGTAAAAATTGTATAACAATCGGATGTTTCATTGATATAGATAACGCGTATAACAACATAAATATCAATAATCTTTTATATAAATTAGATATGTTAGGGGTGGGACATAAAATATGTAGTTACCTTTTTGAATTTCTTCGGGAACGTTATCTTAAACTAGTAATAAATGGTATGTCGGTGACCCGCAGCACCGGCAGAGGATTGGCACAGGGTGACCCATTGTCACCCTTGCTGTTTAATGTGGCAACTATAGACATTTGCAAACAACATAACACCGATTCAGTACACATCTTACAATATGCAGATGATTTCGTTATTTATTGTACACATAAAAACATATTTAACGCCGCTGAACAGTTACAAACTTCGTTGGAGAATATCGTAGGCAGTTTATCTGAGCTTGGTCTAGAGATTTCGCCCTCTAAGAGTAAAATATGCGTCTTTAAAAAAGGTTGTAATAGACAAAATATTTCTATAAAATTGAATAATACAAGCATACAAGTAGTAGATAGTGTAAAATATTTAGGTTTGTGGCTAGATCGATCTCTTAGATGGGCTAAACCATATAAGAAATTAATGAAAAAGTATCTAAATTTCTCAGCATCCTTAAGTTTGTGGCGGGGTTAAGTTGGGGTATACACCCGCGGAACACACTCCCCCGTCGATGGCCTCCCTGGCCGGAGACGACGGGGAGCACGGGGAGGATAATGTTCCGCCCGTCCGGGATTCGGAGGTAGGGGCGGCTGTTCTACGGATCCGTTCCAAGAACACCGCCCCTGGGCCAGACGGGGTACCGGCCCGAGTGCTGGCCCTGGCCCTCAACCACATGGCAGACCGCCTCGGGGAGGTGTTCGACGCTAGCTTGGCGTCGGGACGCTTCCCTGAGTGCTGGAAAAGCGGGAAGCTGGTCCTATTGAGGAAGCCGGGACGGCCTGCCGATTCGGTCGCGGCCTATAGGCCCATCGTGCTGCTGGACGAGGCGGGCAAATTGTTTGAGAGGGTTCTTTCTGCCCGCATCGTCCGGCACCTCTGCGAGGTGGGCCCCGATCTGTCGGACGCCCAATTTGGTTTTCGGGCGGGGCGTTCGACAGTCGACGCCGTGTTGCGCCTGAGGGCCGTGACCGAAGAGGCCGTGAGCTGTGGCGGCGTGCTGTTGGCGATGTCCAATGACACCGCCAACGCATTCAATAGTCTGCCATTCAGCTGCATCAGGGAAGCACTCCACTATCATGGGGTGCCAAAGTACCTGAGGCGGCTAGTGGCAGACTATTTAGAGGAGCGTACCGTCGTGTACGAGGACCGAGAAGGTAATCTGAGGTGTCGGCCCATGTCGTGCGGTGTTCCACAGGGGTCTGTTCTTGGACCCCTCTTGTGGAACATAGGGTACGACTGGGCCCTTCGCGCCGATTTCCCCCCCGGGCTGGGTGTAATCTGTTACGCAGACGATACCCTGGTGACAGCCCGGGGGGGCAAACTTCCAAGAGGCGGCGCGCCTGGCCACAAGGGGAGTCTCCCTGGTGGTCGGGCGCATTGAGGCGCTGGGCTTACGGGTGGCCCTAGATAAGACGGAGGCCCTGTTATTTCATGGGCCCCGTCGTGGTCCACCCCCTGGCGCCTCAATCGTGGTCAACTCGGTCCTCGTACCGGTTCGGGCCCAGATGAAATATCTGGGCCTGATCCTCGACGGGAGGTGGCTCTTCGACGAGCACTTCCGACAGCTTGCTCCAAAGCTGGTCGGCGCTGCGTCTGCCCTAGGGCGACTTTTGCCCAATATGGGTGGACCCAGCGTCGCGACAAGACGGCTGTACACGGGGGTTGTCCGGTCAATGGCACTGTACGGTGCACCGGTGTGGGCGGCGGCTCTGACCGCCCAGAATAGGGTACGCCTCTGGCGCCCTCAGAGGGTAATGGCGGTCAGAGCCATACGCGGTTACCGCACCGTTTCGACGGAGGTGGCATGCGCGTTGGCCGGAACTCCCCCGTGGGATTTGGAGGCGGAAGTGCTCGCCGAAGTTTATCGGCGAGTGGCTGTCTCCCGGGCGGAGAGCGGATTTCGCCCTCCGCCCGAGGATGTGCGCGAGTGGCGCGAAGCCGCTCGCCGAGCCACGATGGCTCGTTGGTCGTTCCGGCTGGAGACTCCACGCGCTGGCTTCGCCGCCGTGGAGGCTCTCCAGCCGGTCATCGCCGAGTGGGCAGGGCGGCAGCACGGGACCCTTTCCTTCCGGCTGACGCAGGTGCTTTCCGGGCACGGTTGCTTCGGAAAGTACCTGCACACGGTCGCTAGGAGGGAACTGAGTCCCGCCTGCCACCACTGCGACTGCAGTGAGGACTCGGCCCAGCACATGCTGGCGGTCTGCCCGCATGGGCGGCGCAGCGCCGGGCCCTCACTGCAGTCATCGGAGTGGATCTCTCGTTACCGGCCGTAGTACGCTCCATGGCCGGTAGCGACAGCTGTTTTACCGCGGTCGCAACCTTCTGCGAGGTAGTAATCTCGCGGAAGGAGGCGGCGGAGAGGGCCCGGGAGGACGACCTCCACTCTGACCCGATCCGCCGCCGGCGAACCGGGCGGCGGAGGCCCGCCTATCACAACCTCATGCCGCCCTGAGTGTGGCCGCGGGTGGACGGGGTGGGTTTCCCCTCCACCCGCATTAGTTTGGCCAGCCGCGAGGGGGCAGCGTCCGCGTGTGCCGGACGTCGCCTAAAAGAGAGGAAAATACATTGAGACGGAGCCCGCACCAGGAGCGGGCTGGCGCTAGGAGGGGTCCGGATGTCTTAACAACAGCTGTTCCCGGATCCCTCCTGTTACAGGCGCAGAGTGGCACACGGTTTCCACACGTTAAAAAAAAAAAAAAAAAAAAAAAAAAGGGGTATACACCCGAAACATTTAAGAAAAATGTATATTTCTCTCCTGAGGAGTCGTTTAGACTACGGTAGCTTTTTATACGGTGACAGTAGTGAAACACATTTATGCAAATTAGAAAAAACTCAAAATCAGGCTATGCGAATTATCGGCGGGTTTATCAAACGACACCTATCCATGTAATGAGCAGTGAACTAGCGATACAGCCGTTACATATACGTAGATGCTACTTAGCCGGTAAATTTTTACTAAAATGCAAATCTTTATTAACGAAGAGTAAAATAATTAACTACTTAGAGGATTTAGCCAACTATCTAATCGCATGGCGTAGGAAAAATAAACCTGTTTTAATAATAATGTACGAACAATTGAGAGAAGTGCAAGTTCATTGTAGCCAAAATTTAGAGATGTTTGAGAGCCGGGTGTGGATGGGCTATATAGATATTTCCAAAAATCTAAAAGATAATATAGATTACATAAACAAACCTAAACAGCAATACAGGACATCCGTTTTGAGAGATTTGTGTTTTTATTATATGGATACTCGGTTTCCGAATTATTACCAGATATTTACCGATGGATCGAAAGAAAAAGGTGGTGCGGGGGCGGCCCTCTTCGATCCTCAGCAAAATACATTCGCTCGCTATGGAATTAGGGTAAAAATGTCGATCATGTGTATTGAACTAATAGCTATTAGTGAAGCGTTATCTTACATTCGTTCTATTGACCATGACAAGTTCGTTATTTTTACTGACGCTAAAAGTGCCCTTCTACATGTAGCTCGGTGTACCTCGACAATTCGAGGAACACCGATAGCATACACAATTATGAATCAAATTGTTGAGTTAGAACGGAGCGGTAAAACAGTACATCTTCAGTGGATTCCATCTCACATTGGTATAACTGGGAACGAAATGGTTGACACACTTGCAAAGCAGGCTTGTTCTGAAGGTATATATATTTCAATACTGCCTTACTATTCAGACTGCCTATATCTCGTAAAAGAATACTGTTTTAAATCCTGGAAAGAATATTTCGATAAAAGATCAACCGAAAAGGGTATCTGGTATAAAACTATACAACCTGAACCGCTGGCTATCTCTTGGATTGATAACTGTTCTTTGAGTATACATAAATCGATAACGGCTATGAGGTTACGCTCTGGACACATCTCATCCAGAAAGTTCACCTTTTTAATGGGTTTATCATCTACGCCAAATTGTGAAATCTGTGGTGTGGTAGAGGACGTAGAACATGTTTTGATGGATTGTGTTCGGAACCAACAACTGAGAGAACGTCTGCTTAATGATAAGTTGATGGACATTGGAAGATGTCAATCTATGAACTTTACTGATCCCTTAAAATGTGTATGCAGTCTTCAAGATGATCATTTATATAATAGTAAAATTATCTCTTGCGCTGTCGTGCTTTTAGTCAAAAATCAATAAAAACATTTAGTTACAGTATTTTACAGGATGACTTGACTATACAATATTTATTTGAGTATACCAACTTTGACTTTATTTATATATAAGTCAGAATGAGACAAATTAATGGTCATTACTGATTGCGCTAAAATTCTTCCAAAGTGCAATTGCAGTTGTTTATGACTTAAAGTATGTACATATAATATAATATACATTTGTGCTATTTTTATTATTGATTCTTTGACATGAGCCCATAGGTAATACTTACAAAAAAACATAATACTACGAGAAATATGACCTCCCATACTAATAATAAAATCTACAGTTTCACGTGTCCAGTTGGTGAGCTATTCTATGCGAAATTGTATTATTTAACCATGCACATTATTTGAGTGCACTGTAAGACAGACTACCTAACTTTACCATAGTGTAAAAGTGATAGATCAAATAGTCTGCAGATTACAGTGATGTCAATAAGGAGACAACCTAGAGACATGTAAATCTAAGAAACCATTTCCCAGATGGACAGCGGACGGGCGAGCCGTAGCAGTGAGTTGGGAACGCGGCGGAGTATCCGTATGGAGTACGTTCGGCGCATTACTGATGTGCTCACTGGCTTGGGACTATGGACTTAATCAGGAACTTACTAAGCACAATCCCCTCGTTGTGAGCAGTCTGGTTAGTGCAATGATATGTAAAAAACTACATTTGAAATCATACTATTTATCTTTTCAAACAAAAAAACTATTCAATAGGTTTAGCACGTAGATGATAAAATTTAAACAGATAAAATCAGGATTGTATGCTAATGTATACAAACTTGTTGAAGAAATTATTTTCTTTCTCAGGAATGGGCGACGGAAGGATATCAACTGTGGATGGTTAAAGTCGAGGGTGATTCAAGCACTAATTTGATCCAGTTGGATTTTGTTAAAAGTCCTCTAAGTGTTAATCCATGTATGGTAAGTATAATTACGAGTATATACTCTTATATTAAGCTAGGGGAAGGGGTAATCTGGAAAACTTGGTATTATTAACCAAGTATGAATGGGTTTAAAGTACGTTGACGCATTGTAAAAGTAATGTAAGCCTTAAATAAATAAATAAATTGTATTATTTTAGAGTAATCAAAGACATCTGTACTTACAAGCGGATGATAAACTATACGTCAATTTGGAAGACAATCTCACAAAGCGAACCAAGATCTCTATCATAGATTCATCTTCAGATATTTACCAATCTGAGAACGGTTTACAAGACCAGCCTAACTTGGAATATGAGAACAGCACTAACTACAGGGAGTTCGTTGATGACAATGATTGCAGGAAACAGTGGATAGTTTTGCCGTTACCAGCGACATACATTGCGACTAATTGGCCTCTCAGGGTAAGTGGTTTTTGTGTTGTACTTCAACAAGAATTGGATTTTATCTGTCAATATCATAAATATAATATGTAGTCATTTGAATCGTACCATTTTAAGTTCAAACATAAATTTAAACTTCATAAACCGGTACTTGACTGTCAAATCAAATTAGTTTCTTTTTCTTTAAGGTTAAAACTATATGTTATGTATAAATACTGATTCAAAACCTAGTAAGCTAATGCATAATCAATACTTTTTAAACAAATAATAATAATAAACTAGAAAATAGTAAGTTTATTTTTCTATTATTATATAGTACAGCGCAATCGACGAAGTCGGCATGAACGTGTGCGTGGCGGGCCGTACGGGGCTCGCGCACTACAACTGCACCTCGAGGAGGTGGAAACTGTTCGGCAACGAGGCGCAAGAGAAGGACTTCGTCGTCACTGGCGGTATGCTGTGGTGGAGAGAATATATTGTCATAGGTACGAACTCATACTGACTGAAATAATATGCTACTGTATCTTACTAATATTATGAATAGTAGAGAGTGAGAGTCTAGAATAGCACATGGGCTACTTTTTAACCTGGAAAAAAATAATTTTAAAAAATACCCGACAGCGATGGCCATCTTGGACCCATTTTCATCAAACATAGCTAAGAACACTCCCGACTAATTCACCTTTCAAACAAAAAAAACAAAATCAAAATCCGTCCATTCGTCCGGGAGCCATAATGCCACAGACAGACACACACACACACACACACACACATACAGACACGTCGAACTTATAACACCCGTCGTTTTTGCGTCGGGTGTTAAAAAATTGATGGTTACAATTGACGATACGAGTAATGCGAGCAAAACCGCATACAAAAGCTAACTTTACATAATTTCACACAAGTTAAATTGCATAGTCCTTTTAAGATATAGTTTTACTCGTTTTTAATATTTATCTCTTATGTGCGAAATCTCTTATCTGACCTACTGTTTTCATTAATACTCGTATTCATAACTAGCTGACCCGCGCAACTTCGTCTACTGCTCTCAAAAGGTATAAATTTTCAACCGCTCGGCTCCTTTAGGTTGTGCCGTGATGTAAGACAACCTATAGCCTTTCTCGGTAAACGGGCTATCCAACACTAAAATATTTTTTCAATTCGAACCAGTAGTTATTTTCTTTTTTCTTCTATAAAAGACAACTCCCGCATTAGGAGTGTGTCGCGGGGGACTTTATAAAACATACATACAACGGACAAAAAGAACACCCATACTCAGAACAACAATTTTTGGATCACACAAAGTGTCGTCCAATGTGGAGATCGAACCCACAACACTCAGCGTAGTAGTAAGCAGCAGTAGTTCATGAGATTACCGTGTTCAACCAAACAAACAAACTCATCAACAGCCTTTAATAGTCCACTGCTGGACATAGGCCTCTCCTTAGAGAGGAGGTTTTGGCCTACTATACCACGCTGGCCAGACGGGTTGGTATAGGGTTTGTTTCAAGTTTTCCTTCTCTCTGTAGTGCTACTGTTCTGCGTTATTATTATTATTACTTTGTAATCTTAATCCGTCACCACACGGCTTCTAAACCTTCAGAAACATACAATATTTGTATTTTAACTCCAGGATGCTACAGTATACTAGATGGTCACGATGAGATCCGCTTCTACCCGAGAGAGGCGAAGCTCGACAACAAGTCTGCAAAAATAGTTCGAGTGCAATCGCAAGTGTTCGTACTCGATATCCTTGATGATCAGCTGGTTGTCTTCGGTGCTGATGCACTTGTTACCATATATGAACTCACAGCTTTGGACGATGGTGAGATGCTAACTAATAAACGTTATAAATGCGAAATTTGATTGTTGTATTTCAATTATTTTTTTATCGTAACTAGTGATCCGATTGTTGTGAAGTATGCATTATCATGTTTACAAAAAATTAACTAGAAACATGTACTTTCTACAAGATTGTAGCCGTAGTGGTATTCGGTCGGTAAAACTCGGCCTACTGATATGAATAAATTGCAGCATAGTTCTTGGATTATAGAAGAAGGAAAACGGATAATTTGAATTAATTGACAAAACCTACATTAATTCAAGCGACGATGCGGGCAAGAGTATATATATTTTTGTTTACTTAAAAAAGGTAATGTGTTCTTCGCAGCGGGTAACATAGAAATGCGGTGTGTACAAGCAGTGGATGTGTCTGCGCTGTCTCACCCCGCGTGTGTGGTGTCTGCGTCGCTGTGTCGCCTGCAGGACCCCCCAAACCGACATCGCTCGTCTACCACGGTTCAAGTTCAGCGACACCCTGACTCACTGGTTAGTATCAATATGTGTACACAATAAATAGCGTCTATAGAGCATTCTACACCATGGGTAACAGGTTTGATTCTCGCTCAGTTCAAAATATTTTTGTGTAAAACCAATATACTTTTTTAGGTGATCAACGCCAGCGGCAAACTGATGATGGTCCAGAGGGAGGAGTACGATGTTGACGAAGATAATAATCCGGTGAGTTAAAAATAAAAAATAATTAGTATAAAATTCTTATTTGTGCGTGGAAATCGTTTCACCAGAACGGCAACTTGGTTTTGATTATAATTGGTTTAACTTATATTTGTATTCGACCGCTTTCAAGGGATAACCTGTAAAACGAAAAAGAAAATTAAATTATATTGTTGGCAAAAGAACCACTAAAAATTAGATTGAATGATAGAATACTTACATACTTTTTTTTTGTAAAAACATATTATACAAAGAAAACACCCAAACTCCGAAACAAATATTTGTAGAGCTTACAAACATTTGTCCGACCAGGGAATGGAACCCGAGACCTCAGAACAGCAGTAAATACACTACCACTGCGCCACCGAGGCAGCCGACATAAGCTTACATTATGAAAGTATAAATTAGATTGTAATTTCCGTATCATTGAATGTTGCCAAAGTATGCCAAACATTCATTGAACGCCCTGAATTTTTGGTGCGTATACGTCCGTCAAAAAATCTAAGCAAACTTGATTGTACAATCTATTGCTTAGAATTTAAACGCGAAGTCCCACGAAAAGTCGAAAGTTTACAAAAACAGGACAAAATATTGAGCGCAATCGTGTATATTTGACAACCGCGTTGAAAAAGGAACCTAGTCCTATTTGTAGTCAGTTTGATATAGAAGCTGATAGGGCTTCTAAATCAACTGCCTTGGGTTATCCATACTTAAATAAAAAAATGGCTTCATCTGTGATAGCTCTTATTTTGTTACTTATATTTTGTGTTATTGTGTTATTGTTTTAAAGTATATGCATTAATAGCATCACTCTGAACTGTCTGTTCATTACAACTGAAAGAATATTACTATTAAAAGTCAATTTAAATTAAATTTAGCGGCATGCTAATGGAAGCGTATGTACATTAGTATCAATCAATTTATATCTTAAGATACTGAAATACAAAAGGTTTTCTGTATACACTAAAGATACGTTACGGCAGGAATTTCTACTTACTTTATGAAATAATTTGTACTATTTGAGGCATGAAATTAATCAAATAAAACCTTCAACTCAACTCGAAAGGCTGAACTGCAACTACTTAAAGGGGGGGAGGGGGAAGTCACGTTAGCGTCAGGTGACGCGTCTGCTTGTTTATCTCCTACATTATAAAAAAAAAGTCTCCTTTTATGACGGGTTAAAAAAACAATGTCGTTAGTATAATATTTATTTATTCAGGTACACTTCGTGGCTTTGGATTATACCATTCAACTTAACTTCTAAACCGACCTATGTGTATTTTTGCACGTAACTAACTAAACATATGCAAGAACACACTAGCGCCATGAGTAACTAATTAGGTTACCTATACACGGAGAAGTTAGTAAGATCTATTTACAGGTCAAATAAGCCCTAGCTTAATGATGCTTGGTTCTAATCTTAAGGGTTTTACCATCTAATGACATAGGGCCGACTGCCCAGCGGCGCACAATATTGCCCTTACGTCCATACGTATTCCCTGCCACATGTACCCATGGACTTGGCGCTGGGAAATAATTAAAATAGTTAACAGGAGGTAATGGGACAATAGGCTGGCGGATCATGTCTACGACAGGCGTTATTGGTGCTACTGAGGCGACTGGAGCTATAGGGCCCGCAAATATAGGCGAAAATGGCTTGCTAGCCGCTATCGGCGCAGCAACTGGCAAACCAGCTGGGTGTACGTTTGATCCTAGTCGTTTGACTATCGCGTTAAAGCCAGTGTGTGGGTCAGCGTAGTATTCCACAAGTCGGACACTACCATCAGGCTCTACTAGGGAGTAAGCGCCTCTCACGACGTCACCGTGACGAGTTTCCCACTGCGCTTTGTTGTCTCCTGTTGATGGGTCGTTGACGGCGTAATTGAAGCCATAGTCCGAGCTTGGCTGAAACAAAATATGAATGATGAACTTATGATTTAAAATCGATTATACTATTTACGAAGTCGGCTGAATGTAAAAAATGTTTTAGTCACTTACGACTTTTTCTATTGTGTTTATCGGAATGTAAGATAACGTGGCTGGAGGTATTACCACTGCGAAGGCGAACGCCCCATATGCCAATAACCACGTAATCTGTAAAACATATTATATTATTAAAAATTATTGAAGATTGGAAAAATTAATCATCTCAATTTTTTTTAATTTAAAAAATAGAGGATTCAGTAGATTTCTTTTCTATAAGTAAGTCGGATGGACAATGACCTAACAGGCTTTTTCAATAAGTATAGATATATTTTCGTTTGAGATCGAGTTTCGTTTAGTATAGATATATTAGATATATTAATGTTCGTTTTATTAAATTTCATATAAATGTAATGAACTATATTTTTTATATTTTAATAATTAACTCTGTTCACTGAGACTGAGTCTTTTATTTCTTTCATTATTTTTTGTGCCATTTAAAAAGCACGAACGCTTATGCAAAGTCCATAAATAAAAAATGTATCTATCTTACAGAAATGTTTGAGTTTTACGATCACAAACATAATGACTAAAGTTTAATAATGATTTTATTTTTCAAAAACTAAACAAAAAAATTATAAAATCTAGAAGCTTTACCGTATAATATGTATTCATGTTGTTAACAAGGTACTCCAGTGAGCTTACGAAGTGCACTACTACTTTGTCATTTACGCCTGCATATTTATACTACACTAATTATTCGACCCGGCTTCGCCCTCCTTCATCAAGCATCTCAATCCAGGGCGTTCCATTCATTGCTCTTTGCATATTTTCGTATTCATATATTCTTTTTACTTGTAAACATAACTAGTTCGGTTATACATAAGTGTAATTAGACTGGTATAATAATTATAAATTTTTTGCTCTAATTATCTGTTTGAATGGTGTTTGCGACGCCAGTATTACCCACTCGATTCTTGATAATCGATTATATATTTGATTTATCGCGGTGTCTGTTTAAGCGTGTTGCGAATATTGTAATTAAACTAACCTAACCTAATCTAACATCAATCAATCGAGTGTTTTACCATGTTCTTTGAGTTAAAAAAGTGTTCCATTAAGATTAATCTTGTCCGTGGTGACGGATTTAGAAAACGGACTGTCACCAACCCTATTTATCCCGTGGGTGTCGTAAGAAGCGACTAAGGGAACCAACTACGCAGGACAACAGCACTGCAAAGAGAAGGAAAACTTGAAACGAACCCTATACCAATTCGTCTGGCTAGCGTGGTTTAGTAGGCCAAAACCTCGTTTCTAAAGAGAGGCCTATGTCCAGCAGTGGACTATTAAAGGCTGTTGATGATGATGACTAATCTTTACATAGTATGAAATAAAGTACCTTTTTTTTCTGTACGCTTAGATCTTTCAAACTACGCGACTGATTTTAATGCGGTTTTCACCCATAGAGAGAGTGATTCAGGAGGAAGACTTATATATATAAGGCCCCGTGCCCCGGCAAGCGATGTCGCGCGTCTTCCAACTACAAAAATCAGTGCATCGTGCAAGCGACTACCGATGAGGAGCTCGAGCAATCGATAGCAATTTACAATTTAGTTAGCTATTTATGATTAGTCCTAAACATACTTATTGTTTGGCTAAAAAATAAAGTACTACTGTCAGAATTAAGAAAAAGAGAAAAACCGAGAATTTCAAAGATTTGTAAGATGATGTTGTAAAAACATGTTATTGTGCGCTTACATTGCAAACGATGGCTAAACCTTACGAGATAGATCAAAATAATGTACTACGGAATTGTACATCTTAAAAAGATCTACAAAATACAGTGGAACATAGAACCTCCTCCTTTTTTGAAGTCGGTTAAAAGCTCGATTTAGTACATGACTACCTTCTAAGGAAAACCCACAGTAAACATTTCTATCTTTTACATCTTACAAAAAAGGAATGGGATATTTGCGAAGATATTTAAAACATTACAGTAATATTTCTTATCCAATTAAATACGCTAAATAAAAATTTCCCTTCACAGCAAATCATTAAAATGACCATCTTAGAAGATTTAAAATGCGGGGGCAGAGAGGTCGTCGCGTCGGTCTATGCTATGTCCGTCCCGGGTGCCAGCGGCCCTCAGACACGGAGCGTGGCTATAACTGTATATTAAGATATCCTGTAGGATAGTCTATTCATAATAATAATATAATTAATTACTCCACACTGACACCACATTAGTATCTACATTGCACCCGTGTGATACCGGGGCGGGTCGCTAGTCTAGTAATAAAATAGATAGCAATAAAGTTGCGCTGCGCAAACGCAATACACCTCAAGCGACTGGTCGCTGGTCGACCTCTGGTCGCCAGTCGGAATTACAATGCACCGAGCCGTTTAGTTCTATACGTTCTATCAAGTCGGCGCGACCCAATCGCGCGACACCGCTTGATCTCTTCACGAGCCCTAATACATGCATATTATAGTAGAGAAAATCCAAGAATTTCAAAGATTTGTAATGTTATGTCGTAAAAAAACATGTTTTTGTGCGCTTACATTGCAAAAGAATTGACTAAATCTTACGAGATAGATCAAAATAATGTACTAGAGAATTGTATATCTTAAAAAGATCTACAAAAAAGTCCGCGATGGTATATGTCTGTCGGGTAACATATGGATAATCCACAGTAACCATTTCTATCTTTTACATATTACAAAATAAATGGGTTATTTACAGAGCTATTTTAAACAATACAGTATTAATCATTATCCAATTAAGTACGTTAAATACGTTGTGCATGTAGTATAGATCACAGTGGTCCTTACCAGCATATCATTAATATAAATATTTTAGATGATATCAGAGATTTAAAATGCGGGAGCCGTACGCCCGTCCCTGGTGGCAACGGCGCGGCAGGCGCGCAGTGTGCCTTAAATATTGTATATAGGAGTAGGTAAAGATAGCCTGTAATGCAGTCTAATCATAATAATAATATAATCAATTACTGCACATTGACACCACATTAGTATCTTTATTGCACCCGTGCAAAGCCGGGGTGGGTCGCTTGTCTTTAGAATAATTGTGCAAGTTGGAAACTTACCGGTAAAGTTGAAAAATTTAAATTAGTTCGGTATATTTGGGCCTTAATGAGCGTCAATTGTATTAAAATACAAATCGAATTTCGCTGGTTTGAATTGAAAAAATCTTTTAGTGTTAGATAGGCCAACGAGGAAGGCTATAAGCTCAATAACATCACACTACAACCAATAGGAGCCGAGCATCAATGGAAAATGGTACAAAAATGTGGAAAATTTATAGCGTTTGAGAGACGCAGACGAAGTTGTAACTTCTTTCGTAAAGAGGAACCTGCCTAATACGACCATGCTTACTACGGTTTCATGCATTTTTTTTTCTTTAAAAAGACAACTCCCGCTTTAGGAATATATCCTGTGTCGCGGGGGACTTTACAAACATACATGAAACCGACACAAAGAACACCCAGACTCAGAACAACAATTTGTGGATCACACACCGCTTAAACCACTACGCCATCCGTGCAGTCCGTGCATAAAACACATTTGCATAATACTGCAACTTAAGGCATGATTTCATATATTTTATTAAACTTAATACGATTCTAAACCCCGTTGAAACCGATATTGCCTACACTCTTATCTTAATTTTCGAATGCCATATTGAAGATGTGCATAAGATACAAATTATCAGTCATTAGCAGTCAATAACGTCATTGTGTAAAATCGGCGACACACTGCAAAAGTTAGTTGACTATACTGAAATTCTTGTAATTATTAAGTCACTTTGGATGGACCGGTTGGTCTAGTGGTCAGTGATACTAACTCTTAAGCCAGAGGTGGTGGGTTTGATTCCCACCCAAGACAAATATTGTTTGGTGATCATGATTATTTGTTCAGGTACTGGGTGTAATTTATCTATAGATAAATATAATGAATGTATTTAGGAATAAATAAGTATGTTCAATAACAGTCTGGTTAACATGTACAGGCCCTGCCTAGTTTGGGATGAGACAGCCGTGTGTGAGATGTGTGAGGTTATTATGATTATTATTACTTTTATTATTATTTTTTGTTGAACCAAAATAAATTATACTCAGTAATAAAATTTTAACCAATAAGACACTACTGTGTAACGTAATTTAAAAATACATATACAAATAAATCTTTATAGTAACACGATATATAAATATATAATAATTAATACCTACACAAAATTAGTACATAAAATTCGTTTTACGAGTATTATTCCTATGCCACGTAATGCGCTTTCTCGCATTAGACGCGTCCAGACGTGTTTAA